CATACGAACCAAGTTATTGGGAACATCCCGAAAATAACCAACTAACATGTACTAATCTCCCCGCTCTCGGCACATTTACATTTAGCGAATCGCTCGCCCACACAACGAAAGGATCTTAATGTCGCCGTTTTTGCTTCTTCTGACCGTTAACTCGTTGGTGCGGGCCGCCTGTCGACGGGATAGTTATCTTAGACGTCAGGAGTCATGTCCTCCTGGTTAACTAACTAACTAACTGTAGGCAATCGTTCTTATCCAATACCCCCTATCACCCTACCCCTGCTTTTAATGGCAAATCGCGACTCATATGATATATAGACCGCAAGATACGACTGACTCTTCGCCACAACCAGTCATTGCAGAGTGTCGCCCATCGCCCGCGAAAGACCAGCTGAAGCGGCAGGGAAGAAGTGAGAAGGATGAGGCGAAGTGGCGCGCAGTGGAGCCGATCACGCCCATCAACAGATTTAATACACTCACGGCTGGTTACAGTCTCCGGCATATCCACGTCCATAGATCAAATAGTCTGTCCAGTATCCCGTCGTGCAATGATTCAATGGTTCGCAAATTCGTATCCCATCCCGTCTGGGCAAGCCGGAGGCTTGAATCCTGCCATGTCTCCGATTGGTATGGTATATTTTGGAAGAAACTCCCTGATGATACGAGCAGGAAGAGTTTTTGTATGAGATCGTCTATCTTGAATTAGAGCATACAGACGACTCTCATACGTAGAAAACCAAGTAATAGACTTTTCTTCCCGAACCGACCGAGATATGTTCTATTCCTGTTCCTATCTGCCGTGCAGTGCAGCCGGCATCTTCTTGCCCAGTGGGGTTGGGCGCTTTCGCCACCCTAATACTCAAACTATGGAGTACAGTATAACATACGGAATTGAGACTCCTTTGTAGAAAACCTAGTACATATCGACTGACGCGGTCCTTCTAGCCAGATAAGACATTTATCAGCCAATATGAGACGAGACACCCATTAGCCGCTCCATAACCGCCCTCCTCATCTGACCTCCAATACAGCCTGATTTTTCCGTGACCGATCTGCTGTTTCCACCATCCTGTCTCCCGGGTCCACTTGGGCGCACCCTACCCGATGGGATTATCAGCGTTGGGCATCTGCCATGGAGCGGAAAACTTTTGACACTGGACTCCTGCTCGGCACGAGTGGGATTGGAGAGATTGGGCTGGTTGGAAATGTAGCCAGGCACCGGTTGGAGAGAAGTCACCTGCCAATGTATTACATAGTAGGTGTGTGGTATGTAGATAACATAAATTACAGTATTTTAAAGGTTCACCTACTGAAAGGTTCGTATTGGAAAATACCGTTTGTACAGTGTTGTTTCATAAGTCTTGGTGTATACAAACAGCCGTTTTATTTTGCCTTTCCGTTTCTCTCGACAAACCAGGTGCCTTAGCATCCATAACAATATAATCAAAGAGCTGATGTCTAGCAAAGGCGAGTTCTTCATTATCAAATTCATATCACTTCTAGACATACCGATTTCCCCGTTTGTAGTAGATATCCTTCCCAACCTGTAGTAGACACCTCAAAATAGTGATCTGTTCTATCAATGTGGGTGGAGTCAGTTACTCCACATATAAACACTTCGCACTCACTACTCCGCACAAAATAGACCATGATATACGTACACTGCATAGTGCATACATGGACAACGGAACCCTTAACCAGTCGATCTTCTTCACCAAAGTCAATCTTGCAGAGCCACAGCAATGCCAAAACCCACTACACATTGACATTGTATCTAATGTAGTGCAGGGCTACAAGTTCAACCCTCCATCTCCTCGCCGCATCCACACGGTAATCCCGTGCTGTAGCCTGCACCTCCATGCAAGACAAGGATCCTTGTCTGCCGTACAGTAGTAGAAGGGCGATAGAGTTTCGCTCTCTCGTCCAATGACTTCACGCAAGGGATGTCCAGTAGCCTCCAGCTATGCCCAGAAGTTCCTGAGGCTCGGGGGTAAGTATGATCTGACTCAGCTGGTATGGGGAAGCTGCAACGCTGGAGCGGGCTAGTGTCTGCTCAGCAAGGTGGGCATAAGGTAGTCCTAAGTATGACATGACCTGATATACTCTCGTCTGTCCTGCCAGATCGAGATATAGGATCTAGGCAGACGCGCGGAGAATAAGTCCACGTAAATATTGCGGGCCATCTGATATGCCTCTTGGCGCGTCGAGTGTTGTTGACGTGTGGACTATTCGTCATGCATGTTGGATATATACCTCAGCCATGGTGATTTGTGCGTAGAAACATTTTGTTCCATCGGTCGTTTATATTCAAGAGAGAAAGAGGTATGATAGTGTCCACTAGACTCGCTGATAGGGTGGGTCTGTACTCCATAACTTATGCCAGCCGGTGAACATATTCTATGCATACTGCAGAGGTAATGCAGTGGTATACTCGAGGTACCGAGTGCTGAGAGTGGAAAGGTAAGCAGGAATGGAGGGAGTGTGGAGGTGATGATCTCCGGTACAGGACGCCCGCCACCTACTGTAGTACACTTCCAGCTCTCCACTAGCTATAGGATATCGTATCGCACGACAGCACGACTTACAGTAAGCCAGGACCAGTGCTCTGTGGGACAAGATGTACACGCGGTCCGCACAAAGTCTCAAAGTCCTCGCGTCCGACCAAGACAAGACCCTGTACAGTAATATTCTGGGCTGGATGCTGCGGCAGTGGCGCTTGAATCTGGACTGCTCGCTTGTCCCTGACTAATGATATTTCATTGTCCATTACATTATCAATGTATTCTGGCGAGTGGCTAGAAGGACTGGAGTGCTTGAACAGTCCTTTTGTCAGGTATGTAACCTTCTGGACACGTACGTATACTCGCTTGTACCCATAATTCAGAATTTAGTTACTACAGCTTGTTTGAATGACCTTCTCCCCCTCCATGTTTCGGCTCTGATGAGGAGGCATCACGAGGGCGAATCATAGCAGTGGCCATGGCGGTCGCGCAGATCCCGTCTCCAGTAAGTTATCTGGGGAAATTTCCGAGACCGGCCAATCCTCATCTCCATGTTTTGTCATACTTTCTCGCGTGACTGGAATGCTAGCTGGGATGTCTCATAGACCGGCAATCCACGAGTAGCAATAACTGCGTTTGGGGAAGTGATCGATTCTTTTCCTGAAGTATCCAAGGTACATGTTCTGACTCGAGTTAGCGTTTGATCTATGGAACTGTATACACCCGTTACGAGGCACAGCAAAAGGAACTATAGAGACAATGACAAATCAGTCGAGAAACGGCGAGACGGGAGTCAAGCGTGCCCAGAGCTTCCAGTCTTGCATTTTTCTCCTTAAGCATGACAGGTACTTCCGAGCTTGACAGGAGAGCGCGTCGCATGTATCATTAATTCAAGCCACCAGAAACACTACTCTTTTTACTACTCCGTACTCCTACATAAACCAGAGAACGAAGTAGCGCTCGATTCAATCAGCCGAGCCCTCGCCTCCACATTACAGTAACAATTGCTATTGTGCCCCTGGTCCCTGCATGCGGAATCGATCGACTGCACAGCGCGAAGATGATAATAGCGGCGGACGGCTGATCCCCATCGGTCCAAGACGAATCCCCAGCCTTGAATTGAACCTCCACTGGCGCGCGTTGCTGCTACGCCAATGTCGGCGCGGTACATCGACCATTACTCAATGTCCAGTCGATACCTCGTAGCCGACACAGGATATATAGTTCATACAGACTATACAATAATTCTATATGGTTCCACAATCCAATACGCGAGCTACACTCAAACCGCCCCCATCCTGGTAGCGGGCTCGGCCCAGGGCCCAAGGCTCTGGAAGCGGTGAAATGTGCTGAGCTGCCCTAAGTTGCCCTGAGCTTTGAGCTTTTACAGCTAGTACATAGTTGTAGGCTATGACCCGAGTATTTGGCTCAGCACCTGCAAAGCACAGGACAGCATGAGGCTCAGCACACGCTCGAACACGATCCAGCCCTTCGGCTTTGCTTGTTTTATATCCCCATCTCAAGCTTAAAGCTCCTTAGACCTTGTCCCCTGGCGACCAAAACACTATTCCAATGATAAAGTCGAACAGGGTAGAAATACACTTTCAAACTTTCTTCCTCCGGTAATTGTGATGTGTACAAGAACGTCGTGCAGCGCAGGTCCGCTCGCGCGCTGTTTGGCTGCGGTCGCCCCGCTGGGGTACTTTTGGTGATGGCTTGCCACAGCAACGACCCTCCTGACGCGCCGAAACTGACATGTCGCATGGCGATGATTGCACACGGTCCCCTTCCCTCTTCTGACATTGTCAAAGCCGTTCGTTCGTCAATCACTCCAAACCACCGCGAAAAGGAATGTTTAATTGAACATGTGAACTGATTTATTATTTGTTCTCTTCGGGGTCTGGGGATCCTTATTCCCGCCACGTGCACCTTCCTTTTCCATGTGGTTTCGGCTAGAGTCTATTTGCAGTATACCTTCTTATCATCTCAGCCTTAGGGAGAGAATAGTTAAAATGTACTATTTCCGCCATTTTGGAACGAGATTAATGATCGTCTCAGGGGAAAGTGTCCATAGTACCCAGTTTTGCTCATCATTGCCTCGGCTTCGGAGTTGGTTCGGCACCATTGGTAGGAATTGTACCTTTGAAGGGGACTGTGCGAAGTCGCCTCACTTTCTGTGCCGCTCTCTGTGGATCAAAAAGAGCGGTCATTAAGGGCTCTTGAATAGTTGCTTTAGGGGATGTAGTCCACAGCTCAACCTGCCAGTAAACTGGCACCTTGGGTGTATTAGGCGTAGGTTGTAAAAGTTGCATGTATTCGTTTTGCCAGTACTGGACCAACAGACTACCTTGTGAGCTAGTTACAGGGCCCTAAAAACGAAAACAGGATCTTTTCATCGACCAAAGGCCTGATGGGTCTTACAGAAAAGTAGATCCCGGACAATCAGGCTCGCGACTTGTTTGATGTCTCGTCTTTCACACTGCCATCCGAGAGGAGTGGACATCATGTCTCCATATTTCGCGGCAAGACAATCAATCCAGGAGAGTCTCTTGCCTGTGCTCCAAGTATATAGTCGTGTCTGACATCGATATCACGCTCACGGGAAACTTGCGACACATCGAAATCAAATCGACGGAACACCGCAGCCAAGATCAGGAACATCTCTGCTCGTGCCAGATTGGTACCCAGGCAGGATCGTGTGCCTCTATTGAATGGCACAAGATACCGATCCAATCGTTGATTCCTCTCCAGCCAGCGCTCGGGGCGAAAAGTATAGGGCTCAGGGAAGATGTCTTCGTTCTGATGCGTTAGCGTAGCCGTCAGGCTGACCGTCGATCCCGCAGGGATCACATAGCCTTGACAACTTATAGATCTTTCTGGAAATACTCGGCCGATCCTATGAGTTACAGGATTACAAAGACAAAGTCCCTCCTGGACTATAGCAGCTAGATAAGGAAGTTGCTCCAACTTTGAGAGCGACGGAATCGTTTCTGAGATTACTTCTGGCATGGCGACTTTCAACTCCTCATACAGTCTTTTGCGTATTTCTGGATTCGCACAGACATGGTAAGCAGTACCACGTAGAACGTATGCCCTGCAGTAAATTTCAGCCTTTGCACCTTGGCGAGTACCATGAAACTTACGTAGTCCCTGAACCGGCTGTCACTAGACTGAATGCTTCATCACGGAGACGATCAGGTGTGAGCTCCGCCACTGGAAGCTTGCTGCCCAACAATTCGTGGAATATAGTCCGTTTAGTCTCAACTTTCTGGATCATTTCTTTCCTATTCCGAATTTCCTCTACCTGGCGCGACAGCCCCTGTACTTGGTAAGACAAAGCCATATTGTAATTACTCAACACATACACGTCTAAACTCCAGAATGTTTGTCATGGCAGGCGCGAGAATACTGTTCAATCCGTCCTAGATACCATAAGCTTTTGCATCCTTAATCATGGTAAGCAGGCCGTACCGGCAGAGAATAAGTAAAACGCATTGCCCATGGGATATGGATATTTATTAAGCTGACTTTCAAGAACGAATCAACGTCGTCAAAATCCTTTCGAGCAAAGTCTAATTTGCAGACATTGACAGGCTCGTGGCCAAAGCAATAGGCGTTTATTATGTCGAGAGTAACCGCGGCAAAAATGTATTTCATATTCACAGGCTGGTTTTCCTTGCATGCCAGGCTGAGTCGCTCACATAGAATGTGGATGGGCTTCCACATCACCGGAGCGAGATCATTGATGGACTTTTTCGAAAAGAATGGGCTTAAGGCGCTCCGGCGTAGGCGATGAAGCTCATGAGACGCAGTTCCAATGGTCTAATGAGTGGTATTGACGTAGTCAGTTATTACTGCTTCGGGGCTGTCTAATTAAACAAAGTCCTTCATTCGTCTCTGCTGTATTAAAACCACACAAATGGGCTCAACTCACCGCAGGGTATGGTCCAAAGGCCCCGGCTACTTGAGGCGGCTTGTCGACTCGGCCGTTGGTTTGATTGAAAACAGACTCAAGTAAGTCCGGATCATAGATGTGAGCTTCGTCAGGGTTGATCCGGACAACGGGGCCTAGTCATCGTCCTAGATCGGTGATCATGTTTCGGAACAAACTAACAAAACCATTTCCTTACCGAATTTGCGATGGAGCTCTTCCAGCTGGAATGTAAATTGACCATCAAGATACAGATCAAAATACCACTCATACAGATATGTGAATTTTGCGAGGAAAGGGCCAGGTATGTGAGATAAAGTATGAATAAAGTAGCGGTAGACAAGCAGCGTTGAAACGTAAACAAGAAACATGCACGCTGCATATTTTGCATAATCGAACGGAACGCCCTTCATCGTGTATATTGATAGGAAATAGTCGCCGAGCGTACGTTGATGGGAATTTTCACAATGAGTTCTCTTTCTCGAGTGCTGGCAGCTTGAATTGCAATATAATCATCGGTTACCCCGCTTGATAGCACAGCCTTGGCAATATCGGAAAAAATACGACGGAGCCAATCACAGAGGCAACCAGTTGGGCTCTAGGTGGCTGCTTTGATTGGAGTCATATAGGGCCCATCTACGCTCCCTTATAGGGAAGCAATGTGTCTGTATTTGCAGTGATTTCCTCATTCAAAGCAAGGACTGGACGGTGAAACGATAATTTTAATACAGATGTCACAGAAACTAACCCTGATACCCCTTTTACGCATGAAACAGCCATCTCATGCAGCCTATAAAGGCCAAAGAGCTACAATACATCCATAACTAGAAAGCTGCCTGAAACTCGGAGGAATTACAGTCAGTTAAAGATCTTTCGTCACAGATAATGGATAGACTCGCCTTAGATTACATTAGCTGGCATGTAAGCGCCGAAATCTCGAACACAAAAATCTTCCCTGAGCTTTGCCTATCTCCCTATTGCGCTTTGCCAGAGTTCCTTGTGCTTCAAATTAACACTTTGGGAGTAGTTAGTACAGGTGGTTATCGTGAGTCGATTCCGCATCAATAACAAGGTTGTTCCATGAATAATCAATACTAGAGTACATACATTGGATATAAACACAGGGCGAGTCCATCCCAACACAGACAGGACGCTTTCTTTTTCTTCAAATCTTCTTCCGCTGACACAGAAACTCGGATTTCAGGTCACTTTCATCATCCACAATATACCTTAGGGCAGAAATCATCGATTTTGTCCCAAGAGAGACTCATTTCAGCACTATCGCCCATCATATTCCAAAGGTCCAATAACACGCGGGTCCAGCACTTCATCCATCCGGGGAAGTCGTCATATTCGTCAATTCCGGCCACGCTTCGACAACCTTCACATACCGTATAGTATCATCTCGATGGTACTCTATTTCCTGCTCCAGAGCCTCCGCCGATGTACCTAGTAGCGTCCGGGGGCATTCCTCATCAATAACGATACACATTCGATATTTGTTGAATTTATCACGCTGGTGCTGTGCATCTACCCACTCCTCGAAGCGAGCGCGAATCGAATCGATTGATGCCCTATCAAACTGCGTCACATCTTCGATAACAGTAAGGCTGTGTCGAGCCCATATTCCTTCGTAAATCGCAGGATCTACCCCGGTGCTTTTGTTTGCACATTCTGCTGCTTCTGCAAAGAACGACTTTTTGATGCAGGCCTCGAGATACTTGATCACGGTAGAGAAGTGTGCGTCAGATTCAGAGGAGTAGGTTGTACGATAGATAATATATCCCCAGCTTGGATGGATCTTTAGCTTGTCAAATAGCTCCCACAGGGGGTAAGGTGGGCGAGGCATATTGTAGGTGACGAATGAGAAGCTTTGAATAGAACGAAGAAAAATGTATCTCAGAGATTCGAAGACTCCCAACCCTAGGAGCAGAGAAACCAGGGAAATAAACGCCGGTGCGTTGTGCGCTCTTCAATCTAGAGGAAATATCTAGAGGTCTTAGGGGAGTGGGAAGGAAAGAGCAAGCCAATTATTGAGGACCTGTCAAGCAAGGAAAGAGGCATACAAGACAAACAATTCATTGTGGAGTCTGGAGAGATCAATACTGTGTAGTTGGGCACACGGCCGTCACCCCTACCAGCATCTTATGATCTAAGGTAACTATAAAGGGGGTAGAGGCACTGATGACTAGGGCAGATAATGCAAAAACTAGTACAAATATGATTGGATCAAGAATATGATTAGCCGTTTTTCTGCGGGTATAATAGTTCATAAAACGGGATTTTGAACTATGGCGTCTATCCGACGCCGCACTGACCCCCACCGTATATCAGGGCATGAACTAAGCCAGCCTTGTAACTTTGTTCCTACCCCGCCATGAACAATTTGCTTCGCCCCACCTTGTCTCCTCCCATGAGACTTTCACCCAAAGTCCATAATAAGAAGCTATTCCGACAGACTCCCAATGTCACAATTCGCAGCTTCCTGGGCTGAAGCCCGACGTCGCTACACAGACGTGGCGGGTCTGGACCCAGATGACTCCCAGTTTCCCCATCCATCATCGATCGATGAGCTCCTCAAAGCACTGGAGGCCCAAAACCAAGGCTTTGCAGAGTTTAGATCTCGTAAAGGCAGATTCTTTCATGTCCTCTTCGAGGTCAGTAAGCCGATCAGCATCATCGCAAGTGTTGCTAGTAGTGAAGCTGGAGGAGCGTTCCCGGCCGCCGGGGTCTGCCTTGGGGCTTTATCGCACCTTATGACCACAGCGAAAGGGGTGTCTTCTGCGTACGACAATATTCTGGATTTGTTGGACAATTTGAAAGTGAGTTAGCTTTGAATGAATAAAGGTGTCAGAGACAGGTATCGCTGACCTGGAATACAGAACGTCCTGGTGCGCCTGAATATTTATGAACGCGCTGTGATCCCGGCTTCTTTGCAATCGCATTTTATCGAAATGCTTGTAACACTCATGGAAATCTTCGCATATTCCACCAAGACCATGAAGAAGGGTACTCGGGAGAGAATTTCTCGGTTCGCTAAGAATGCGCTACTCGGCGACGACGGAGTCATCTCGGGACTACTTGCTAAATTAGAGGTTCTTTCGAGGAACGAAGACCTGCTTGCAGGTGCAGAGACACTGGTAAAAACTCAACAGATTCTCGATTTACAACAGAAGACGAATCGAGATATACAAAATGTTCTTGAAAATTTATCTTCGCCAGCCCAGATACAACATCGCGCGGAACAACAGCTCAACAGAGCCAAGAGCATTCTTCAGCCTTCTGTGAATCCGGAGGATATATTCCAGGCAATCTCAAAGAAACGCGTTCCCGGGACGGGAAGTTGGGTGAGAGACCAACAAGCTTTTAAGGACTGGTTAGACAAGAAAGCCACCACGCTTTGTCTTGCTGGGAGTCCTGGGTTTGGAAAAAGCTTCATTGCCACTAGTATAATCTCCTTTCTACAAGAGGTGGCTCTGCAGAGTACAGAAGCTTCGCGGGACTCGGTAGCGTTCTTCTTCTTCAGGAACAACAACCCACAGACAAGGAAGATAGACCAATGTCTGAGAGACCTCGCATTCCAAATCTACAAAAGCGATGCGACATTCCAATCCTATTTTGACTCACGCTTCTCTTCTCCGGGAGAGGTTGAATCTCCCGAAAGCATTTGGAGAGAGGTCTTTCAGAATTACTTCCGACTACGGAAAGGTGCAAAGGGGATCTATCTTATCATAGACGGACTAGATGAAGCTTTCGAAGAGGACCGGGAGAGTCTTTTCAATCTTCTAGCCCCAGACAGTACATCCGGTATGATGTTGACATCCTTAGCAGGGTAGATTATGGCCTCTACCAATAAGATTGAACTAACATGGTTGCAGACCACGCTATTCTGAAAATTCAAATTGTCCTGACTGGACGGCAACATGTCTTCAATGAGCTAACTATGGTGACAAATGAACTTTTTCCAACAATTCATGTCGATCGATTCAAGAATAGCCGAGACATGACTCAGTACATCAACCTCAGCATTGCAAAATCGCGATCCCTTGCTCGTTTTCCAAAGTTGAAGAAAGAGATCGCCGATACCTTGACGATGAAATCACAAGGAATGTTCCTTTGGGTTGATCTAATGATTAGAGAACTTGGCCATAAGTCTCGTCCTGAAAACTTACGCGAGGCCTTGCATAGAGCACCAAAGGGTCTGAATGAAAAGGTGCGGAATGTCCTCGAGAATTACAGCTTAATGTTCGAGGACGAAGATGAGGCGGGCGATTTCAATGCTATCTTATCCTGGGTTGCGTGCGCTGCGGAACCTTTACCTCTTGCGGTCATGGATGATGTACTTTGCCGTCGAGTTGGTGACGAAGAAGGTATCCCGAAACTCGAGGAGAGGCTTAGGTCTGAGTGGGGAGTACTTTTGGATTTAAACCGCGACGATGGGTTGACCACCGATGATCTCGAGGGCGATCCTCTTAAATTCTACAAAGCATTGGGGGCCATCGACATTCAGAAAAACAACAATGAAGAAACAGAGCCAGAGGTTGATTATGCTTCCAACCCCAATTCAACGAAGGTCGTCTTTTGCCATGCATCTATTGGCGAGATTTTCAAGAATGGCGTCCAGGGGAAAGTGTCCTCTGAGGAACAACATCCTGCTGTTGGTGTCGATATCGCCGAGAGCGCCATGATAACATTGCGTGAGTGTCTGGAAACTATCTGTTGCAAAACGCAGAATAACACCAAGTACGAGTCTTTGCGAAAGTATGCTATTCGCAGGTGGCCTGATCATGTGAAGTTGGCTTGCAAGCATGTCGATGGAGTTGATGATGAAAATCTCAAGGTAGCCTCGGGCCTTGCGCTGTTGAAACTCCTTAAAGACGAAGAATTCATGCAAGACTGGTTGCCGGAGGTTTCTCTCGAAATTTTCAATATGGAAACTCTTGATGCTATCATCGTGATTGTCAAGCAATGCGCGACCGCGGAATCGATCCCGAGTGGGACCCGTGAATGGCTCGAAGACGTTATGGCTCGTCCGAGTGGGCTGTTCCTCCCATCAAGGAGATTGGTAGCAAAACAGTGGCTCCAAGGAGACACCTGGGACACTGATTTGTGCATAAAGATCGTTCATCGTGTGTCATGTCTAGAAAATGGTCAAGTTGGAGTTGACACTGCCCAGATGCTGTCAGCAAGAATGGTCCTGGAAGCCGCGGAAAGCGCAGGATTGGAGCAGAATGCCGAATGGCACCGAAGACTCGCCATGTCACTTCGTGAAATTGGATACTTTGACGACGCAGAGACCCATTTCCAGGCTGCTATTGCCCTAGACGAGCGGAACTGGCGGGCTCTCAGCGGCCTTGCCCGCGTGGAGAAAATGCGAGGCTGTAATCAAGAGGCCCTGAATCTCTACAAGTCGAGTTCAGAAATTTTGAGATCACTTTATAGTCCCGAAACAGCCGACAAAATACACACGCAAAACCTTGCGGGCTCATATGAAGACATCGCGGATGCAGCAATTGCAGCGGGAGACCGACAAACCGCATTAGCATTCTATAAGAAGTCTCTCGACTTGACGATGGGTCAAAACCAGGTGGTGGTTAAATATCTCAAAATTCTTCCTGATAATGACATTGCAGAGATTGTTCGTGTCATAAAAAGCTTGGAAGTGCCGATTGAAGGGGACAATCGGGAGAACTTCAACTATCTGACGTCCTTGTTCTTGAGTCATTCAGCCTTTCTTCAGGCTTATGAGGAGTACTGGAAAGTCGCAGCGGCTTTCAAGTCAAATGGAGAGATAGAGTGGCTGGAAAAGGCCTATCGTGCAACAATCGCAGTTGCACGGAATGATCAACTTCCAATCATAGAATTTGCTCTCAACCTTATGCTCGCCGATTTGTTCTACGTCTATGATAGCAAGCAAGAGAAAGCATTGCAGATCTGGAAGACAGCGTTGCAATTCCCAGCGACATTCATGTCCTCGGACAGCCTTCTGAAATATCTACACACCTACGTTGGTAAGGATTACGCAGTTGGTCTGCTTCAGAAGGCCTTCGACATAGGAATATGCACACCTGAAGCCGACCAACACCTCAAAGCCCTGGAAGAAGTCTGTGTCAGCACCAACAGCCTGGTTGAAAATCTGCCCTCGTATACCATGTTGCCGCTCCAGAGCCTTGTATTGGGTTCCTGGAAATTGTTGGCTGGACGACGCGAGGAAGGGTATGCGTTGCTTCGCCCTTTTATGCAGATTGCGACTTCCGGTGCGTACAGTGATGACAAACTGGGCGCCCAACAGAGGAATTACATCACTTCGAAGATCCTTATCGGGACAGGAGATGAAGCCAGGGCAATCTCGCTTATGCAGACATACTCTGTATCGGAAATTTTCCTTGTTATCTGCTACGGACGCTGTGGATTGATGGATACCCGGTGGAAAGGTGGCTACAGTTGCAAGATCTGCTTAGTGGACCTATGTGGAGATTGTACGGAAGTTCTCAAACAGGGCGGCCAACTTCCAGTCAATGTTTGTAGTCCCAGTCACTCCTGGGTTCACATTCCAGGTCCAGACACTCCAACGAAGGAAGGCGAGATCTGTTACAACGGCGAGGTAATCTCAATAACCAAATTCTACCTGGATATTTGGGATGAATGGCAACTGTAATTCCTTTCAGGCATAGATAGATCAGCACAATAGAGGAATATGAAGCAAAAGGAATGAACATGACATCTATTAGAGATAACAACCTTATGATCCACAAATTAGCATCCGAAATCTAATCGGGTACAGCCACACTAGAAGAAGCCAGCAAGGTCCTGCATATCATTACTGTCTCTAGTCATCCCTGGATATGAAGTCTCACTGGACGTTCCTGTATCCAGTGTCATTCAACATCTCAACATCCTCATTTGAGCCATTTGTTGACTTGAAGAGAATGTTGCTTGGGTGAAAAATATTGAACAAAATACAACACATCATCATCAGAGATGCGTCAAAGATATAAACAAAGGCTTCTTTGCTTTGAAGATACCCGGTGCTCCCTTGCACATATTCAGCCACTCGATAGATCGATCGGATCATGATCAAAGTACTTGGGGAATACAGCACTATCATGTATCGCGTCCAGGGGATAGTGGTTTGGACCATGAAATGCATTGGGGTTGCGAGCATTTGACGATGGAAGACGGCGGAGACAACAATGAAAAAGCCGAATGAGATGATCTGCACAACCAGACCTGCCACGATCACATTTTGCCCGAGTTTCATCATCGACTCGGACTTGGCACTCGATAGCATGCCGCCACCTAGGAACTATTGTGTGAGTCTTGCTTTTATTCTAAAAAGAGGAGGACGTCTCTAAAGCTTACCGCCGCACTGCATAAGAAATGAAACCACATCACCAGTAACGAAGATTTTCGTTAACCATGAGGGCCTGACCAACGCGTTTGAGGCACCTTTCTATAGTAGAATGATTCGTCCGAGAATCATATAGATCGATGCCGCGAATAAAGAGGGCGCTAAAAGGAGGAATAGCTCTTGGGCAACGTAGGACATGGTTGTCCAATTCGGGGGTTGTTCTGCGCTGTCGTATCTCACTGCATATCCGAAGGCCTCAACTGAAAATCGAGTGAAATAATTAGTGTGCTGGACATTATAACCTCTTCGGGAAAGAAAATTAAAACGCGCTCACATAATCCACCTATGATAAAAGGTATGAAGAACCAGCTTTTATTGCGATACACCTGCCAGAGGTGGCCTGCAATACTCAGAGCAAAGAAAATTGCGAATGCCACTGCTGCCCCTGAAGATGGGTTGTATTTATAAAGCTTAAACGAGGAGCTCATTTTGAGAGACAACAAAAGACAAGAACAGAAAAAGAGTGAAAAGAATGGACTGCAGGCTAGCAACGTACCCTGGCCTTTGTCAGGGGCAGATTGAAAAAAAGTTTGATGACACAAGACGACAAATGTTATGCGGTATATTATATACAAAAACAATGCCGTTTCCCTATTTCAGCGCCATTGTCTATATGCCACTACAAATGGATGATACTGGCTCTGTCTAGGCAATACAGTTTGATAGCCAAGCAATGAAAAGCTTCGATGCACGCGTCCACCTATTAATAGGATCCAGGTGGTTGGACTGCGAATAAGAGTACGGTCAAACCTTCGATTAGATTGACCAATTTCTTTTTCCATTTCTCTATTAGCCCACCTTTATCTAGATGATGCACGAGTACGAACGTTAAGTTTTGCGCTTGTGGGAGATCCTGGCTGGATCAATCAATCAATCAATCAACACTCTATTAACCTGATGCAGCCTAACTAGTGGCGTAATGGCTTGCAGGCGCTTCCTCCGGCGGAAGGCAAGAGTATTCCGAACGCCAGTCCCGCGCGTGAAACAGTAGATACATAGGAAAACGGCGTATTGCCATATAAAACCAGCCAGAAAACAGTACCAAAACGCCCTCAATGTCCTCAATCCCACGATGAATCTTTCAATCAGCCCTCACAATAGCCTGCTGCTTCCTCTGCATCTCCATCTCTGCCCTCTTTGGTATCCCTCTCCTCCTGCTCCGTCTCGATTTGTGGCGTTCGCTAGTGTTGGATGTAGTCTTCCAAGACCTCTCGGTAGGCCTCGGGTGTCGGTGTTCCTAATACCCATCGTCTTCACTACCTGCGCCTGCCAGTCTATCCTGGCTCGTTGTTCCGTCGCCTTCTTTTGGTGGTTCTGGCTCGATTTCGACGTGTCGGAACCGCTCCAGAAGGCCCGTTTGAAGCATGAATTCGGCCACGTAGCGGGTGGCCTACGAGTGTGATATAATTGCATCGTAATCGGTCGAGTCGCCAAGATCAGTCGCCCTGACCTTGTCTAGGAAGATCTTCCTCAGATCAGCGTACAACGGGCACTGCATCAAGATATGTCTCGGTGTTTGAGACCCCTCTCCGCAGTAGCACTCATCTGATTCGACCGCCTTGATTTTGAATAAGAAGTGGTTCAGTGCAATGCGCATTGATCGCATCTGAATCAGAATCGAGATGTATGGCTTCGACAGAGATTCGAATAGCCGAAGCACCTTCTTGTCTGGGGCCTTCACTAATCGCTGGTTCGGTTTACCAGTTGTCTCCTTTGCGCAGGGTCTGAAGGGGTTAATAATAATAGTGGAGCGGCAAGAGCAGTGTCTTCATTCCATAATAGAAGTAAAATCCAAAAATCAAAAACATACAACAGCCAGGATTCGCATGTGGTCACCCACCATACTACTAACTGGCCGGCGTGTGGCTTAAGTACGGCTGAGCGGACGGGAAGCCCTGTTCTCCACACCCTATGGTCGTATGTAGCAATAATTGCACAAAAGAGACTTATATCCTCCGAATATACCTAAAGACAAGGTGAGCACCGATTTAACATCGCGCGACCAAGGGTGACCAGGATGAGTGCATGGGTAATAGAGAGGGTGAGAAGTCGGCTGAAGACCTATCTTGCAATTGCCAAACTGACCCTCCTCGTCCCTGAACTTTTAGCATTTGTATATATTATCGATTTTAGCTCAGCATTAGCTAAATTAACGTCAATGCTGAAATCAATATTGCGGTGGGCCAAAACCCAGTACTTTGCTCGTTGTCCAGGGTCACCTAAGAGAATATAGACGTCTACGGGCGGTTAGCTCCGCTCGGCATACGCAACAACAATTACATATCGTCCTCGATTTTTCGCTCACAGTTCACCTATTCTCATCCTCTCCGATCCCTAGGTATACAAGCTGAATAGAAATATAGTCCCTTTGGATGACAATTGAAACAATCTATCACACATGACCGGAATACATCTCTGGACCCTGTTGTAACCCCGGTATGATTATGATTAGTGCACGGGAATATAGACGAAGCCAACAGGAAGACTATTGGGGAGGGGTAGGCAAATAATCTGCAGCAAAGTCTGCAGCCTCATCATACTCCCTCTTCTCCAAGATCTTCAGCTTGTTGGAACCAACCAAACCCGCCACGGTGTCGTTCCCTTGCAAGACAAATTGCGTACCAAGGCCCGGCTGCTCAAACCAGCCCGTGATCGGTCCCAACGCGACAGTAATTGGTTCCAGCACTTGATACACATGGTAGTTGTAGGGAAAGCTGCTATTCTCTGGTGCGAACAAATTCTTAGGTGGCAGGGCGCGCTCGATGTAAGGTGCACCGAGGGGAGACAAGAAGGTACCGTTTGGGTCTCCAAATCGGTCTATTTTTCGTCCTTTCTCCAAGGTTGCAATGCCAACGATGGGTGTCTGATTGGTGGTGTTTGCGAACCCGTTGGCGCCAGGGAAGATGAGAAAGGCGTTCGGATCTGAGACGTTTACGCTATACTTTGCGAGAAATTCGTAGGGGCACAGGTCTCCAAAGCGGTAGTATGTTGCAACTTCTGTGGAAAGGGGGAAGTATCGGGGCAGATCGATTGGACCGAGGCGTGGATCACCACACACAGCTGTCTTATTTTGAAAGGTGATTCCTTTGCAGGGATCGGGGTAGCATCTTGCTGGGTAATCAGAATCCTACGTACGAAAGAGTATACATACGTCAATAAAATTCAAGATCAAAGGAAGATCGCTAGCTTATCATGGAAGAGCCTTGGTAGCTCAGAATATGAGGTCTGAACAAAAATAAAACAAACCTTGTTGCCATTGGTAGGCTTCAGCGTGACATAGGATGAAGTATCGGCCAGCGCGGCTCCAAAGAGGAGAGTGAGGATCGCAATCCGCATATTGACAGGTCGGTTTGGTAGAACAACAGGAGAAATCTCGGTGAGAATCGTACCTAGGATTGACCCCTAGATGTGAAGCGCATGGAAACATCCAGCTTCCCCTCACCAGATTATATATTTTTGTCAAGGTCTGTCTCTGTTGAAACCATAGCGTAACGTTTGGTTGGAATTTGAGCCCAGGAATGTATTCTCTGTTTGCCTTTTCGGTTCTATGTATCATTTGCTGGCTTCTTGGTCAAAGCAAGTACATTCAACATGGCAGAGTAATACTCCATTCTCCATTCATTTTCGTGAATGTGGCGTCGCATCATATGCTCTCGATTTTAGAATTCACATTGGACAGGCATGTACTTTGTGTTAATTGGATTTCGATCAATTGGGGGGTATTGAACGTGGGAAAAGTAAGTCCAAGGCAGGCTTAAATACTTCAGCAACCAGTCCCGAATTTAATGTTTACTCCTTAGTGGCCGCTCAGAGCGACTCCATACCCTTTCACTAACTATAACAATCTTCAAATCAAAACAACTCGACCCAAACGCATCAATTATTCCAGAGCAGACTATGAGTCCGACGCTATTTTGGGACCTGGGATATATGTACAATTTATAATTCTCTACGTGCCATAAACAGCTTGACGTAAAAAAGATCAACAAACAAAAGCCAAACGATGGTGATGCTTTCCCAGCGCCCATCGTTCGGTGCTGCCCCTTCAGGCGGGTTTGGAGGGCGGCAGTTCGCCCACCTAAATATTCTTCACCCAGAGAGGTGAAGCCCTGCCAAAAAATGTGCCTTTATACTTTTTGATCAAGCGACATATTTCGCGATGCGGAAGCAGACACCACGTCCTTGCCTCTCGGGCAGTTGCCGCCAGTTGCCCTCGCCCTTTTCCACGTTCCCTTCACTTCATTCCCATCCCTCTGCCGTTTCTTCTTGGTCAACGTGATATGGTAGTCCCTGGAATTCGCCATCCAATTTTTTGGCTGATCCCGAGGGCGAATATATGTCCATTTACTGTCCCGGACCAATGCCATATACTGCCAAGGGACCAAGCATGTTGACATGCCGAACGCGCGGGGGAAATCCTCTCTTCTTCAAGCGTCTTGCACACAGTTTGTGGCCTATATAGATTGAATCTAGGCCATGCTTCGGCCCTTCACATTCACGATATATCCCCAATTCCACGCTCAACGGTACTTTTATCAGACCAGTACACGCGGGCGTGATCAACTGGGGTAAACAAACGATACTGGTGTGCCCGCTGGGGCCACTTGCGGCATGTTATTCATTAATTTAGGTAACACGCGGGATTTCAGTCATAAAATACAAGATTTAGGCTTTCTTGTCTTCGGTAAGCCTTTGTAGGAGGATAGAGCGAGGTCTCAAGACGCTTATTCCGGGTTTAGATTCCTTTTTCCTAGTATATCGGATAGTTGAGAGAAATATCTACGGAGAGCGCTGTTGAATACGCTTATAACCCCAATTGATGGCATGTAGCTTATTTACGCTCTGTAAGCTCGGGTGTAAGGTCTTTTGAGTAATCTATGCAAATTTGTAGCAACGTCTGCACTAAAGATAGCTATTTAACAGAGATATCTGATGAAGCTGATCCCTTCGTCTGACTGTCTGTGTCGTCAGTGATTGTCTCTGTAAATTCAATCAGTTCAATTTAGAAATTACGGTGTGGGTAAACAGTAAGGCATAGCTAAATCGAAGGTCAGTTTGTGCTCTATTACATAGATGGGGATGATCATGACCATCTTCAGGTTGCACAACCGGCTAAGCAACAGAATAATGGCCGGAGATGCACCGACCTGGGGATTCCGGGATCCCCCAGAAATTGCGGAGTACACCCACGGTAGTCCACCCTTGTGAAGTATAAAGACTGGGAATATTCTGTCACATCACGCACGTCTCACATAAAAATCAGACACTTTGCCATACAAGGAGCTCCTTATAGTCTCCCACATTTCTTGGTCTCAAAGGCCAAAGGCTTGTGAATGCAGTTACATTTTGTTGCTCTATTGGCTTCCTCCTTTTGGGCTATGATCTGGGTTTTATGGGCGGGTTGACCACGTCTCCCGAATTCTTCGATGTGTTCGGGAGCCCTAGCGCTGCCTTGCTAGCTTTCCTCGTGGCATCGTATGAAGTTGGTGCGATGATAGGAGCAGTATTCCAGTTCTTCCAGGACGATCGGTACGGCCGCAAGCCTAACAATATTGCCGGTGCAGTCATTGTCGCTGTAGGAGCAATTGTTCAGACAACAACATACGGTCTTGCGCAATTCCTCGTCGGTCGTATTGTCGCGGAGTTTGGGTTGGGTATGATGACAACCGTCCTTCCGATCTGGCTATCTGGCTATTGGAGTGTACTTCTCCCCAAGTCGAGAGGTCAGATGATGGCTATGCAGCTGTCGAATCTCATCGTCGGTCTGATCTTGGCGAACTGGTTGGACTACGGAATGGCATCGTATTCCGGATCGATACAGTGGAGATTCCCATGTGCGTTCCAAATCGTCTTCGCCTTCATCGTTCTCATCTTTATGCCGTTACTTCCTGAGTCACCCCGATACCTTTGAACCAAGGGAAATATAGCCCAACATAGGATATGCCTGTCTGCTTTACCTGGGAAAGCCACCAGCGACCCCGAGATTGTGGAAGAGCTCAAGGAGATCCAATATGCCTTGACTATGGAAGCGGATGATGCTGGCTCCTGGAGCGACGTTTTAAAAGACAATGGGATCAGTGGATTTACAAGAGTTGCCATTGCGTCCTCGGCCAACTTCTGTCAACAACCATCGAGATGCAGGGTTATGTCGTCTTTGGGTCCATACGTGTTTCAGAACTCGATAGGGATATCCAGGAAGGATGCGATGCTTGTATCCGGCGTTTTGCAGGTCTTCTATTTCCTAAGCATTCTGATTCCTTGGTATGCCCTTGATCGTGTAGGCCGTCGAACGCTTTTTATGACTGGCTCTTCGGGCATGGGCATCTGCTTTTGTTGGTATAGGGACCAAAGGTCTCGAAAATGCCGCAGCAGTGGTTTTGTATATTTTCTGGACATTATTTACGCTGGGATGGCAGTCCAACATGTGGATCTATCCCAGCGAACCCCTGCCCCTGAAACTCAGATTACGGGGTGGCGCTTTGGCTGTTGTCTCACAGTGGCTGTTCACCTTTCTGGTTGTGGAAGTCACCCCAGTGATGATTAAGAACATTGGTTCCAAGAGCTAACTAGTTAGTTATATTGTTTTCACGGTCATCAACTTTGCATGCGTCCCACTAGTGTATTTTACTTACCTGGAGACGAGCAAAATGCCGCTCGAGGCAGTCGACCTATTCTTTGCCGATCGGGATGGCTAACGGCCATCGATTTGGCACGTGGCCAAGGATTCCACAAAATCCCAGTTCATTGCGGAGGTTGAGAGACAGTTGCAAGAGCGAGCGGGGACTTCACCCGATATCCATGAGAAAATTGAGGGATACGAATCGGAGCATCTGGAAGAGCAGCCCGCGTTTTGATTGCCCGACCGTTTGTCCCTTGGGCAATGCGCAAACAGGTTTGTGCAAGAGGGTTCCTGGGTGGAATGAATATCAAATTAACCGAATTTTGGGAGCAGGTTTTGAGATTAAACAGCCTAAATGAATTACCGTTGTCCGTATGTTTAGCCTCGCTAGTTATGACACGCTGGTTCAGGAGAAACTTGGCAAAGCTTGTCTTTGCATTAAAGTTTATTGGGAATTCAAGAATTCAATTTGACACGAAAGTCTATTTGTCAAATGCGAGACACCTATCGGACTGCAGTTGCCTGTGTTCCTGTAAATTATCCTGCCCCGAGGCAATAATTACTTCATGTACTGCCGGACGCGAGTCTAAGGGAACTACGGCGGTGTCCAGGGCGTTCGGGTGAAGCAACGAAGTACAAAAATGAACAAAATCCAAAAAACATACAACAGCCAGGATTCGCATGTGGTCACCCACCATACTACTAACTGGCCGGCGTGTGGCTTAAGTACGGCTGAGCGGACGGGAAGCCCTGTTCTCCACACCCTATGGTCGTATGTACCCGAAACCAAATGGAAGCCGCTTATATTCTTTGCAAATTATAAAGTTTTTTTGACCATAGACGCGCTGGTAGCGGTCTCGCAACAGAAGACGGGGGCTTATGGGATTACGATACAACGACGTCTCTATGTCCTTCTACGGTAGTTTCTAGCCACTAGAACTAGATGGCTATTTCTTATGCAACAAGCTCTAGGATAGCTATCATTAAGCGCCGAGAAAGGACATCATTCTTGACGACAGAGGCTAAGGGTTTGTAAAGAAATATGACTGACAACCAAATTTTTGAGCGCCAATCTCAAGGATGCCAGGGTCTGGTCTAAGCATCCAATAATACCACTGGAGTACCGATGAGGTGTTTCAACGAGGAGTCCAAAGAAAGATTTAGCCTCCGCCAGAATTCGGCCAATTGACATTGATGGTTTAATATATATAGGCGACATCTGGGATGGCTAAAGACGTCGTACGACACCTGGGAAAATTGCCGACCCAGTCTTTTTTAGTGTTCTTTGGGGAGACGGGGTTATAGTACACCTCTACCCCCTTTCCAGCGACTGTGACTGGACGGTGGCTGTGGAACTGTTTATATACCTATATATTATGGCCTACAGTACTCGGATCAAAATTTCAGCCCCGTTAAGCTTTCTGCTCACCAAACTTCCAAGTTCAAAGTCGTTAATACAAGGGAAAGCGAGTGAAGAGCGACCGAATTGTCGAAGCTATTATTCATCAAAGGAAGCAGTCCTAGTCTATACCATTGCTTCAATCTTCTCCAGTCTCTCCAGCTCGGAGCGGAATGGCCAGAGGGGAGGCGTTCAAAAGGACGGAACTTGGTGGCATACCTTCGTCACCGTCCCGCCAAAGGTCCAGGCTCACGTATGCCGCCTTATGGAGGGCTAAAGTTTCTTCCACCTCCCACTGGTCCCGCATGTATCTCGACTTCCCTCGGCGCAGCCAGCCGACTACCGTATCGATTGTCAGTCCAATGATCACAATGATGCCACAGAGTACGAGAGTGATAACGAGACCAAGAATCGAGAAATTTTCGTATCCCGAGGCTCTAGGCACGAGTTGATTATAGCATTGGGAACGCAGGAAGGTATTATTGGGCTTCGTGATGTGCCACCCCTCAGAGGGGAGGTTTTTCGGTCCGGCGGCCCACTCAAGGACCTGGGACTGGTCTTTGGCGAGAGACGTTGCAAACCAGGTTGATACTTCAATTTGCCATTGATTCGGAGGAATATACGTTTGAATATTTTGGTAGGCCATCATCGAAGCTAGAATGAAAAAATTGTACCGTTAGCTTGAAAAAAGGTCTTTTGATGAACGAGAGCTCTCTGAACTTACCGTTGAGAGCAGCGCCTCCTCGTCCATACACATTGGAATACATGCTCTTGTCGGTTGCTGAAGTAAGAAATCGTGAAACAGTCATAATTTGAGGGTCATTGAGATCCAGAGTTCTGATTTTGGTAGTCCAGGCCTGATTGACTGCACTCATGATACCACCCAGCGTTGTACAGGCAGAGTTCCCAGGTTTATTCGGGTTGCACACCTGATACTGGTCCACGCACCCCAAGAGATTTATCTCATAACTCTTAGACCACATAATAAGCGTAGTGTTCGTCCCTGGAATTGTTTGATTGGTATCTGTCTCTAGCTGTGCTGTCATCCACGGGTCGTCGCTGCGTTCAAGATATGCGATATCGTTCTGATTCAACATCATCAGGGTTATATCGGCATCGGTTTGATTAATATTTGAATCTGGCTCCCAGGCGCGAAAGGTGGTGTGTAGAATGCCGGTAGGATCGGCCTCGGCTTGCAAGGCGCTGGGATTCCAAGTCAGTTCAAATTTCTTCCCCAGTTTGGAAGGTTATTTTACTCACTTCAACGTATATCCCACACCGTCCAAGTTTGGGACTGAGGTGTAGATAAACGTATAATTAACCCCTAATACGGGCTGTGGCCCAGGATTGATATAGATTACTTCTCCGAGCGTTGAGTCGTTCGAAACTGTGGCCAGACCGGACCCATGGCGGATTGGCGCGCAGGTGCAAACTCGTCTGAACTTTATTCTTTCTTCGGGTGGCGCATTGATACCAAAGTCCATATGTGAATCCAATTGACCAGTATCCATCTGAAATGCGGATTGATTGTTGTAGGCGCACAGATTGTCTCCAAAGGGACAGGACGCATTCGAATTGGTGGTAAATGGTATGTATGGACGGACAAATGTCCCACAAGTTGGCCCATTTGGGTCCCCTTGATAGCATTGACGGACGTACGTCGCCGCGTCATAAGTATCCAAAAGGGACTTCGAATTTAGAGGACTTGACACTCCCGAGATGAGGTCGACTTCGAACCCTCCACAATTTGGACTGACAATGAGGGTGGAGGTACTTGCAAGCTTGGAGATGTAACTTGTAAAGAGACCAGAGACACTGAAAAAGAGGAGAGTGAGGATCACAAATGTTGCAAAAGGTAGGGACCGCAAGAAGCGCTTCGACACCATGCGCTGGTGTGCAAATGGAAGCGCCAGCAACGCCCAAGCCGCAGCCATCGTGCCCTTATTGCGGAGAATGACTTGGCGTTGGTGATGCAAAGCATCTCGCTTTTTCCAAACTTTTGTGGTATATGCCTGGTGAATTGCAAAGGCGATGATGTTCCAGAACAAACTTCCAGCGGAAGAAACGAGAACGGCCAAGAAAGCAGTCAGGATCCCAGCCCATTTTTGGGACAGAGTCAATGTCGCTCCCCGGGTACCCCCCTGAGACCAGTCTATCCAGGCACCAGTATAAGTATGGGTGCTATTAGACATCCTGATTGACGTTCAATCTCGGCTGCCTTTGGAAGAGCCTTTGGAGGGAAAGTTTCTTGTCATGACAAAGAATTCTCAGGCTATCGACCAAACTTAAATGTGTCATACTCGTTCGTGAATAGGCAACGACGCCCAAGCTAGATAATTGAAGGCAATTACATTATTGGCTAATTATAATTAGTTGGTGGTGCTAAGCGTTCCCAGGATCTCAGCCTCACAAGTTCGGGGTCCTTGAGCTCGAACTGGAGGATTCGGCACCGTATAATGAGACAGTGGCGCCTCAGAGCGTACCCAAGAAAGGCTTAGCCTTCTTTTGAAGTTGGGCACCATCTTCGAATCAAAATGCTGCGTACAGCGCATTTTAAAGTCGGCACCTAACCCTGCATTATGCCAGTTCTAGCTTTGAAGTACCGCATTGAATGGCACTGTCTTACCTACTACCCCCTACCATTATCAATAAACGTGGCCGTGGGGGTGGCTGTGTCGCCGCTTGTTTATAGTATGCTATAGTACTAGACTGCAAGTGGTGGAAAAGTTGGTAGGTGCACAGTGCTGGATCTCGGTTAACTTTACCGTACTCGCAGCCAGCGGCGCCATGCAGTCAGCCTCGAGTGTCCAGGAACGCACCATCGCCTAAAATATGCAAATTCGGGTTAGACTCATAACAGACCCTAAACCCGGGTTTAGTGACGACAAAACATATGCCGGAGTATACGCCAATATGGACGAGATCTCAAAAAAAAAAAAAAACAGACTTGGAGGCAAGGGGAGACTTTCTTCATAACGCTTGTCATTTTTGATGCAAATATTGTTGAACTCCGACTTCGGTGTATAGTCGAGCCGTTCATGGCAGTGGTATTGCTCGCTTAATGCTATATATGCTTTATTAGTATCATAGTTTTACGCGCCCGCTTATATACAGACATACAGTGACAAGTGACGTTCCATGAGTTTTTGACATTCCCTAGATCCACCTATCTTACCACTTTCGCCACCTACAATAGCGAGTAGTAGAGAAATTACCTCGTGTCGCATTACTCCTGTCCCTTATTAGGAGTTTTGCTCTAGGTAATTAGAAGGATAATGAAATCCACTGGTGGTAGTAGATAAGTCGATCTGCTAATAAGAATTTATTCTCGGGTTAGACTGATTGTAGATATTACTGTGATATCCTGTTTTGGTTCTTATTTGAAGGTCGGATGAATCGACTCACTCCCTGTGTCTTCCCACGCATAGCTAATACACGACAACTCCTCTATTACCTCTGATTGAGGGGTTGTATAGAAAAGAAGATACATGGATGCATTCAGTTCACACTCCAGAAAGAGTTATGGTTTAAAGACAACGAGAAGCCGCCCTATAGAGATTAGAGGTGAGCGCTGGGCGGTTCACCTAATTACAGAAATATTGTCCCGTTCCTTTGTGAATCCGAGTAGAGCAGGTGGGAGTCAGTGAGGGCGGGACCGCGCGTGATTGATGGGTAGATTTTTCACTACTAGATCTAGAGATAGCATTTTTGTATCGCATCATAGCAGGCGTAGTCACTTCGGACTCTCCCGTTAAAGGAGTCATAGCATGACACAACATGAACAACCTATTCCCAAGACTTGGCTAAATCAGGAAGGAAGAATAGATGCGACAATTTGGTTCCCGGTGCGGCCCGCACCTTTTTCTTTGCTCGGGTCAAGGGACTGGCTCTATACCGACAAGCAGCTCCTGACCGAAGTGGACTACGTAACAAAACTCAAAACGTACCCTCGGATACACTTTGCGCTGCCCCTTGGGAGAACCTGCGTCACTGCGGATAGTTTGCATATATGAAGTAACCGATTTTTGATCAACAGGTCTTTCATGCAGGAGAGGGCGCTGTAGACAATCCTAGTCAACATCCTCAGCGATCCTGCGTGCGGCCATTTTGGGAAGGTTGCGGAGCGGGAACTATTCCTTCTCCTTTGTCTACTTAGCACAACCGGTGAACCGATTGGTTAAAGAGGGGATCTTCTCCGCATATACATTTTCATTTGCACCTTTTCAAGCCTGTAACTTACACCTCCCCAATTTCCCACCGAAGTTCTGAAAATTTGGGGATGGCTATGGAGAATCGCGGAAGGTGGATATACGATCCACAAAACAAAAGTACGAACTATTCCTACTTCGACGGCTTAGTCCCCGAGGTCCCCGGCCACAAAGATCAGAGTAAGCTTAGAGGGTGTAAGCAAATATCACGGTATAATCTTCCGCCCGTGTACGTACAGAATATAGAGCCCTATGGCGGGCCCGTTATCCTGACGAAGTGAATCGTGTATCTACAGCGGCCCGGTGTTGCAAATGCACGTAAAATAAGAACGTACTATGGTAAAGTGTGAAGCAACAGATTCACGATCGTTCTAACATTGCAATACACGCCGGATCCCTATAACCCCAATTGCCATAGTCAAACGTCAGTCAGATTCCAACTCGGTTATCAGCTTCTTGGCAGTCAATATTGATCTATTAAGTCCCGATTTTAAGGGTGTTTGCTACGGCCTTGGTCATTGAGACGGAGAGAGCCTTAGCTTGCCCGAACGCTTCAGGTGTGATGTGATAGCCACGCACAGCGCCCGGGTATCAGCAGCGTTGTGATATTGCTAAGGCCCGGTTGATTGCTGTTGAAGAGGGCGAGTAGCAAACATTTGGCTATTCTTGGGTGGGAAAAACGAATGTTATATGATATTCGAAATCGGGTCTCTATGGAGTATGTCTGTATGCGTAGTATATTTCAAGACCTGCAGTTTGGTTCCGTTTGATATGCGAACTATAGCGAACAGTCGTTGCCTTTCCACGGGTGTAGGTATACCATAGTGGTAATAATTATTGGACGAGAATGGAGTAACAGACACTATCCCCACTGGTTCGCATGAATGTGTGGGATTCCCGTTGATGAAATAGATAGATTTCAAATATCCGACCCGCTATACAAGGAATTTCAAGTCTTTCTAAGCTCATACGCTGATTCTCCGGTGATACCTCGTTTGAGCGGTATAGTTATTTTGCCCTATGGTCTTTTACAGTGCGGAAAGCAGCGACTTCCATCACCGAAGGGCTTTTCATACCTGTCAATAGCAGTACTACGAGTGAAGATCACAAGCCAGTCCGAAAGCTTACCTGCACTTATATGAACGGTCACTCTAGTTTAGAAAAGACCGGGAGATCCCTTCTTTCTCAAGTCTCTAGTGTGTACATGTCCACCTCATCGCAGCCAGACCGACTCTCTCCAAATCCAATTTTTAGTCTTGTCGTAGATTTCCATGGTTTGGTTACACAGAACGGTCCACCCAGCATAACGCTACGTAAACCTATTCTGGAAAATCCTCGCTAAACCAAATAGGATGATGTAGTATTTCATACTCGATACAACTTCCCAACCCAGACCGCCGGTCTCGATAAGCGAACCCTGTATACTGGAAAGTTACGGGGGGAGAAGTCGGATCTGTCCCAGCAGGATAATAACTGGCTCCACATGGCGGGCAGCACGGAGCTTTGGCTTGACTTTGACTTTGGGCTGACGAGCCAGTGCGCTGGCAATTCGTTAAGTACTGTATATTATTCAGCCAACAACAGTACGTACCTACACGACTTCTCTCCCTAAAACTCGAGTGTAGGCTTGATAAAAGAATATCCAGTATTCCTAGTTAGTAGATAGCGAATCTTAAAAGACCATTTCAATACTCTACCCACGATCACAGGCCACGAGCCTCAGATAATAACCTGTCACAAGCGGCCTCAGCGCCATCTAGCAGGCCCCACACCCCCGCCTCACGAGCTCGCGATTCGCTGCTCGGTTCTTTGCTAACTCTATGGAGTCCTTTCGAGCATTTCTACTTTTCTAGTTCACTCCTCCATAGGGAAAATCTTCCACGCGAGGACGATGCATCACATTCTGGCCTTAGAACAAGTTCCAGTCCAGCCTAGTCAACTCCTAACCACGGGCGTAAGCTGCTCCTAACCACGGGCGTAAGCGGCGTGCGATCATCCGCGACAATCGCCGTGGACCGAGGATCTCCGGAACATTTACTCAACAGCAAGACATTAAGTTCTGAAATCATGTGTAGGTTTTGAGGGTAATGTGTGGATGTAAATTGTGGTTGGTTGGTGGGTAGGCGAGATACTTTGTTAGTAGAGGCCACATTTAGATTGATCGAAGGTGGGGGTGTGGGACTGACGATGGCAGGACTACTAACCAGATTAACAACGCTGTTATTGGGAGATCGGGGATATTGGGCTTGGTGATGATGTGCTGCATATCCGCATTTTGGAACGTGTCGTGAGCAGGTCAGGAAAGTAGTGTACTTGGTGCTTTGTACTTTCGCGGGGAGATTGGTGGGTTCTGGACTGGTTATTTCGTGTTTTACTGTAATGGCTAGGAAGGAGGCGTGTTTTGTTAATACGGGGCTTTGTTTTGGGAGGTATGGAAATACTGGGTACGTGTTATGTCAATGTATAGATGGATTGAGGATGTATAGGAAGTATTGCGGTATGTGCAGTTAGACTGGATTAACAAGACGAGCCAGAAAGTGTCGAATATCAGTTGTCGTACGCTTTGCCTGTGGTTCCTTGCTCATATCCAGAGCTTGGTTCCCATAGACACGTCTTGAGGATAGATAGAGTGGTGCATAATCCTACGTAGACAACGGCTGGTCCAGATTGAAGAAGATGTCAAGCGATGTCGGAAATTGAGGACCTCGCAATTACTAACCTCCGTGTGCTTAACCATGTGCTCTAAACTCGAATTTAAAGCAAAGCTTATCCTCAAAACCACCTGCATTGTGCTCAATAGGCCGACGTTCTATATACAACCGGCAAAACTGCAGACCCGTACCAATACAGCGAAGCCAAGCCTAGAACTTCGGAGAGCAAGACGAGCCATAGCACCTTCAACCCAAGTGCATTCACGCAGGCATAGAGAGATCATCTACAAATGTCACTCCACCCACATTGCCACACTCGAATTCAAAAAGTGCAGGTCTGGGTCCACTTTGTACAGAGGCTCAACCGTATCCCTAACAAAATCCACGCTCACACGAACATGTCTATTCGAAAGCCGTAGCATTCAACATCAATGCGCAGCTTCATCGCTCAAATGGTAAGTAAAAAGGAAAGCTAAAAGGAAAATAAGAATGAAATGCCGGATTCATATGATTCGCTTCGTATCGTTATTGCATTGCTGCTGCTTAGGTCGGCCGCACCTGGTAATGGAATAGTGCCCACACGGCTTTTAGCGCTTCTAAACGGTCTGACCCGTCGAGCAGATCATACCACCTGGTGCGCTGTAGCTTGAGGACGTGCCAGGGTTGGTCAGTGTTGGAGTCGGGGATGATGGCGCTGGAGCCGTTGGTGAGGACGTCGAGGTAGCGTTTGTGGATGCGGAGGTGCAGGATGGAGATGTGATGGTTGATGGAGGAGACCATGTAAATCTGGCCACAAGATCAGTCAGTTGCTAATCCGATGGTTCTCATGGTTAGGGATAGCCTCACATCATCAAATGGACTCTCCTTCGCTTTGCCAATCTGCATATACCGCATTCGTTTATCCCACAAACTGGGACCAGGTTGCAAAATCTTCCATTTCTCACTGCTAGACAACTTCCGCATCGCACTTGGTCGGCGTGCCAGCGATGTAACGAATGGATGCTCATACTTGTGCCGCTTGCGCGAGCCCTCTAGCTCCTCTGCTGGCGAGGACGGCTTCACACCCCCTTCTTCGAGCATCGAGTCTGGTAATGGCATCCCGTGCATCCCGTGCGCGCCCTTGACTAGATCATCCAGGATCCCATCGTTCGGCGCTCCGCCGAACCGTGGCGCCGTCGTCCACCACTTGCCCTCACCGGATCGCAACTCGATGGCCCCCTCACGTGCCCGCTCCTGCGCTGCCAGCAGCATTCCGCCCACTTCGCGGAACAGGTCGCATATCTCACCAAAGCCAGCGCCCGGTGCGTCACTCGCCGCACGGAACCCAGTTTCCGGCCTACATTGTGCGATGAGAACCGGTCCTTCGAGGATACCGCTGCGGGCGACGGTGCGATCTCGAGGGGAGCGGGCAGCGTGGAAGGATTGACGGACGGGGAAGAGGAGGCTTTGGACGGTGAGACGCGGTGGGAGGGTGGGAATGGTGACCTGACAGCCGAAGGGCCAGGCAATCATCTCCACGAACGCGCGGATGGTCTCGTCGCGCATGTCGTCGGGCATTTCGCTGCCTGCCCCGACACGCCGGCCTGTGTACTTTTTCACCGTTGGCGGGGAGGCCTGCTCGCTGCCTTCGTTGGCCGTGCCATTGGACAGAGCCGGAGTATTGACCACGGACTCCTCCTGGTCCACGTCCATTGTGGGCTCTGCTGGACCCGGCTCGCCGAGATCATCGGATGCGTCGTCCGTGTCCATCTTGTCATCACCATCTCCTTCCACCGAGGCTGCAGGCGTTGGTGACGCCGGCCGCTCGAAATAGTTGTCCAGACTTGTATCCCAATACTGCGACATGTGCTCCAGACCTGTCCAGAACTTCCTGGTCTGGGTCACTCGCACACGAGTGCGACCCTCACGAGGTGGCAACCGGGCCATCTCGCGGAAGGTATCCTCGTTATCCAGCGACAATTCATTCTTTAGGGTCTCGAAGCGGTCTTTGGCCGGATAGGGGAGACCATTGCTCATCAGCGGGCGCGCTTGATCGTTATCCTGGCTTTGGGTCTTGTTGGCGGCGGCGGGTTGAGTTTCCGACTCGTCTTCCCAGGGCAGTGGGGGTAGCGACTGGGCCTGTTCGGCCGGGAACATGTGGCGGACATCGACATCGGAGTCGACCTGGACATTCAACGGCTTGAATCGATCTATGGTGATATCCTGTGGGCGCTTGATCTCCGCCAGCAGGCCGAAGAGGTCGGGAAGCGTTGAGTCGGCATCGTGCGGGACAACGTTGGGGAGGTTGTAGACGGGGAAATCTAGCGGGGTTGGAATGGAGGGTGGATTGCGTTCCTTCTCAGGCTCTGAACTCGCCGAGGGTAAGGCTGTGGGGTGGATAAAAACGAGAGTCAGTATGGCGAGTCAATGGAAGGTTGAAGTAGTCCAAGGGGGAGGGAGGAAGAATCTAGGGCGTCCCCATCCCCAGAGCGCATTCCGGGCGCCACTGACGGGGGACGCTTTTTCACCGCGGGGGGATCGGAGGCGGACGAGAAGGAGCTTACCCAGCCCAGGACCCCAGCCGAACATGATATTCTTCCTTAGAAAAAGAGGTGGAGAATTGAATGTATCACATGCTCTGGGGGGGTTGGCCAGAGGAAGGGATTTGCTGAATGCCTGCTAAGTGGAAGATGGAAGTGGAAGGATGTTTAGATTGGGAGGGGGGAAGGTGGCAGTTGACGTTGTGGACGGAGTACTTTTGGGCCAAAGTGGAGTCAGAATGGGTTCATCCGTTTCGGATCGTAGGCATTGGATCCGAGAGTGAAGAAAAAGACGGAAATGAAGAATATGGGTTTAGCTAGCCAGGGGCTGCTTTGTATTGCATCACTCGCAGACAATATACTTTAAGCCGAACAATGAATTGACTAGTTCTGTAGACTTTGGTACCTGGCCCGCCCGTACCTGAGCCCCAGCCCGACCAGCACAAGAAAACCTTGTGAACAAGTACTCGGAGGGAACAACCATTCGCCTATTTATTATTGCCTTGTTGGGTCTTGTTCTAAATCATTGACTGGTGGTCGTAAGCACATTGTTAGTGTGGCCATGAGTACCCCGTATTCCACATCCAGACTCCCTCGATGCTCGAAAAAGTTAGACGTTGCGCTGGTGAAACGGCGCGTGGTTGGACCAGTCCAATTCGCAACCTCGAGGGGTCTCGCACCGCCAGCCTTCAAACCGCCCACTTGTTTCGAGGGACCCAGCGGGGAGCATAGCTCGATAGAGAAGATGGACAGGGCCAAGACGCTGTAATAACGTCCTCGATCGCCAATTATCGGTCTACCCTCGCTTGGTGGATATAGATCGGGTATCTAGAGCAGCTAGGGGGCTCATGTCTCGCTGCTTCATGCACCGGCCTCCCCAAATCAGAGCTGTCCCATGTGGAATAGGTTTGGGACCTCTGAAGGCGTATCAGAGAAAGTGTAATCATGCTCGACAGGTAGAGTGGTAGAACGGCGGTTGATTCAGCATGTACATATTCATCGGTGATGTAGAAAGTTGGCGTGTCAACAGTCCTCCGCAGATCGTGTTGTACCGAGTATCGACCATGAATGAATACACCTAAACTATTGTAAAGGTAATCCATCCAACCAATGTCAGCATGCTTTATCATCAAAGACTCAAGAATCAAGCATTGCAGACTGCCACAATCCCGTGACGGAGTGGTTTCTGCAGACTCTCCCAGCCATCACAATGATCGGCCGTGAAGGACGAGACTGATTGGCTTGCAAGGGGGGTCTCCGGGGAGAGCCATTCCGGCTCTCCAACCCAAACCTAAACCAATTCGCTGCGCTAAGCGCTGGGGGTCCCCCAACTCCTTCTCTCACGGTGGGAAGCGCCAGCGTCGAATCGTGAAACAATGGCCCCCTGGAACACCCCTCAAAATATGGCCGAAAGGTGGAGGGGTATAAAGTAGACTGGGGCCGGGATCTGACATGCTACGCTGCTGCTATTTTTTGCTCTTCGGCCCCCGATGCTACCAATGCAACCTGCATCTCGACCACGGGAAACTGGTGAGTGTCCCGTGAATAAGAGTCTGGCTTCACGATTTCCATTTTCTGGCAAATCGAGTCTCGTCGAGTAGATCACGTGCTGGGTCGCCGGACAACAAAGGTCGAGATGAGAGCTTCGCTTTGTTGACACTTCTTTCCCTCCTCGTCTTTCTAAGAGTGTCTCATCTCGTGCCATACTTGTCCCCCGTTAACCATCACTCTTTCATTTTGCTTTGTCTTGTCATCGTCGACCAACTCAATACGACAAAGACAAGATCTCGCTGATTCCCCTTCCTCGGCCCAGCCTGCGGGCTAGGACGAGATGTTCAAGGCCTTGTCGAGAGAGTCGGGTTTCGCCATGTCTGGTGTGCCCTCTCATGCAGACATAGGGTCACTGCCGCTCTCCTCGACCAAAGTGGTGGCGTTCACATCGGTTGTGACTGAGACGATCCATCCGACACTGATCATCACTGAGGTGACCACGGTGGGGAGTTGGCAGCCGGAGACGTCCCTGTCCGCGGGGCAACAGCAGAGCGAGCAGAGCTCTGGTCAAACGGTGCAGAAAGGTACCGTCCAGACAAACGCGAGTCAAACGAGTCAAACGCAGACGGTCCAGCTGGCCATGTCAACAGCCTCTCAGCTCACCGATCTGCCACCAGAGACTACGCAGTGGGCCGCTGCATCTCTCACGGCTACTGTGATGACCACGCCAACATGGTCAACGGATGACTCGGCGTCCTCTTCCTTGCCTGCTGGGCAACTTTCGGTGTCCCTGCCTCCTGTGGTAGGACATTCCATCGCGGATAGCCTGACAAGTTCTTCGGAGCTGGTTGTGCTATCAACCTCCGCAAGTGCAGCGTCACCCACCACGACATCTGCGCTAACCAGCACTGCGTCCTCTCTAGCCACGGCCAGTTCAGGGCTTGGTGCGACATCCACCACGTCCACCAGCACTCCAACGAGCTTTGGCACGTTGGTCACCTCAAGCCTTGTCGAAACGATTTCCAACTCGGTCTCAAGCCAGTCGTCAACCCTGGCTCTCTCACCTTCGCCTTCGTCGTCATCAATCGAAGGCATCATCTCCGGCTCAGATTCCACCAGCGGCCAGACCAGCCAGAGAAAGTCGGCCTCCCATGTGGGCGCCATAGTAGGTGGTACCATCGGGGGCGCTGTGTTCGCGGTCCTCGCTCTGCTGGTTGGGATTCTGTGCCTCCGCCGCAGACGACGACAGGCCCCCATCAAACCCAGGGGCAGCCCGGGACGAGGCCTGCTACGGAATAGCAGTGACTCACTGACAAGTCTCCGCGGTCCGCATGGCTGGCATGGTCAACATAGCAGGCAGTGTTCTTTCCCCATGGGTCCCATCTTTTCGCCCCGGGGTAACACTATGCCTTCGGCCTCCGCCCCCAACTCATCCGGGGCGGCCTTCAACCAAGGACGGTCCGTCAACACCATGGCTCTGCATGATAATGCCCAGAAAAATCCCTTCTCCGACCCCGAGCACAGCCCAGTCTCCCCGATCATCAATGTGCACCCTCCCTCCCGCACGGCGTCCAATTACTCCCAACCATCAAGCGAGGGCGGCCTCAAGTACCTCGAGAAATACGACCTTCACCCGACCACCCCCAGCTCCCACTACGAGAGCATCTACTATCCCGACGAGGGCGCCTTCACACCATCCCTCCCCGAAGTCGATAAGCTCGCTCCGCGGGTGGACCGGAGGACGCGCCTCAGCACGCGCAGCGACCCCTTTGATCTTGAGGTGCCAGAGAAAACCCTGCAAGAATGGCCCCTACCACCCCATCCAACGCCGTGGGGTGATAAATTCTAGACCGCACGTCCTTTTCATCCGTTTTCAGGCCCTGGAGGTCTTTGCAGCCTTCATGCATCGTTGGAGTTTTTTTTTCACGGGAATACCCACTCGTTTTTTCGGTTCTGCTAGAGTTCGGCGCGCTACATTTCGTTCTTTCTCGTTCAGCGCTGCTTGATTTATCGTTACATATTCCCCCCTCCGAAATGCGGTTCTTATGACCATGACTACATGCTGTATGCTGCGTACAACGTGATTTTCGATGATACATATGGAAATGGCTCGAGGTGTTTCTTGTTTCTTGCTTCTTCGCTCAGGCGTTCAAACAGGGTGGCGCTTTACATGATTTATGGGTATCTCTTTTCCCACACATTTTTATGGTTTTCTGTCTTCCTCCGTGGTAGAGCGTGCATTTTCATCTGATATCTCTAACCCTCCAGTCTTTTTTTTTATCTTCGTTTTTTAGCATGGTGTTTACATGGAAGAGTGAAAATCTTTTTTTTTCTGATTTTCTATATATTCTTAGTCATTTCTTCTGCGACCCTTTTCTAGTAGCTGTTCGTTGTAGATTGGTGGACCGTGTCACTACGTGAAGTATTTAAGCTCGATACTTGCATGATATCCTGTGGAGTATACCCCATACCCACAGGCCCGCAGCGGTTCGTTCCCATGTGGCCAGGGCGATCTCTCCCAGCCTCTCGCCCTACGGTACGGAGTACAGTACATAACCCGATGTACTTTACCTCGTATCAAGGACACTAAAACCCTACCACACGATTGCTGAGAACGGAGGCAGCCCTTTTCTAGATCGAGCCTAGTCGACGCGAGTCAGTTCTACCCATCAGATAGGCTATGGTTCGGTTCCATGGCTCAAGCTGCGATCAAATGCCAAATTCAATGCATGTTCTACGCGCGGACCTCGGCTTCCCCGCATAACGTGGTCCCCGCCCAGCCACGCAGATCTCACGTTCCCACTCTTTGAGCTGCTGCTGACGCTTCCTTTCAACCTTAAGCTCTCCTCGATATCAGTCAACCTGAGCTATATACATCACTAATATTCAGCACACTCGAGAATTCATATCGAAATGGCTTCACCGGCAAAGAAATGGCCCTCGAGAGAAGGTATGCCATATATCACCATCCCCAATAGATCCGAGGTCCCTCCCATGATAATGCTAATCCCTCGACCCAGGATTCACGGCCGATGTCGTATCCCACATACTCCACCACACCCTCCTCAGTCCCTGGAAGATAGTCCCCCTCCTAGCCTTGGCTCAATACACCACCAGAGGTCGTGAACTCCTCGAATCTCGACCCCACCTCCTCAAAGCACTGAAAGCATTCGCCTCGATCGCAGTAATCAGCCGCGTAAGCGCCTGGCTCGACCGCCGCGCAATCAACAACGGCGTCACAGACCACTACGACTGGAACCGCGAAGTCATAGTCCTAACCGGCGGTAGCGGCGGAATCGGCCAACGCATCGCCCAACTCCTCGGCTCCCGAGGCATCAAAGTCGCCATCCTAGACATCACACCGCCAACAAACCCGCTCCCAAATAGCGTCCGCTTCTACGAATGCAACATCAGCTCACCCCCAGCCATCGCTGAAGCAGCGACCAAAATCCGCGCCTCCTTCGGCCGCCCAACAATCCTAATCAACAACGCCGGCATCCTCACCGGCAAAACCATCCTCGCCACAACAGAAGCTACAACCCGTCGCATGTTCGACGTCAACACCCTCTCGCACTACTGGCTCGCCCAGGAGTTCCTCCCTGACATGATATCCTCCAACCACGGGATGATCGTCACCGTCGCCTCGCAGGCCGGATACACAGTCACACCCAATATGGTGGATTACTCCGCGTCCAAGGCGGCGGCGATCGCGTTCCACGAGGGTCTGGCCGCGGAATTGGTGACGAGGTACCAGGCGCCGAGGGTGCGGACTGTCCTTGTGACGCAGGGATTTACGCGGACGGCGCTGATTGCCAATTTGACGCCTGAGGATACTTTTGTTAATCCGTTGTTGTGGCCGGAGACCGTGGCGGAGAGGATTGTGGAGCAGGTTTTGAGTGGGGAGAGTGGGCATGTGCTTATTCCGGGGGCTGCGGGGAGTATTGCGCAAAGGTTGAGGGGGTATCCGCTTTGGTTTCAGCATTCATTGAGATGTCGGTTGGAGAGGTTGATGAGGGCTGAGTAGGGGTGTTGTTGGTGTTGAATGCTAGTATATTAGGAGTATAGTGGGAGACGGTATTGGGACTTGTGTGGTCTCTGTGATGGTTTGTTTTGAGGATGACTGAATTTTATGTTCAATCATCTGTATACTTGGTTTTTTCTAGTCCTATTGGCCGGTTTCGGTTGGAGCCGCAACGTCTCGGCGCTAGCTTTCTAGTGTTTTGCTTATCAGATCGGTTTGGAGAATGTATTTCCTCGCTCTTGTTCGGATACCATCGATTTGGAATTTTCACTTCCTTATTCAAAAATCTCATACTCTCCCTTTGAACCCAATTCCTTACCTGCACACTGGTACTGACTTAAATTTCAGCGGATCACCTTCATCACTCAAGATCTTTCTGGTTGAACTACTTACTCTCATGTAGTTACTTCACGTCTACCCTCAGGATCTTTCATCCCGAGTTCATTCGTGACGACTAGAGCAAGAAAGGGAACCGTCGACAGCGGACTAGACGGGGATTCTGCTCATTCATACCCAAGACGAAGCCGTTCGTCTTATCGGGCGGCTATTTCCCAGGCCATCATTAGAGCTTACCTGGGGCGGAAGGATAGATGTGCCCGTTAATCAGGCCCTTGTTAGATCCCACCTGGATTGATGAATTTGGATTACTAAATACTAAACACTCCATGCTTGACCTGAGATATGATGCTTGGAATCAGTGGTGGAGGAGGAGGAGGAGGAGGAGGAGGAGGAGGAGGAGGAGGAGGAGGAGGAGGAGGAGGAGGAGGAAGGTGCTTTTGCGAGGCGCATTTTCCTTACCCGCCTTGTCTGGTTACCCTTCAGCCTTTTGGTGATTTGAGAGCGCTACGCGCCGCGATGAAAACATCTTGTCAGAGTGTGAAAGTGATTACTTGAGATTTGCTACGGCTTGTTTTGTCTAGCGCCATTGACAATTGTCAACTGGAGCTTGGCCTTTTTGGTGAATAATGGTGGGTTCATGACGAATTCAATCCTCGGACTCTAACATCAAGGAGCCGAGTTTTACTGCTTACGCCCCGAGTACTCTCATTGGAGGATAGCAGAAAGACAGAAAGGGGGAAAGAAACTAAATGGGACTGTGAATACTATACAGAAATATCTATGAGAAGATCAAGCAGCGTCCATAAACCTCGAAATACTTAGCCTAACCAACGAAGCCTTCCATGCAAAGGACGCAATTGAAAAGTCCAGAAATTATTTTCACCAAAGCTGTATTCATTCACAAAGAATCATCGTGTGACTGATGGAAAAGGCTATATTTCATCTTCCTGAGGTTCATAGGCCCGGTAGTGTTCTACTGACTTTGTCGCATCGAGTATCTGCTCATTTGTATTCTGCGAGACTAAAATATGGTCATCATAACCCTACCCGGTTGTTTGTCACGTCTCGAATGCTAAAGAAAACGGACATAGTCGAGATGAATATATTGAATGAAGATTAGGTCAATTAAGAATAATCTCACATGAAATATCGCTTTTTACAGCAGATGATATGGAAGTTGCTGCCGGTATTCCCGGTGCTGCTTCACAGACCTTGGGGCATATATATTCGTACTGAAATCGAGGGACTGCCAGCGGCTAGGTTAGATTTGCGGCTCTTCATAGTTATGACAAGCTCTGAATGGTAAATATCAATAGAAGAATATATTTTCATTTCCAACTACTCATAAACTACGATATTATTTCTTCCAATGACTCCATCCCACACTCATCTTGACCGTTTTGATCTCTTCGAGTGACCAAATCTCCCAACCTCCCCCGGTCCGTCTGGCGGCACGTGCACTTGGCCTCACCGCGCTTTTGATTCGCTCCACTTGGCCGCTGAACAACTGTTCCTCGATGCCCACCAGCAAATTTCTCACTTCTCTTCTGCCCTTTGGCCCTTTTCCATCTGCAGAAAATTCCAGGAGATCGGCTCCTGCATGTTTTGCATCCTGTCACCGAAGCATCGCAGTCTATCCCCGACGTCCACTGAATCACTGACTCCAAACTAACACCAGACAGAACCTCTCCATATTTCCCGGCCGAGGCGGGACTAGTGCGATCGCCTGGGTAGCAACCAGCCCAGCCAGTGTCACCAAGTGGGTTTCTCTCAGTCTAACCAGTCTCCGCTTGGGGGCTTTCCGAGAAGAAGATCCACGGTTCAGCTCCCGTTGTTTACTCCAGGACTGGCCCCCCCAAAACAAACCATAACAATCCGAGTCCAGCCACCCTGCCCCGACCTCCTCCATCATCAATCATCATCATCACCATCTCCGACATTCCGATTACACCTCTCCCTCCCTCTCCCCCTCCCCCTCCCCTCCCTAACATTCCTCACCAACTCTCTCCACATGGTGGTCTGTGCCGTCTGGGCATTCCTCTGAATCATTGCCCACCATGTTCAAGGCCCTAATGGGCGGGGGCCGGTCGGCGTCCACCTCGGACGCCCGCAGCACAACCAGCTCCAGCTCCAAAACCAGCCGCCGCAAGACCGATTCCAAGTCTGCCTCCAGCCGCAAATCCTCACGGGGTGACGACCGTGACCGTGGCTTGGGCGACTTGTCGGCCTACGCTCAATCTACCTCTGGCAGCAGGCGCGGCCCGCCCAGCGTCGCTGGCGAGTCTGTCGCATCGACCTACGTAACCGCTGAGCCCGATGCCATTGAATACCCTGATCGGACGGTCGTTGAGCGTACCCCGAAGCGCAGAGACAGTGACCGCGACAGCAAGAGCTCACGCCGCCGCGAGCGCGATCGCTCCGAGAGCCGTGAGCGCGAGAAGAGAAGATCGAGTCGTCGCAGTGGAGACGATACCTACGACGATGATCAGGATAGAGAGCGTGAGCGCGACCGTCGCGACCGGAGTCGCACATACTCGGGGGACCATCATGTTCCGCCCATCTCTACAACCATGCCGTCCAGCGTCCCAGGCGCCCAGTTTGCCGCCGACATTGCGGCCCCGGGATTCTCGCAGTTCCCTATGCAAAATGACAATGCGATGCAGCCGCCTGTCACCACCGCGGGTTACTCGCCGGGACATGATACTTCACCCGCGCCCTTTGACCCCCACGTACAACAGCAGTTCCCTGGTCAATTCCCGTCCGGTACCGCAGAACCTTATTTCCCGCCCAATAATCCAGCAGGCGCCGCGGCAGACTACTATGGCGATCAAGGGCAGTCGGTCGGTGACCAACCGGGTGTTCGACCGCAGCAACCTGCCATCATTCCCAATAGCCAAGCACACTTGATGGCAGCATCGCCCTCGGCCAACCCACCGCCCGAGCCTAGCAGCCTGGGCCAGGTTGGTGCGGCTGCTGCGTATTTCACAGACGACATTCCGCACAACGAATCACCGGATAAGCCGCCGGCAGGCTCATCATCAAAGCCCCCAAAGCCTGGTAAGCCGTCAAAGCCGTCGAAACCTAACAAGCCTTCCTCGTCGAGTGCTATTCCCACAGCCGCCGCTGTAGCTGCAGCGGCAGCGACTTACGGAGTGGGCCACCATGAACAGTCTCAAGCTGCCGCAGCTTATCAGCAAGAATCGTACTCTTCGACAACGGTTCAGCAAACCCACTCGTACTCGCAGCCGGCTCTGACAAGTACTTCCAAGCCTCCTCATTCACATGGCATCGGAACTGGCATTGGAATGGCAGCCGCCGGTGCAGCAGCGGGCTACATGATAGGCCATCAACATCACGAATCCAGCCCCACGCATTCATCGCAGTACACTTTCCAGAACTACGAGCAGTCCTCTCATGGTAGTGTCCCTCCGTACGGTGCTGGCCCCAGCAACGCTATGATCGCAGCGGGTGCTGTTGGCGCTGCTGGAGCCGCTGGCTATGCCGCCCATAACCCTGGTTTCTACCCCCACGGTGGCCTTGCAGTTCAACACCGTCATCGTGGGCCGCTTACAAAGTTTGTGGATTTCTGGCGAGATCCCGAGGGTGTGGGTCGGTTCGAAGACTATACGGAAACCATCGGTGTGTGCAAGTACTGCTTTGAGCCTGGAACCACCTCGATGAATGCACCTCGCAAACATCATTATCATGCGCGCCGCCATTCTGCTGATCGCTATAGCAGTGGAAGTTCTTCACGAGTGAACAAGCTCAGCCGATATCATTCCTCCGAGGACGAGCGGCGTAGTCGCAAGCGTTCATCCAAGAAGTCCTCTTCCTGGCTCCCGGGTATGCTGGCTGGCTATGCGGCCAAGTCAATTTTCACTGGCAGGAACTTTGATGACTCTTACAGCGTTCACTCAGGCCATGTCTCTGGTGATCGAGTTTCGTCATATGACCGAGAAGACGATCGGAGGAGCTACACTTCTCGAGGCGTTGTTCGTCGCTCTGGTCACAGCCCTCCGCGCGAGTATCACTCCGACAGCAAGCATACCCGACGGACGCGCTCTCGCTCACGATCATCATCCCGTTCTGGTCACCACTCCTTTGTGAAAGAGGCAGCTCTGGGTGCAGCTGTTGGTGGTGCAGCTCTCGCAGTTGCGAAGTCAAGTCGTCGTTCCCGCAGTCGCTCGCCTTCTCAGGTTCAGCGTCGCAAGGATTCCTCATCTAGCACTTCATTTATGGATGTCTCGCGACCTTCTGCAAAGTCTGTTGCTGGATTTACGTCATTCTTCACAGCCTCATCTGAGAACCGCAAAAAGGAGAAAAAGAAGCAGCGTTCTAAAAAGTCAAGAAGCTTTTTCTCCTTCAATAGCTCGTCTTCCTCTTCTCTTGATGCAGATCTGGCCTTTGGAAGCGGTTTTGCAAAGAAGTCATCCAAGCTCCAGAAGAAGAAGAAAGGCAAGAAGACTGAGGATGTGGATGCTGCTCTGCTCGGACTGGGAGCGACGGCGACTGCTCTTGCCGCTTCGTCTCACTTCCGCAACAGCCGTAGTACCGGCCAGATGATGGCTGCCAGAGATACTCGTCACAATAATTACACTTCCTCAGCAACCAATGAGGACGACGAGTGGGTCGATGCCGAGTCAGAGGATCAGTCCTCGGCGAGTGTCAGCTCTGCCTTGGCCTTTGGAGCAAGCAGTGCCGAGTCTGGATCTGACTCGAACAGCAGTGGCGGGTGGAAGTGGGGATGGGGCAACAAGAAGAAAAAGAAGGACAAGAAATCTTCCAAGATGGACGCCGCCCTGGCGGCTGGGGCTGGTGCTCTGGGCGGTGCCGCCATTGCTTCGGTTGCGCGCCACCGCGACAGTCGCCCTCCAAGCGAAGCTGGAAGTCTTCAGCAGGTTTACCCCGTGCCCACCTCTGATCCTTCCCGTTTCGATGTCGCTAAGATTTCTTCCTCTGTGGCTTCTGGCGGTCAACCACCTCTCGTTCGCCCTGGTCCTATTCCCTTGCAACAGCCCCAGCCCTACACTCCCGTTTCCCAGGCCGTGTACACCACCCAAGGAAGCTTGCCTGGGTCGATTCCCGCCTACAGCCCTGGTGCTGTTCCTCCCATCTTTGCCAATGAGTACGAGCAGTATAATGAGCAATTCCAGGGCTCCCGAGATGCTTCTTACATCCGTGACGATGCCAGCTTCATTGAGCGCCGCAAGCCGCACCGGAGCGACTCTTCGCCTGTCTTTCCTACGCAGGAGAGTATAGTGTCAGCCCCCAAGCGCCGATCTACGACCCGTGATCAAGCCTCTGTGTCTTTCGATCTGACTGAGGAGCAAGTCGAACGTGAGCGCCGCCTTGACAAACGCGAGCGAAGATCACAGGATGATTTCCGGGAAGAGCCTGTGCAATTAGTTGATCATGAAGAGGAGCTTACTCGTGAAGAGGCTGAACGTCGTGAGCGCCGAGAGCGCCGCAAGTACCGCGAAGAGGAAAAACGTCGCAATGTTAGCGATAAGGAGAAGGATTCCTCTTCTTGGGTCGAGGCAGCTGCCATTGGAGCCATCGGCGCTGCCGCCGCTAGTTCCATCGTCTCTTCCCGCAAGAAGCACGACGAGGACGTCTCCGAAGTTACCTCACGACACCGGGACCGCCGTGCTGAACGTCGCGCTGAACGACGAGGCGACTCGTCGGTCATCTCAAAGTCTGACGTTCCCGAGCCAATTGAGGAGAAGGTCTCGTCAGTGTCCAGGGACAGCCGCGAGAATTCCTCTTCTCCTTCTCGAAAGTCTCCCCGCCCAGCTCCCGTGCACGAAGACTACGCTGAATTCTTCGCCCCCGAGGAAGTTCGTCACAGCCCCGACCAACATTCGCGTGACCGAGACCACAGTCGTGACTCCAGCACGCCCGAGATAGTGGAAGTTGTGCCCGCCAGCGAGCGAGAGAAAAATAATGACGAGCCCCGTGACGACTTGCCGCAATTTGCGCAAGAACCTTATGAAGGTCGTGACCATCTCCCGTGGCCGGTCCCACGGCTGAACTTCATCGACCCTACCCCTCCGGCGAGCGTGAACGGCTCTGTCCGCGCGAACTCGCCGCTTGTTACCCCAGTTGAGCCTGTTCGCGAAGAAGAACCCAAGGAACGTGAATATCAGCGCGAGCCCGATCCGGAGCCGGAACACGAGCCTGAACGCGAATGGCAACGACCCTCGACTGGCTCGCGGGTCTCCTGGGGACCGCACCAGACCCATGAATATGAGATTCCATCTTCATCCGAGCAAGACCCACACTCCCCAATTGAAGAAATCAGCAGAGATCTGTCCATGACAGAGGTTGAGGAGGAGCAGTCCAAGGATGTCCGTGAGAAGATCGATTTTGGTAATGACATCGAATTTGCTGCTATTGCTGCTGCTGGGGCCCAAGCAGCTGGCTTTGATCCCTCCGTCGTCCTCAATGACCCGACTTACCACACTCGCACCTCGCCACCTGGGTCGGAGGACGAGGATACGTTCTCCCCTCATTCAAAGTGGGCTGTTCCCCCTCAACCAGAGCAGTCTCATGGATTTGTCGAAGGCGAGATTGATAGCTATACGCCGAGCAAATCCCGGGATATTGAGCCATCCGTTGAACACGTCATCGAAGAGAAGCCCTTCTACGCCGAACCGGAAACGTTCACCTCAGACAAGGATATGTCGTCTCCCAAGCGGCGAGACCGCGGCTCAATCGCCCAAGAGGTCATCGAGCAATTGAACGGGAAGAGTCCACGCTCTGGCTCTCCCGAAGATGATGTCTTCTCCATGCCCGGCGGCTTCGAGAGTGTTGACGTCCCTCGCGATGTTTCTCGTGATGATTCCCGCTCGGTGGTCTCCGCCCCACCCGAGCGTGAGTCTGAGAAAAGCAGGTCCAAGAAGTCGCGTCGCAGCGGTGATGATTTCAAGTTCCCCCGTGAGATTTCTTCGCGTGAGCGTGATGCTGTCTCGCCACCCGAGGAGGTCGAGGAGAAGGCCGATGAACAGAAGACACACCGCAAGCATCGTTCCAAGCACGGCGACAGTGATTCTTTTTCGGTAGATGACGACGCCAGATCTGCAATCACCTCTGTCGATGACTTGGATAAGTCTGAGAGACGTAAACATCGCCACCGCTCGTCGCGCGATAAGGACTTTGATGACACTGCCTCCATCGCGTCCTCCCCCGCCGGTGCTTATGAGAATGACGAGAAGTCCGAGCGACGCAAGCGCCGCTCCAAGCGTGATAGTGATGCTTTCTCTGTGAACGATGACGCCAGATCTGCTATCACTTCCATTGGCGATGTTGACAAGTCTGAACGACGCAAGCATCGCCATCGTTCCTCGCGTGATAGAGACTTTGATGACAATGCATCGGTCACGTCTTCTCCTGCCCGAATTGATGAGACCCGTGAGAAGCGCCGGAGCAAGGATAGCAAGGATGAGAAGGAGAAAGACAAGAGCGGGGGCATCATACGCAGCATCTTTGGCTCACGAGTGTCTGCCCCCGAGGGTCGTACTCAGTCCAATCAATCTTCTCGATCATCCTCTCTAGAGAAGCGCCCTTCTCGTGAAGCTGTGTCTGAAGCTGGTGTTGATGAGGAGAGACGCCGCCGCAAGAAGCGCTCTTCCAGACATCGCAGCTCAAGTGGAGATGACAAGGTGGAGGATGATGCCTCGGACAAAGAGGGAAGTGTTCCGGATGACAGGGATCTCGAAGAGTATAGGTCTCAACGGCAGCAGAAGGAGGAGCGTCGTCGACACAAATACGAGGAGATTGTGGAATCGGGAAAACGTCGGGAATCTGAGAAGGTATAGCATCTGAATTTTCCTTATTATCCATGTTGTGATCTGCTTTCTTGTATACACCATTATGTGCCATATAGTTGTTTTTCTTGCACCTTCTTGTGGATGGCAGCCTCGTCTTGGTCCTTGCACCCTGCCTTGGCCTGCTCCATGCACAAGAAGCCATCATACCCCCTGACCATTTGCACCAAACACACAAAAAAAAGAAATCAAAGCTAAGCATTTTTTTCTGGTATTATTCCATGTGCAGGACGAAAAACATTCGGATTTTAAAGACGGCGACGACAAATACTCTTTTTTAGCAGAGCGCCCCGAAATGCCGCCCGCGGCTGAACGCGATGAACGTGGTGCTTCGGGGCTTGAATCTACACTCGAGGGTGCGCTTGCTACTGCCGCAGGTATAGGCCTGAGCGAGGAAATCCTGCACCAACGTCCTCGGAGTCGTTCCACGTCTCCTCCCAGTGCAGAACGTGCCGTCGACCTGGCTCCCAAGTCCCAGAGTAGACCCTCATCGCCGGAGGTGGCCCGCGAGCTTGATCAAACACCCCATCGTCGTCGCGCATCTATGGCCCACTCGACGACCGAGTCACCCACTGCCGTGCCATTGCATTTCCGTCGACCTCCAACATCGCCTGGGTTGTCTCGTGCTGTGCCTGTTGCACCATCTCCTACGGCTAGCGGTGACTCTCCGACCTCCCCCAGCCAGACACGCCATCGCCGTCCGAACTCTGTCGAGTTTAGGAATTCTCGCGAGATTCGTCCCCTCTGGCTCGTTGAGCGCCATGGCTCCTCGAAGGGTGACCTGATTGAACCTGACGAGGTCTTGCCCTCGCTTCCATCTAGCAAGACTTCGTCCCGCGCCCCGTCCGTGGAGGACCTGCGCTCTCTCAACGATGAAGATGCCGTCCGCAGCTGGGAGCCGTTTGATCTCAACCCGTCCTTAATGGACCGTCGCAGACCAACTGGTCTGACTATCTCGACTTCTCATGCCAATGATCAGGCAGATGGGGATCTGCTTGATTCCCAGCAGGCTACTCCCACTGCGGAAGACTTTGGTGCCTCCACGGGATCCAAAAAACAGAAGCCTACGTATGAGTTCCATTCTCCGTCGGAACTCTTGCAAGATCCCGCTACGTATCCTGAGATCCCTGGATCGCCTGCTATGGAGGCTCTTCCTTCTGCCGCGGGCTCGGTGGTTGGTGCGAAGGATAGTGATGTCTTTGAGACGCCAACTGAGGAGAAGGAGGCTCTGTTTGATAATTTAGAGGCTGCTAAGGGTGTCGGGTTTGCGGGCATTGTTGATGCTGCTGTTGTTGCTGCTGTTAAGGAGCATAGCGAGCCCGCTGCCGCTGAGAATGAGGACACCACTAGCGTTGCTACTGAGAGAGAGTTGCCTGTCGAGATTACTACCGAGACGTCTACTGCCCTGGCACCGAAGTTTGGCGGTTTCGCTGATATCGTCAATTCAGCCGTCATGGCTGAGGTGGCTCATGACAAGACCCCCGCCGAGGAAGAAGTTGGTGAGCCTGGCACCGCTATCGATGAGCGTGCTCCCAAGGACCTTGCCATTGCACTTGCAGTGGAGCCTGAAGCAGTCAAAGAGTTGGTCCCTGAGCCTGCCGAGGATCCGGCTCAACCTGTTGAGTCTCAACAGACAGAAGAACCTGTTGCTGAGGAGGTTTCAGCTACCTCTTCTTCGAAGAAGAAAAAGAAGAAGAAAGGGAAGAAGGGCCAAGCTAGTGTTGATTTGTCTTCTGAGCCTGTGCCTGCTTCTGAAGAACAGACTCCGGTTGAGCCTCCCACCGAGGAGAAGGCTCCCACTTCTGAAGTCCCCGAGACCGAGACCCGTTCCATTGAGGCTGAAGCTGTTTCTACTTCTACTGATCAAGATGTTGCTGTTACGCCCCAACCTGAAGTTGAAGCGGTCGAGATGTCTCGCGAAGTTGTGCCTGAGCCTCTTCCCGCCGTGGTTACTGAGGTTGTTGAGACCGAGAAAAATGTCCAGCCTGAACCGGAATCTCAGCCTGTCGTTGAGGAGACCTCTGCTCCAGCTGAGTCGGATGCTGTCATCGCCACTGAGTCCCAGCCAGAGTCCATGCCTGAGACCCCAGTTGACGTGACTGAGCTTGAGGCTCCTATGACAGCTGCTCAAAAGCGCAAAGCCAAGAAAACAGCAAAGAAGAAGGCCAAGAGTCTTTCTATTTCAGAGCCTGCGGAGAGTACGACCGATGAGGTCGCAATTGCTCAACCTTCTGATGAGACTGCGGCTTTCCATGAGGACAAGGGTCCCGACGCTGAGGCAGGCGAGGCAACTTCTGCGGTTGTGCACGAAGAGCAGGATGTTTTCCAAGATGCCAATGCTCCAGAGATCTCTGTTTCTGTCGAGCAGACAACACCCGATATCCAAGAGTCGCGTGACATCAAGGAGACCGTTGAATCAACTCCTCAAGAAGCTCACCAGCCTGCGGATGACGTGACAAAGCCAATTGAAGAATTACAGTCTACCCCAGTCCCAGAATTGGATGTCGCCGGAGTTCAACCAGCCGAGGCTGTCCAAGTAGAGAGCACGACAGAGCCAGAGCCAATTGTGGATGCTGCTCAGCCCGACGATATTGTCGAGTCTGTAGCTGCCGCTGAAGATGCTGCGATGCCAGAAAAGCTCACCGAGAGCGACGACGATCTTTTCCATGAAGCTGTCGCAGAGCAGCCTGATGTCTCCGAACAACAGATGGCAACTGAGCCGGAAATCTCCACTCAGCCCGCTGCAGAGCCCATCGCTGAGACTGCACCGGCAGAACAGGAGCCTGGGGTTCATATGACCGCGGCGCAGAAAAAGAAGGCTAAGAAGGACAAGAAGAAGCGCAAGTCTGTTTCATTCGAGGATACCACAACTCCTTCCGAGGCCGCCGTTGATGCTCAGGCTGAAGGGGTCGCTAAGGAACTGCAACCTCAACAGTCGCCTCCTGTTGAAGTTGTTGAAGCTCTAGAATCCTTGACAAGCGGCGAGGTGCAGCCTTCTGAGATCGAACAAGCCACTGGAGAGCAGCTCGAACCTCCATCTGGGGAGACCAAATATTTGTCTGAACCTGCTGTTGAAGCTTCCAGAGACTTGGCCGAACCTTCTACCGAGGAAGCCGTGTCTGCTGCCCAGACTGACTCCTCTCCTTCTGGCGACTCCGAGCCAACTCCAACTCTTGATATCGCCGAGACTACTGACTCTACTCGCGATCAGCCAGAGCAACCTGCTCCTCAACCTGAAGCCGAAGCCGACGCTGAGCCTGAGGTGCCTCTGACGGCGGCACAGAAGAAGAAGGCTAAAAAAGACAAGAGGAAAAAGGCTAAGCAGCAGAGTGTGTCTTCCCTTCCTGATGAGGAGAAACTGGCTGAGCCAGAGTCTATCGAGTCTCAAAACACTGAGGTTACTGAAGCCGACCATGAAACTTCTGAGAGTGCTGAGCCTGCTGCTGAGCCGACTGTGTCTGCTGAGACTTCTGAGCCTGTTACAGCTGCAGAGCGTACCGAATCCTCCGAACCTGCTCCCGATACTCCCGGAGATATCTTCGATACCGCCACGGAGACCCCTATGGCCTCTGAACAGCCATCGATTGATGTCCCTGGCCCAGAAGAAAAGCGTGAAGAGCCAATCGCGGCCGATCAGCCCAAACAAGATGAGCCTACTTCTGGTCCAGAAACGGAGACCATCCCGGAGGCCCCTGTCGGAGTGTCTGATGTTGCTAAATCTGAAGAAGAGCCCCCGATCTCCGAAGACAAGCCAGAGCCAGAAGCCACTCCTGCCGAGCCTGAAGTCCCCATGTCAGCAGCTGAAAAGAGAAAGGCTAAGAAGGCAAAGAAGAAGAAGCAGCAACAGGAGAGCATCAGCTCTGTTTCCGAGGAGACGCCTGCAACTGATGCAGCGTCTCTGACCGACGCTGACACTGCTGAGGCCGGCAAAGAAGTTCAAGATGTACCCGAAGCGGATGTTAAACTCGTGGATGATACACCTGCCCCTGTTGCTGAGCCCGAGATCATCGAGACTAGCAAAGAAATTGACTCTAGCGAACTTCCTGCAGCAGAGCCCGAGACAATTCCATCGGTTAAGACTCCAGCGGAAGACAAGGCTGTTGAGCCAGCCGGCCAGGTGGCCCCTGCCTTAACAGAGGTGGATGCCCAGGTTGAACCTCCTCGAGAAGAGGTGCCTCTTGAGCCTGAACAGCCCAAGGAAGAGGAACCAGCCCAGCCTCCCATCGCTGAGCCTCTGCCCACCACTGAAGCTACAGAATCACAGCCCGTCGAGTCAGAAACTCCCACAGCTGAACCTGAGGCTCCGATGACTGCTGCGCAGAAGAAGAAGGCCAAAAAGGAGAAGAAAAAACAGCAAAAGCGGCAGTCTGCTCTTTTAGATGAACAGGATACAACCGAGACAGACGCTGCTCCCACCCAACAACAGGAGGTTGAGCCAACTGTTGATGTGACTCAAGAGGTCTCTGTTTCCGAAGAGACCAACCCTGTCAATGAACCTGCGCCGGCAGAAGCAGACAAGGATGTTCAACCTGAGGCTATACCCGTTGTTGAGGACAGCCCAGCCCCTGCCGATATTGAGAAGGAAGCTCCCGTGGATACATCCGCCAATGAATCTGTTACAACGGAGCCTCTTGTGGAGCCTTCCGCTGATGCTCTCACTGCGCCTGATGTACGCCTCCCAGAATTTACTTCCCTCGACATCACACGTATAGAATTGGCTGACCATTACCAGGAGCCCAAGGATGCTGCTACTGTATCAGAGGAGACTGCTACAGAAAGCCCTATGGTCGATCAACTCACTCCCGACCAGTCTCTCGAAGAACCAGCTACCCCGGTTGAGACTCCAGTGGACACTGCTACAACGGAAGAGTCTACTGCAACCCCTGAGATCGCGCCGGTAGAGCAGACTGAAGAGGCTGAACCGACTACTCCATTGTCAAAGAAGGACAAGAAAAAGAAAAAGAAGAAGAACAAGTCTCTTGTCCTAGAGGAAGAGTCGCAGCCTGAGCCAGTTCAAGAAGAATTGACCAAGTCAAATGAACCTGTCGAACTTCTCGAACCTGTCGAGCTAACTGAACCTGCTGCGCTTATCGAGTCTGCCAGATCCGTTAAGCCTGTTGAGCCTGTCGAACTCGTTGAGCCTTCTCCGGTTCAGACTCTTGACACCACCAAGACGATCGAGGAGCCTCAGTCTCTCCCTGTGACCGAAGAGCCCCAGAGCATCGAACAGCCATTCCCTGAAGAGACTGTCAAAGATGAGGCCATATCAGAACAGCCCAGCACCGAGACCGCCGAAGAACCTTCTCAGCCCTCTGAGGCCGAGGTGCCAATGACCGCTGCCGAAAAGCGAAAAGCCAAGAAAGACAAGAAGAAGCGCAAGTCTGTCGCCTTTGAGGATGAAGCACGTGCTACTCAGACCGAGTCTCAGCCTGACCAAGAACAAGATGCTCCAGCCGAATCCACTGAGCCCAAGGATGTTCCTTCCGAGGAGGCTGCTCCTACTCAAGAATTGAGGGAGTCTTCTAAGGATACTCCAGAAATCGCGGCTGAAACTGTTGAGAATCTCACCTCCGAACCTGAGGCTACAGCGATGGATCAGGTTGAAGCATCCGCCGACCAAGCAGTCCCTGTGGAGGTTGAGGGAACGGATGTGGCCGAGAGCGTGAAGGAGGATTTCTCAGCGGACAAACCAGCAGACCACGAAGTTAAGGAGCCGGAGGACGAACCCTTGGCTTCTGCCCAAACTGAGGAACAACCTGCGGTTCCCATCGAGCCTGAGACTACTTCAGACGGGATGGCCGACATTGTCGAAGAGCCCTCAGCTCTGAATGCCGAGGCGACCGAATCAGCAGCCGAAGCAGGTCTATCAGCTAAGGAGCGCCGCAAGCTCAAGAAAAAGGAGAAGAAGAAGTCCAAATCCGTGGACTTGACTGAAGAACTCCCTTCTCCCATAGCGGCCTCGCAAGAGGCTGAAATCCCAGCTGAGCCTCAGCCTGAAGCACCTAGAGAAGTTGAGCCCGAGGCGCCCCGGGTTGAGCAACATGAAGACTTGACATCGGTTGATGTCGATGTTCCCAAGGTGGACGAGGCCGAGGTTGCTGAAGCACCCGCCGACACCGAGAAGAACGACACTCCTGAGGCTGGTTTACCCGAGTCAATTGACAGTCCCGAGCAAGCGGGCGAGCAGGATATCATCGAGCCCAAAGAATTGGACGACAAACTGCCCGTGATCGAAACTGCAGAGCCCCCTGCGCAAGCGATAGAAGAAAAGCTCGAGCAACCCGCCGAGCCAGAAGCAGAGGCCTCTCTGTCCGTCAAGGAGAGACGCAAGCTCAAGAAGAAGGAAAAGAAGCGCCAATCCAAGAATCTCGATGTTGATGAAAATGTCACCGCCGAAGCCACCACCGAATTGAAAAGCCCTTCCGACGAACCAGAGAAACCTGTCTCGGACGAACCTGGTACACGAGAACTCTCTGAACCCGTCACGGCAAGCTCGCCAGCGGAGAACGACGGTAAAGAACTTCAGTCCCACGACATGGAAATGCCCACCACGCCGGAAAAAGATTTAGCTTCGACTGATGAGTTCTTGTCTTCGCAGGTAGAGCAGCCGCAGATAGAGAGTCGTTCTTCAGATTATCCTCCCCCACCCGTGCTTGAGCGTGATTTTGATTCTGGCGAAGGGAAGGAGGATGTGCAGAAGGAGGATGATGATGTTGTGCCAGTCTTGGAGCAACCGGAGGTGCCGAGTATGGAAGGAGACAAGAGTCTTGGTGATGTTGAAGAAGTCTCAGAGCAGAAGCAGCAGTATGCTGTGGACGTTGAGCCTGTACAGGAAGAAGAAAATCCCGGGGAAGTTGAGGTACCTGTAGCTGTGGAGGAGACATCAAAGCCCAAGGAAGAGGAATTGATTGAGAGGGACCCAGTTGTCGAGTCTGCTATCGAGGAGGTCGAACAGCCGGCCTTGTCCAAGAAGCAGAAGAAGAAGGACAAAAAGAAGAAACAGAAGCAGGAAGAGAAGGTGGAGGAAGAGGAAACTACCGCCCCTGGACCTAAGCAATTGCCTGCAGAAGAGAAGGACCAGGCGGAGGCCCTCATCGAGCCCAGTCAAGAGACCCACGAGCAGCCGATCGCCGAGCTTGAACCAGCTGCCGAGCAACAGCCAGCGCAAAGTGCCGAGGAAATCTCAACCGAACAGACCCGGGATCTCGATCTCTCGGTCTCTCAGCCCCAGCTTTCGGAAGATGTGGAATCAGTCAAGGACATCGAACCTACCCAGGTAGAGAATGTTGTTCCCGAGCCTGAGCAATTGGATGAAGCGCCGCTATCGAGGAAGCTGAGCAAGAAAGAAAAGAAGAAGCAGCGTCAAGCTCTTGCACAACAAGCTGAGACAGAAGCTGTCTTTGAGCCCTTAGAGCAAGAAGCTCAGGCCACAGCTGAACCGGAAACCTCTGCTTCCGCACCTATTGAGCAACAAGAAGATATTCAGCCTGCTGTCACCAGTGACGTCCCTGTCCAGTCTTCCATCCCTCTCGAGGATGACTCGAAGGAGGTTGAACTGCCTGTTATTGAAGCAGAACAGCCTATTGCGACAGGACATGAACGAACAGAGCCAGTCGACGAACCATTGTTTGAGGGGCCCAAGCCAGAGGGCGGCGATTTAGCCCCAGCTCCTGCAGATACCACGGTTATTGTTCCTCCTCCGGAGCCTGCAGAGTCTTTAGAGCAAGTGCCATCGGAGGACGCGCCGGAAGCTGCCGAGCAGCCGACAATTACGAGGAAAATGAGCAAGAAGGACAAGAAGAAGGCCGCCGCCGCCGCCGCTCTTGCAACTGAAGAGGAGAAGCCTGCCGAGCCAGAGCCTGCACTTAGCAACGCATCCCCTGCCGCCGAAGAGAACATCGACCTCTCCAAAGACGAGCCAGCTGTCGATGATACTCAGCAGTCCCCCGAGTCTGAGACTGAATTGCAGCGACAGGCTGCGGAACAAGACCGCGACAACACCGATCTAGTGGTTTCTGACACCACTGAAGATGCGGCTGAGAAGCAGGTTGCAGAGGGAGAGCAGCAAGTTGAACCTTCTGCTGAAGAGCCTAAGCTTGAGCAAGTGATTGAGGAGCCTGTTGTTGATGAACCTATCACTCGCAAGATCTCTAAGAAGGAGAAGCGCAAAGCCAAGAAACAAGCCGAGCAGCAGGTGTTCGATTCTCCTACGATGGAGGCCGACACTGCTCAAGAGGCTGTCGCCGAACCTGAGCCCGAGGATGTGGCTGTCAAAGAGTCAATTCCAACGGAGCAACCCAGAGAGGTTGTTCCCGAGGCTGAGCCTGTCGCTCAAGAGGAAACGACAGCCCAGGAAATTTCGCAGCCTGAGGAGCTGCCTATTCCGAGCGATGATTATCCGGATGAAGAGATCAAGGAGATTGAGCATAGTGAGCCCTCTGTTCCCTTGGGTTCTTCCGATGCTCCATCGTACGCAGAGGCCAAGAATGATCAACCCACGCTCGAGCTTGGAGATGAACGTGCTTTCGAAGCTATTGGTAAGTAATTCTGTTCAACAGAGCAACATGAGACGAGTTGAAAGATTGAAGCTAACCTCAGCAATGCAGATCCTGTTAAGGAAGATGATTTTGTCACAAATCCTCCGGAAGAGCCTGAGATGGTCGCGCCGCTTTCTAAGAAACTGTCCAAGAAAGAAAAGCGAAAGGCCAAGAAGAAGGGAATTGTGGAAGAAGAACCCACTAGCTTGGAAGATGATTTGCATGCTATCCCCGAGCCTGCTCCTCCAGCTGATTTCCAAGACGCAAGTGCCTTCGCTCTCATGGCCGAGAAGACCGAGCCCATGACAGATCCTCCGGTTTTGTCTGAATCAACAAAAGAGCCAAAGACGGAAGCCAAAACAACAAAGGAGATTGAGCCTGCGATCGACGCCCAACCCTCTGTCGAGCCAGAAGTTGTGACGGATTCTCCTCCAATTATTACCAATTCTCCGACCGAGGAGCCCGAACCTGAGCTGGAGACAGCCCTCTCGCGCAAAGCTTCGAAGAAAAAGGCCAAGAAGGCAAAGAAAGCTAGCCAAGCCTTGGAACTAGAGCCACCTGTGGACAATGCGATTGAACAACAAGAATCTGGCGTGGCTCCTGAGCCGGAAGCATTGACTAAGGATATTGCTGGTTCAGCTGTGCTGGAGAAGAAACAAGGTGATGAGGACTGGCCTGCAATTGAATGGGAGGGTGGCCATTCTCACAAACATGAGCCATCACAAGACAAGATCCCCGAGCCAGAGCCAGTGACGCCTATTCCTGAGTCGGAAGCTATCGGTGATTACGATGAGTCTGCCATTCCCTCTGCGTTGCAAGAGGTTCAGAGGAATTTGGAGCAGCTCGTCGAGGAAGACGGAGAAACTTGGTCTGCACCCCTCAGCAAGAAAGATAAAAAGAAGGCCAAGAAGACCAAGCGCAAGTCAGACCAGGCGGCCCTGGCAATCGGTGAACCCGACGAAGAGCCGTCTCACAAGAAGATCGAGCTGGTGCATGAATCCACAACTGCACTACCAGTGGAACTCCCAGTCTCTGCTCCCAAAGAGATCGAGGCTGAGCCACCTGCTCGAACTACGACTCCCGGTGGCTCCAAGATTGCAAGCCTCTTCCCAGGGTTAGAACGGGGAGGGTTTCGGCGATCGGTTCTGGACATCAAATCACCGTCGCTAAAAGATAGTGCTGAGGAAGAGACCGCAGCGGACTTGGAAGCAAATCGCGAAATCGCGATCCCCGTCTCGGAAGCACCCCTAGCGACCACTGATACCACCGACAAGCGTCACTTTGGCCACGAGATACCTACGGAGGAGAAACGAGAAGAGTTGCCCGAAGACTTGCAGGATACGACTATCGAATATGATGCTCCAGCGGTTAGCTACTTGCAGCCAGAGTCACCAATCGATCCCGAACTGCCAATCCACCGTGAGCGCTCCGTCGCAGATCAATTCCCATCGCCTGGTCATGCTGCCTCTAAGGAGCGATCATCCATGCTGTTTGGCTCGTCCCCGTCTACTCGCACCGAAGAAGCCTCTTCGCCCCGGCGACTGTTGCCCTCCCAGATGGATGCCCCTGATGATGCCTCCTGTGGATTGCGCCGAACTCCAACTGTGATCCACGGGCGACACCAGCAGACTCCCCGTACCTGGAACTTGGAGGAATCGTCTATCCCCGCTCCATCTTCCTCCCCGCCTCGCTCTATCTTTGGGGGACATTACGATGAGCCCCATTCCCGGCCCCGGACTCCGCTGGACCCCATTGCGGAGCAGGAGCCAGGGGACGGGAACCACGCATCCACGGCTCGCGACGGGACTCCCCGTTTGGAGATCAAGCCAGAGCATGTCTTGCCCCGACCTCATACTCCCGTGCGGAAGTTTACAGACAATGCCATGGCCCGAGAGACCTGGCCAACTCCGGACAATGAACACAATGACAAAACCCGGAGCCATGATGACCTTTCCAAGGCCAGCAAACTCAGCGGCGAGTCGGGATCACCCATGACCCAAACGCCTGAGCAGGGTATACCTGTATTGAAGCCCAGCGGCAGCAAGGGTAAGCTGCGTCGCACGAATCGCAGCACGAGCAGCGATCTGCGGGGCGCTAGCAAAGCGCTAGGCTCTTCCCAGCCTCCCCCAACCCTCGATCTCGACCAGCTTCCTTCTTCTTCCTCCTACGACCCTGTCACCGACAAGGGCAAGCGTCCCCTGCGAAACATGTCGGATGTCTATGTAAGTTGATCCTGATTTTTTTGGTCTTTTCTTCCACTTTCACTGTCATTTCCGATCGGTGGTTTTTGTTTGTTTACTAACGTTGCCTAGGAGGGATGGGGTGAGACGCCCAGCTCCCCACGGTCGCCCAGCCGACCGCCAAGTGTCCGCCGTCGTCAGAGTGTGCAACACCTTCAAGAGATGGAATCTCGCCTCGATCAACTCATCTCGGAAAATCGCCTCTTGATTTCCGCTCGCGATGAAGCCGAAGATAAATTGCGCAATGCGAGCGTCGCTCGCCGGAAGAGCGATCGGGCCCTCAATACCAGCGGCGCCGACTTGCGGGACAAGGAAGCCGAAGTGGAACAACTGAAGACTTCAGTAGAGTGGCTGCAGCGGGAAATGAGCCGTCTGACCCAGGAGAATGAGGGTTTGACGGCGTCAAATGCTGCTCTCGCTGCCGCGCACGCAGATGAAGTCAACACTGTGCGCGAGTCATCCACACGAGAGCTGGATGACCTGCGGTCGCAACATGCTGCGTTGTCCACTCAGGTGGATACTCGTGTGCGGCAAGAGATTGAGTCGGCTCTTGCTCAAAAGGACGCGGAATTGCGACGTCTCCGTGAAGAGCTGGAGGAAGCCCGCGACAAAGTGAAGGAGCTCCAGCAACAGATCGCATCGTCGCTTCAAGACAATACACTCGTCTTCCGAGACGAGGACTACTTCGATGCTGCCTGCCAGAAGCTCTGCGGTCATGTCCAACAATGGGTACTGCGCTTCTCGAAGCACTCTGACCACCGTCGCTGCCGCACTCTGAGTGAGCTGCACGACGAGAAGATCGCGGATCGTTTCGACAATGCCCTGCTCGATGGCTCCGATGCCGACTCCTACCTCTCCGATCGTGTTCGCCGACGTGATATGTTCATGTCGGTGGTCATGACCATGGTGTGGGAGTACATCTTCACCCGTTACCTCTTCGGTATGGACCGTGAGCAACGCCAGAAGCTCAAGTCGCTTGAGAAACAACTGGGCGAGGTGGGTTCCCGGCGTGCCGTTCACCGCTGGCGTGCAACTACCTTGACCTTGCTATCGAAGCGCCCGGCTTTTGCTTCCCAGCGTCAAAGCGACACCGAAGCTGTCGCTCTCGAGATCTTCGGTACTTTGTCTCGCGTCCTTCCACCCCCGTCACAGGTGGAAGCTCAGCTCCTCGAATCCCTACGCAAGGTTCTGAGGGTTGCTGTCAACCTCTCCCTAGAGATGCGTACCCAGCTGGCTGAATTCATCATGCTGCCCCCTCTCCAACCTGAATACGACACCAACGGCGACCTGGCCCGCCAAGTCTACTTCAACGCCTCGTTGATGAACGAGCGCAGCGGCGAAACCACCTCCAACGACGAGCTAGAGGCCCAACAAGCCGTCGTCCGCATTGTTCTCTTCCCTCTTGTCGTCAAGAAGGGCAACGATGTAGGCGAAGGCGATGACGAAGTCGTCGTCTGCCCCGCTCAAGTCCTCGTTGCGCGCCCGGGCAAAGACAACCGTGTCTCCAAGAGGATGAGCGTTGACCGTATGTCCGTGGATGCCCGCTCGGTCTATAGTGCTGCACCGAGCATGGCACCTCCCTCGGTGATGGACATGAGCAATGTGATCTGAGGCGTCACACTCTGATCGAGATTGCACCGTCACTTTTACTTATGACATTTACTGGTCATTGCAATTTTCGCAATATTCCCCCTTATGCTTTTGCTGCTGCTTTTCTCCGCTGGTGAAAAAGGCTGCTTCTATTTTGGCGTCTTCTCTGCAAACTTGGGTTCCTCCCTTCTAATAGGGACATTGATGATCTGGAGTTGATTGTTCTTTTGAGTGTGTTTATTTTCCTTTCGTGTTTTTTATTTTGTTTCTCAAGAAGATACGGCCGCTGCATGTGTATTTACTATCTTTGATGTCTGATGAGTGACGACTTGTACTTCTGGCACGGCAATGTAATAGAACCATTCCATCTATTTGATATTTTGAGTCACCACTATACTCTCAAGGTTGTTATACTCTTCGTTTAGTAGAGCCACCAAAGGGCGAGGATCCTACCTAAATGAGAGGTTCCAACAGATCCTGGCAACGCTGCATGCGCTAGAACTGTATAGTGCATATGGAACTTGGACTAACAGCATCATATTCAAAAACTTATTTGCAACATACAAATATGGGCCAATTCATGGTTCCATTTGACCTCGTAGTCTTCATTCCTGAATTCACGACCGATGGCGCCGCAGTTTCTGGCCAGACTTTTCCCGCTGACCTCATCGATCCGCTTTGGGTAATCGAGCTGACTTCCGCTGGGCCCCTCACCATCTCAAAAGACCTCGGCCTTTGGTCTGTCCTTTCCCTTTCGCTATCTCTTGGTCTATATACCATTTAGTCAACGGCAAGCTCTTGGTTATATCTGTATCTGTTACGCCCACCCGCCTTCGCTCTGCCTGGCTGCCCACTTTGCCTGATGTTCCACATTGTTTCGCCACACGCGTCATCCGCAGCGACCCTGTTCCAGCTCCAGCCCGAGCTCAAGCTTGAGTTGCTCAAGACCCTTCTCCTGCGGCGCTAATCTGCTCTCGAACATGCTGAGCACCGTTTTCCCTTGATCGACAAGCGCTCTTTGCGACCGCTCTAAATAAGGGCGAACTGCTTTTCTTTCTCTTGCCTCCGAGGTTCAGAGCCTGGCCCGGCTCAATCGATTAATGAGCGCCGCCATCTACGCATTCGCTGGCACTGGAAGACCTTAGCAACTGTCGGAAGATAATCGTCAGGCGCTTCGCAATATTATTACGTCTTGAGTATATTTATTCACACAGGGACAGGGCCATCTATGGATCCCTCTCCTACGCCGACACCAAATCTCGTTGCAACAGCTTCTCGATCACAACTCCTTTCCTCCTCCTCACCGTCTAGCCCCGGTAAACGGGGCCAACGCAGCGAATACCCACTTCCCACCGATAAAAAAGCTGGAAACGGTGCAATGGGCGGACAAGAACAAGATAATGGTCCGGCGACGCCCTCAGGGACCCGCTTGGAGACCCCCGCGCCCGATAATGGGCCTGCCAACAAACCCTCCAAGTCCTCCAAGCGCAGGAAAAACCGCAATCGCAAGCGTCGCAATAGACACGAGTCGTTCCTTACGCCTGCTTCAGAGGAAGCTCATGAAAGAGCGGGGACTGTTTCGGGGACTGGTGGTGCTAGAGAGACGATGGAGGACGAGCAGCCGACGTCCAAGGATAACCAGTCGTACTTCACTCTGCGTCGGCACCGAAGCAGTACCAGCATCGAGAGCGATGCGCTGCTGGATCATCGGTGAGTTACAAGATAGTACATGCCCTTCGAAATATGCACGGGTAGGTTCATTACCAGTCTGACCGTTTGACACACAATTCTAGGGACCAACCCATGATGCGTCCTCGTCGGGACAGTCGGGTTGCGACTTCGTTCCGTCCCACTTCCCTTCTTGCCGGAACCTTTCGGTCCCACGACAGTCAATCTCGCAGTACCCCGAGGAATGGTCGAGTTCAGCAATACCAGGAGGGAGATAGTGATGAAGCAGATGCTACTGACCGTACGCCGCTGATGCGTGCTGGCTCGGGCCTCGCATCTGGCCTGTCTCGGTATGGGACAGACTCGCGCTCTAGCCCATTCACACGCCAACGCAGACCCTCCGTCCAGACAACATCATCTCGATGCTCACCGCGAGGTCACTATAGCCCACCCTACTCACTGGATGTGGAGCGTGACTACGATGTCAACAACCCACCGTCGATTCCTGGGACGCCCAAATTGGGCCCCGATATGAACTATGACGATGCGGTGGTAACGGGAGCCGAGTTTGACTTTACACTGGGGCGCTCGATCGACACACGCAGGGAGTCACTCAATCGAGTGAATGATGCTTTGATCAACATTGAGGGTGTAGGCCGCCAGTATTCCGAACCCTCGTCACTCCACTCCGCTCAGTTCTCTCCGCAAGAGCTGCGACGCCGACGCACAGTTGCGCTGCCAGTTGAAGAGGATGTCTGTTTTCCTACCGAAGATGTCTCTGAGCTGGGCGATGAAGAACGGAGGGCACCGAGAGGCGAACAAGGTGAACGCCGCAGGCGCAGACGACGACAGTGGCCAGATCTGTCTGTTCTGGAAGAATGGAGCCGTGAAGAGAAGGAAGATCGCAGTGGCGGTTTGCGTGTGAAGAAGATCAGCGAGCCCATGTTTGTCGAAGGTCGGCTCCGACCTCAGTATAAACTATGGCGACGTGAGGAAGATGATGCGCCTTATCGGTTTACCTATTTCAACGAGGAGTTTCAGAGCACCATTCACGCCCAGACAATCTCTGAGTTGGTCCAACCCGGCGGTAGTTTCCGTGAATTGTTCATCCCCGATCCGCCCGAGCTAGAAGATTCGGATTCAGAAGACGAGCCAGAAGTCGATCCTTCTGTGAGTGGGAACGCTGCTTCTGGACTCGCTGGCGGGAATCGAGGATCAGGGTCTCACTTTGAAAGCCACTCTTCGAGTACTCACAATGGCAATACGAACGATGGTACAGCGCCAGCTAATTTGGAAACGCGAAATGGTCACGATTACGCCTCTGGCACAATAAACGGCAATCGTGCAATTCCCAACCCGCGTCTGTCTGTTATCAGCGAGGCCCGTCCTGGATCTACCCGAGAAGCGTCGCCGTCGCACTCGAATATTCCCGAAAAGCCTAAGCGATATGGCCCACGGCCAACCTTCTGGCTGGACGTACTCTCCCCAACAGACGTAGAGATGCGCGTCATTGCAAAGGCGTTTGGGATCCACGCCTTGACAGCAGAGGATATCATGATGCAAGAAGCTCGCGAGAAAGTAGAGCTATTCCGCAGTTACTACTTTGTCAACTACCGCACCTTCGAACAGGATCACAACAGCGAAAACTATCTCGAACCTGTGAACATGTATGTGGTGGTATTCAGGGAGGGTGTGCTGTCCTTCCACTTTTCGCAAACGCCCCATCCCGCCAACGTGCGTCGTCGAATCCGTCAGCTCATGGACTACCTCATCCTAAGCTCGGATTGGATTTCATATGCCTTGATCGACGATATTACCGATGTCTTCGGTCCCTTGATTCAAGCGATTGAAGACGAAGTCGACGAAATTGATGAACTGATTATGAAAATGCACTCGTCCAATAAGGAAGATTCTTCCGAAAACGTCGCACCCTCATTTGGACCGGGTGAGATGCTGCGGCGTACAGGTGAATGTCGCAAGAAAGTCATGGGCTTGTACAGGCTGCTCAGTAATAAGGCGGATGTTGTTAAGGGCTTTGCCAAGCGCTGTAATGAACAGTGGGAAGTAGCGCCCAAGTCAGAGATTGGACTGTACTTGGGTGATATTCAGGATCATATTATGACGATGACTGGAAATTTGACGCACTATGAGACGTAAGTCCTCATTTATCATTGTCTTTACCCAGAGAATTGTGGCCGACAGTGGATTGGAAAGACTGACTTCTTATTTCAAACAGGATTTTGTCCCGTGCGCACTCCAATTACCTGGCGCAGATCAACATTTTGATGAATGAGCGCCAGGAGCAGACTGCTGATGTGCTCGGGAAACTGACGGTGCTTGGTACCATCGTCCTGCCGATGAACATCATCTGCGGTATGTGGGGTATGAACGTGAAGGTACCCGGGCAGGATATTGACGATCTATGGTGGTTCTTGTCGAGTATGTTTCCCCCTCTTTCATCACCTTACAGTGAAGGTAATATCGTTTTTTCTCTAATGATTAACAGTTACTGCCGGTTTACTCTTCTTCGGTCTTGCCTCGTTTTTGATCGCCAAGCGGGTCTACAAGATTGTATAAGTTATAAGTATTAACAAGCCAGCCCGTGTACATGCAGGATCTCTTTTCTCTCGGCTTGATGTGCTGCCCCTCCTCTTTGACTGATACCCCCGGCTCTGTCTATCTCTACATTTTGCTCTTACCTCTCTGACCCCTTGTCATGGTTTCACTTCTTTGTAAATGACGATCTCCTGACTTTGGCCATGCTGGGGGTAGATGAACATGCGAAGGCGTTTGCGTTTGTTTAGCCTTGGTTTCGGTTCTGATTATATACGGGTTATGCGTTTCTTTCCCCTTTATGATTCTATTTTCCGGTGTTCTAGTTGTTGAATTGTACATAGTATTAATCCTAGAATTATACACTATCCTTTTCTTCATCCTTATATACCGAATTCAAATGCGGGCCAGGGTCGTCTAGGTGATTGACGCCCCATTCTCGACTCTGTCGACTACACGGCAGAGAGTACCCGGACTCTGATTAACGCTTGGCTTACACTTTGGGGTATGACCTGGAGTCTTCTTTTTGCTCTTGCGATGAATCATTTCGGTGGACGCACGTTCTTTGTCGGTTCAACTCCAGGCTGTCTGAGGACATACTTTGTCTAGGTGGCTCTTGAGCGAGATGAGAACGGTGCTAGATGGGATAAGAGGTAACGACTATGCAAAGGGAGCATTGGCATGATCTTCCTGTACAGCTTCTTCTTGCCGGCTGGACTTCTCTTCAGGTTACCAATTACTAGCAAAACCCACCCGATCATATATAATTACTACTAAAACCCACCGGGTGGCCGGGTTATTTCCCACCCGGTCACCCGATGAGCTGTAAACCCGGCTCATTGGGGGAACTGCATCTATGACCGAAAAAAACTTGGCGCTGAAGCGACTGCTCGTGCCACAGTTCAGACTAAGAAAGCCTCCTGAAAGTAGGAAGGTCGAGGCGATATCTAGTTCAAACTAGCGACACTGGAATAGTGTGACCCATCCAACTGGCGTCTACAACGTATGAGAAAGTCCAAAGTCGTGGGTATTCTCCTCATAGCTCGAGAGTTGGGTTATTTCCTGCCCACTCTACGGACATTTAGTTCCATCTGAGTTCCAAGTGCGGGGAAGTGGATATCCCATAGACCGTAGTTGAGGGGCGTGAAGATGTAATTGATGGAATAAGTGAAGGTATCTAACATCGCCGGGGGTTCACCGGTCATGGCCGGCCATTTAACCGATATTTTGCCGATGAAGATCCCCACAGGCAATTTAAGGGAACTACAAGTATAATCCCACATTATCTGGAGGGAATGTTCTTTACAAATGAAATTCTCTGAGGCAAACAAGAAAGTACAAAACGTAACGGTTTCGAAAAACCACCTCGCACATCTTTCAGATGAGATTGAACAATATCACCCGCTGTGCAGTTGCTAGCGGCCTTCTAGCAACCTGTGTCTCAGCTGGTCAGATCACCAAGAGCTTATCCAAGAGTGAGGCACCAATTGATCAATAAAGTTGCTGATATGTGGGTTAATGGAAAAACTGGGTAGATGCGCAAAATCTTTTTGACTGGTCAATGCATGTGAATGACCTACGCTGGGACGATTCGTACAACTTCATCTGGTATTCCGACAGTGGTCCTTGGTCAACTCGCTTCACAGCGTGGTATGCTGCGGGTTTACTATTCCGTAACAAAGGGCAAGATGTGTCTAATGCGAAAGCTGCTATCGAAAACATGTCAGTGGCGCGAACACCTGGGTCATCCCTATCGGCTGAGACACCTGGCTAATTCCTTCATCTCCTGCAGCTTGACGTGCCAAATGACCGAGAGCTATGATTCAGCCTGGTATGGTACATTCAAGCGTTCTCCCGATGAGCCGTATCCGACTCCAGACTCAGAGCTGTACCCACCAGAGATATACGTACGTCATCAAACGATCAGTGCCAGGCGAGCGAGTATTTGCAAACAATGATCTAATCGAAACTGGCCTTAGAGCACATATGACCCGAACTGGAGAGAATTCATTGGAACGCAGCTTGTACAGATTGTGGAAGAATTCTCCAATCTACTGGGGGACAGCCTCGTAGCACGCATCGAGGATAGTCTGGAAATTGCGGCTGTGGGCTCTATGAGGCGTAATGGGTCATATCCCGAGGGTGACAATCTGACACCAGCCTACTCCAATCCAGCTCTGATGCGTGCCTGGTACGTTTCTTGGATTGGCACACGCCGCAACAATGAGGTATGTAATTACTGCCAGTCCAGCGACAGATTTTTCCTTTGCCTTGGTATGAGAAACGATTTATACTGACATGAGAAATCCCAGACTTTCATCAAATATGCAAATGACCAGGCTGATACTATCCTGGAACTCTTCCAATCCACTGGCTCGAACGTACTTTCTGAATACAATGCACCGACCTACTATGGAATGGATACCTGGGCACTTGCCGGCGCCATCAAATATGCGCCTAAAAATGCCTCGATTGCCAAAAACGCCAAAGTGATGTTGACGGACCTCTGGGCAGACATTTCCGCTCACTACAATCCCTATCTTTCAGTAATGTCTGGACCGGTATGGTACCCTCGCCTGTCACAAAAAAGCGCAAAATTTCCTAACACAATTCCGTTCAACAGTACGATCGAGCCTACACACGCGACATGGTCACGAATTCTGCAGTCATCGATTACTTCTGGTGGGGTCTGTACGGCTATGGCACTGGACCGCAGCCAAACAAACTCGAGTCAGACCTGCTATTCGATGTCTCTCAAGGCTCGGCACTGGCTCTTGTGGTAGACGTCGTTGCGGCACACATCTCCAAGAACGACTCGGCTTGGCTCCAGTCTCAAGGAGAATGGAGCGGAGAACGCATGATCACCAAGAAAGTTCCCGATGCGCTCGGTGCCAACTCTGAGGTCCGCATCATTACCTCGTGGATCAGCTCATCTCTCATGGTTGGTGCCGAGCAGGTCAATGAGACCGTCAACCGTGGTGTGCAATACGTTCCCGCGATTGTTCAGTGGGCTGGTGATAAGGACCACAAACCTCATCCGTATATGTCGTTCTTCTCCTTGTATCCGACTGCGTCGACTGTTGATGCAATTGCAGGACCCAACAGCCTGGAAATCTCGTATCCCAATACAACGCAAGATGGTACAAATATTTTCACCTTTGCGCTCGCACAGATACCACCCAGTTGGACTTTGATTAAGAAGAAGGTTGTGGATGGTCTTGAAGATTTGCCTTGCCTTGATGTCACGGTCAGTGCTGAGGGCTTGGTTAAGCAGCCAGTGGTATATGGTGCTACACTCGAGGACAACCGTATCTACAACATCTCTTATGTTGTTCCTTCTGGGTTTGAGGGCACACCAAAGGTCGCGTTCAAGTTCAAGTATACTTGTTGAGGGAGGTCCATATAGACGAGTTCCTCGGGGGAGGCAATCTGATGGTTGAGACCCAGTTCAGCCACCTGACAGTGATGTTGACACTTAGAAAGCAATTTTTCGCCAGTGGGAAAGAAAGGTAGCTATGCCGAGGGGCGCAGGTCTTCTGCTGTATATAGATCGATATCTTTCCTCCTTGTCGCCTTCAACCGGCCCGGGACTAGACCAAGAATTGGAGTTGCTTAAACTTTGGCTCTGTCATTCTGAGCAAAGGGCGGCCTGTTCATATTGAAGAAACTGAAGAAGTATAATAAAGGAGATTCACGTGAAAGTGTCTAAATCCTTTTGTTTTGAACTTGATAGCATGTGGTCAAATACCCCTGTTGTTAGGAGTAGCTTTGAGAGTTATCCTTAAGAGATAGGGGTCGATACCTATATAAAGAACTTTGTATGAAGATTCGGTTTAAGAAGCCGTATTGCTATCTGAAAATTGGAAACATTCTTGTACGTTAAACATGTGCCGTTGGTTTCTTCGGGCCGGTCTGCAATACGCCGCCTATATTCTGAGGGACGAGCCTCGGGCCAGACTGCTCCGGGTTTGTTTTCACAAAACGCGCTGATCGTATACAAAACTGAGAAAGGTAAACGGCCACGTTGAACTTGGTTTGATCTCCACATTCATCATTTCTCAAGCGGGGCAACTTCAACCCTCTACAAATACTAAAACCGAGCAATCTGGGGGGAAATTATCTGGAGATATCTACCGAGGTTCCGCGGGCGCTTGTCTCGATCTGGCACCACCGATGAAGGTGTAACTTTGTAAATCTGTGGATATTATTCTCTGGATTGTGGTGGCACGTGGTGCCACAAGGGCTAATGTAAGTTGTAGTCAAGTAGCCGTTCGTTTGAAGTCACCGAGATTATAGCGAAGTTGTCCCATTGGAGGCATTGCCGCAGGCTTACTATACCGTGGCTGGTTGACCCTTCCACCTTCCCCCGCATGGCTATCTTGGCTAGGCTAAATAGATTGTTATTGTTAGACTTGTTGCTGTACCTTCTTCTAGACTTTCTAGTCTCCAGCTATGTTCTTGGAGGTATCGAAAGGCATAATGGCAAAGCTATCGGTCGATGATTATACCGACTTCCCGGACCACTGCAATCCAGACTAGGGAGACATGCTTATTCGACCGTTCCTCCATGCAACTCGGTCGCTTCCCCACTACTCCCCAGGCCACTAACTCGGACAAGTTTGGAACTTTGGGTCCATGCCGAATCCCCAGGTGGGGGTTTGAGTTCAATCGAGGCGGGGGTCGCTGCATCGATTCGGCAAGTCCCTTATTTCTAGTCAGTCAAGTCCTACTAACATCTGACTCGCACAGCTGGTCAACATTTCTTTTGCCCCTCCTCGCAAGTCTTTCTCATATACGTAATTCGTCGAGTCTCGCATGACTATTCCCTAGTGGTGAAATTCACACTCCTTAAAAAAAAAACAGCTATCTTTGAACGCTCCTCCATCCTGAGCCCATCGATCATGTCGTTTCCCAAGGCAAGACCCGACTGGAACAATTTACAAATACTTCACAAGAACACACTTCCCCCTCGGGCGCATTTCTACTCCTACGCTTCCGAGGAAAAGGCTCTTAACTTTGATCGCGATCAAAGTGAATATATATCACTCAATGGCACCTGGAAGTTCCGCCATGACGCTTCGCCTTACGAAGCACCAGAATGGTCGTCTGCCAATCCATTGACCTGGGACGACGTTAAAGTCCCGGGGATGTGGCAGCTACAAGGGTACTCGCATCCGACCTATACAAATGTCAACTACCCGTTCCATGTCAATCCACCCGAGGTGCCAATCCTTAACGAGACAGGATCCTATTGGAGGCAGTTCGTGACGCCAGCCTCGTGGGATGGGCAGCAGATTCGCATTCGATTTGAAGGAGTCGATAGTGCATTTCACCTCTGGATCAATGGAACAGAGGTGGGCTACTCCCAAGGAGCTCGTAACCCCAGCGAATTTGACATTACTTCCTTGCTTCGATCTCCCGGCTCGGTAAACACTGTTGCAGTGCGTGTGTACGAATTCTGTGATGGTTCGTATATCGAGCGGCAAGACCAGTGGCTTCTTAGTGGTATCTTCCGCGATGTCGGTCTGCTGTCGCTCCCATCCGACTCTATCGTGGATTTCGATGCTGTTGCGACTCTTAGCGAGGATCTGTCTTTGGGTGAGCTTCGCACTAGTGTCAAAACGCAAGGTGCGCGGGGCATTGTAGAGATCAAACTGTATCGACCTGATGGCACGCTACTTGAAGAGTCCAGCTTTCCTTCGACTGAGTCGAAGACTGTGCCAGTGTCAGGCGATGACTTGAAGCTCTGGTCGGCTGAAAATCCTGTTCTTTACACCTTGCTCGTCTCATTCAATGGCCGGACTATCCCACAACGCATTGGATTCCGTCGCGTTGAGCGAAAGGGCGCCAATTTCCTGGTCAACGGGAGACCCATCATCTTGTACGGCATGAACCGACATGAACACCACCACCTTTACGGGCGCGCTGTGCCATACGAGAGTATGCGTGCAGATCTCATTCTGATGAAGAAACACAACATCAACGCTCTCCGATGCAGTCACCAGCCCAATGACCCAAGGCTGTACGAAGTCTGTGATGAGCTGGGCCTGTATGTCATTGCCGAAGCTGATCTGGAGGCACATGGCTTTGATCCAGTTGAGAGGTCCAACATTCCCAATCAGCATCTCATGAGCGATCGTGAGATCCAGGAGACATCGTACAAGATGGCCACCAAATGGACTTCTGATAACCCAGAGTGGAAAGAGGCTTATCTCGATCGAGCTGTCCAGCTTGTCCAGCGATTCAAGAACTATTCTTGTATCATCTTCTGGTCACTTGGCAACGAGGCATTCTACGGCCAAAATCATGCGAGCATGTACAAATGGATCAAGGAAGCGGATCCCACCCGTCTCGTGCACTACGAGGGTGACAGAGAGGCCATTTCCGCTGATATGTACTCCACGATGTACTGGAGTGTGGATAGGCTCAAACAACACGTTATTGACAAGCCTGACAAGGCTATGATTCAGTGCGAGTACGCCCATGCGAGTAAGTCTAACCCCTTGACTTTCCATAATTTGGCATTCCCATCTAACTTTTTCTACAGTGGGCAACGGTCCTGGTGGGCTGAAAGAATACATTGAAGCTTATCGTACCGAGCCGCTTCTGCAGGGTGGTTTCATCTGGGAGTGGTGCAATCATGGTCTTCTCAAGAGAGAAGGCGCTCTATCATACTACGCGTACGGTGGTGACTTTGGAGACCAGCCCAATGATGCCGACTTTATCCTTGATGGAATGGTCTTTTCCGATCACACTCCTACCCCTGGGCTGATCGAGTATAAGAAGGCTATTGAGCCGGTCACGATTTCTTTCAAGAATGGCCAGCTGGAGATCGTCAACCACTACGACTTTAGCACTCTGGACCATCTTTCGGCTTCTTGGCACATTGTCAAGGAGTCCGGGAACACTGAACCCGTGCCATGGCAGCTACCCGAAATCAAGCCCGGCCAGTCAAAGCTTGTTGACCTCCCAGATGGTGTGAAGCTCGGTTCTGAGCCTCAATGGTATACCATCAACTTCTCTTTGAAGGATGCCACGGCGTGGGCGCTGCAAGGACATGAGATTGCATGGGCTCAGATCCCGTTGTTCGAAGAGAAGTGTCTCACATTTCCTCCGGCTCCGACTTCATCGCTTTCGCTTTCCGTCAGCGAGGAACCAGGAAGGCTCTACATTACCTCGAACAACTTTGCGTCTCACTTCACCTACGACCTTGTCCGAGGCAATCTATCCTGGTCCAACGAGTCTGGTAAGCTATTCAACAGCGGGCCCCAGCTCGGAATGTACCGCGCCTTGACCCAGAACGATATCGGAGGAGGCGGTCCCTGTGCCGAATGGAAACGATTCCGGGTCGAGAGCTGCCGCATGCTTGTCCAATCCTCAACTTGGAACGTGAACAGTGATGGAAGCGTGTCAATCACAACCAAGGTCCGAGTGGCACCATTCGTGCTAGAATGGGCCATGGAAGCCGATCTCAGTTACACAATCACCGAATCCTCCGTCAATCTCCACGTCAAGGGTGATTTCTCCGGCACTCACCCGAAAGAAATTCCGAGGATCGGTCTCACCATCCGCCTGCCCCGTCGATACGAAGCCGCTACCTGGTTCGGCCGCGGCCCCGGCGAGTCCTACCGCGATACAAAAGCCGCAGCTCGCTTTGGAACATTCACATCCACCCTCGACACTGGTCTGGAGATTCCATACGAATGGCCACAGGAGAACGGCAATCGCACAGACACAAGGTGGGTTCGTGTCCACGGGTCAACCGCCGAGAAGTCTTATTCCGCCTCTGCGGGTGCAGATGCGCCGTTGCCAGCAATCGAGGCAAGAATGGATACACCCTTCAATTTCTCGCTTCGTAGGTATGCGACGGAGGAGTTGGATCGTGCGAAGCATCCGCATGAGCTTTGTGAATTGGATGGGGAGACGGAGTGGAATGTTGACTTTGCGCATCATGGTATTGGGACTGGTAGTTGTGGTCCTGGTCCGTTTGAAGGGAATCGGTTAGAGGCCGGACCGTTTGAGTTTACGACTATGTTCCGGTTGGTTGATGAGACGGATCAGTGAGGGAACTAGAAGATTGGACTTTATTTTGTTTGTCCATAGGAAAGCATTCGGCTTGGATGCGCATGATTCCATGGCCTGTGAGTGATTAGTCTACGCTCTCGGACACTCGGGATATATAGAGAGAGAGCCCGAAATTCAGAGCACGAAAATTGCCAAAGGTACTGTAGAGTAAAACCTGAGTCCACTGTCTAACGCAAAGATTGTGTTTTATCATCTTTTTTTTTTAATTCCAATGAGTTCGAGATAGAGATAATACTGGCAGCAGTTGGGGTGCGTCCCCTCGGTAATATGTTGGCGACTCACATACCATAGGTAAGGTATGTGTTTCTCATATCGTCCTCTAGATTTAAGGCAGTTCAGCCTAGACTTAGGGGACTGCTTGGTACCTTTAAGGCTTGGATTAAATTCTACGGATGCTTGAGTAGGTATGTGCTATGTAGGCAAGGGAATGATACTGGGGTCCTATTATTTACTAGCAGGGGATCTAGCGGTCAGTCAATTCACTTCCTCTCAGAGTACTCATTAGAAATAAGTTGTGAATTATTGCACATAAAGTTCATGCTAGGGGCAACTACACAGGTTCGGTCGATTCCCCCGAGCAGAGAGTATATACCCGCTACGCGGCCCCTCTGCATCACCATGGATAATCACGAGACCAGACATGTATGCTCACGTGTCTCCACTATATATCGATAAACTTACATTAATCTAGATAGCTTGCATCCTTTGTTTCCATAAGCTATTTAATTCCAAGGCGACGCAGTGGAACAGCATCCCTATCTATCTAGCTAGTGGCAATTACAAGCTCGGCTATACAGCACATCCAGGAGTTGGCCCCTTTCTGGCTCAGCCTCGGTCGTTAGAATCCATCCTTTGAACTAGCTGTATGATTCTGTGAGATAGCTTTGCTATTATCTTGTTAGTATATGAATTATTAACGCCACTCCCACTGTATTATTATCCTATGCTCGGCAAGGTTCTTAGGGCCGAAGCAGGCGATGAGGTCATCATGAGCCAGTCATTAAACCGGTATTGCCGTGACACGCGTAACAAGCCAGGGCCTGGGCCAGACCTCCCTGTTTTGCCGTTTTGCGTCTGTTTTTATTACGGTCATGTGTCATCCTCCGGTCCTGCCAATTCCCAACTTCTTCGGGTTGTTCGTCTCAACGTCTTTTTTGGTGTTCCATCCTGAATCAACTTCTCCCTTTTCCCCCACTCTCCTCTCCACACCTCCTCCCCTCAACTTCTCTCCCAGTCTCCCATTATCCTTGTGCGCTGTCCACCTTTCTCCTTCTCACAACGAGGTCATCCCTTCTAGACCGTCCATCCGCGTGCTCCCCTGCAGTGCAAAGGCCCGCCCCTTCCATCTTGACGTGGGCCACGATCATTGGCTTCTGCTGGGCCCGGCCCTGACTCTCCACCCTGTCAGCCACTGTTCACCCGAGGTCTTGGACACCAACATCTCTGCAGGCGCTCTTCCAGAACTGGACCTACGCCACATCTCCTCACTTGATGGCCACAAAACAAGTCCAAGCCCAAACGTTGAGCCGGATCTGCGGTCCCCATCGTCTTTGAATCCCGCCAACCATAATTCTTGAATCCTGTGTCCTCCGGTTCTAGACGCTCCTGTTTTGTCTGAGCCCCCTCGGGAAACAAAACATCAGCCCAGAGAATGCCTGCCGTGGTTCTCTGATCGTCCGACCTTTTCTAAACAAACCACTCCATCCTCGTTTCTTCTCTCTCTCTCTCTCCTATTATTTTACCCACAACAACACACCCATACGATCCCTGCAGCCCTCCGAACTGCAGCTTACCTCTCCAAATTTCCACCCTCCATCGCTCTCCCCACCCCTGGGCCCCATTTCCCGACAATCAGCATGTGGATTTCGGTTATTCGCCTGACTGCACCACTCGTGTAACGACCCGTACTACCTGCGCAACATATCCGTTCGACACACCTGCGATCTTTTCATTCGTCCCTCGTTGCCAAACAACACATTCTTCCTACACCGATCACCTAATTCTGTGTGGTGTTAGCACCTTGCTTGTTCGTTTCCCTCTTTGGGACGTGCCTGGGACATATTTTTGGACATCGTTCCTGCCCAACTTGTGAGGCTACCTCTCGGGTCTGCTGACTTGTCTGCATCGTGTCAGCACATTCTGGCTCGATCGAGACCATGGCTGCGGAGTCCGAGAGGCCGCCTTACCTTAATGGTGCCTCTGGGCCCGAAGGAGCCAAGGAGTCAGAGGCGGCATCAGACACGGCGCATCCGGTGGCTAACGGCAACAACGACATGATCGAAGTGTCCCGTCCGACCATTCAACCTCAGGGACAGGCCATGTCCCAAGTACCCAAACTGCTTCCTAATCTCTCCACCTATTCCGCCCCGGCGTCTGCTTGCAACTCCGCTGTCTCCTCCCGCGAAGCCTCCCCGGTTCGAATCTCCTCGCGTACTGGCAATTCTCCCTCCACCAGTCGAGTATCTTCACAGACTCGAAAAGGCAGTCAGGACCGTGTCAGTCCAACTCGAGCCCCCAGCAACGGTCCTCCCTCTGTCCGGACACAACAATCCTCGGCTGGTCCACGATCGTCGCCGGCACCTCCCACGAACCCTCCCCCATTCCTCTCTCCTCCTGCCGCCATCGAACCGTCGGCCAATGTCCCCAGTCCGGAAAAGCACAATATGCCATCATGGGCGGGGAATCGACGTACCGATCAAGAATCGACTGCCCCGAATACTTCACAGAAGAGAACTTCCCCCTCGTCGTCCGAAGAACATGGAAAGGTCGACCGACCCACTCCGAGGGCAGCCACGAGGGGCATCGGTGGACAAGGTCTCTCCTTGGAGACGGTTCAGGAGACGGCCAGCAACCCATCCACTCCGTCTAGTGACTCTGCCCTCAAGCCGACAACCCCGGACGATGCCCGGTTACACACGATTGACGAAGATCCGACTCCGCGAGCCTCTAGGCAGAATGCGGAGAGCGGCAGTGACAGTGGCGGCAACCCAAGTTCGAAGGAGGACAGTCGCTCTCATACCACAAGTGCAGCTAGAATGCCCGGAACTATCATGCCGCAGCGGTCGTCTACTTCACTCAGCGCCGGTGCACGGGCGAAGCCTACGGACGGCTCGGTCCGCAATATGATCGTGGAAACGGAAACTGTTAGCTCAATACCACAGGTGTCGTTGGGCGTTCCCACTGGTGAGCGAGGCAACACGAGCCGAGCCGAGCAAGGTACTCTACGCATGAAACCTTCCACGGAGACGATCCGACCCCGCAAAGAGAAGAAGAAGAACCGACGTGCCAATCATCTCACTACTGGCCCCGGGACTAGCAAGGCGGATATCTTCGAGGCCAAAGTGGCCAGCGCCGTGGACGAAGCTGACGTGTCCGACTCCGACGAGACCTTCGTCTACGAATCCAACCCTCCAGATCCATATCCGCCTCGCCAATCACGTTATCACTCTCGAACGCCTAGCGCAACGTCCATGGCAAGTCAAGTAGACCAGCTGGCTGGTCGTGCCCGTGGGGCCATGCGAGATGGCTCACACAGCGTTACTGGCAAACGCAGCATGAAATTTACCAACAATACGTACAATGGCAGCCTGGATGGTGAAACTCAGGATGCTGATGGAAGCCGGAACGCCGGTCGGGTTGAAGGGAGTGGTACTATAACTCCCCGTCACCATCACGTTGGGCGGCACGGACGCAACGGGGCATACCCATCGCTCTTTGACAGTGATGGGCCATTCCCTCAGCCCCAATCTCAATTGAAGTCGCCGCGACACTTTATCGGCAGTGGATATCGCCATTCGCGAAACAGCAATACTCGTTCCTCGCCTAATTATAAAACCATTGCCAACAAAAAGGCGGGTGATGTATACGATTTTGACGCCGAGGGAGCCGACGACGAGCGAACGCCATTGGTAGGCACGTCACGGGCTACGCGTAGCCGCCATGGGCGCCGACCCAACAGTGCTAGTCTGCGGCAGATGGAGTATATGGCTCAACGGCAACGGGGTTGCTTCTCCGAATATGGCTCTTGTGCCATCATTCTTTTGCTCTTGCTCATCATCGTTGGTGGTGCCGCCTCGTTCATCACTGCTGCGACCAAAACACTCTTGGATGTGCAGGTTGTTGCTATACAAAATGTTCTGGCCTCTGAACAGGAGATCATGCTAGATCTCCAGGTCGAGGCAATGAACCCGAACATTTTCCCGGTGACGATCGATGACGCCGATGTGAATATCTTTGCCAAGAGCCGATACGTCGGGACAGAAAATTCCTGGAAAGAGCAATCTTCCGGTGAAGAGATCTACCAAACCCCGCGAGTCGAACAGAGTCGACGACGTTGGTACTTGTCTCAGCTTGTACGGTGCCTGGGAAACACGGAATGCATTGAGCAAGCCATGAACGGCCACTCCAAGGGCCACAGTGATAGCGGTGGTGTCGACAAGGGCACCGATCCCATTAGTGATCCCGAGGGTGACCCACAAACCATGCTCTTGGGCCGCGTCTTCGGCTTCGATTCACCTCTCTCGTTCGAGGCATCTCCCTGGGGTCATTTGGTGTCTACCTCAAAGGGTCAGATTCGGCTTACTCGGCCGGGAAACAAGACTGAATCAGGTGGCACGGAGCGCTGGGAGCGTGTCCTCCAGCATCCTTTCGACCTGATTGTCCGCGGTGTGGTTAAATACCAGCTCCCACTCAGTGCGCGTTTCCATTCAGCTTTAATCAGTTCTACTGTGCGGTTTATCCCCGACGACGACGCCCACGATCCTGATAGTCCAGGCTCCACTACGCCCCCTAGCAACGAAACGGCAACTCACAGCTCCCTCGCTATGGGAGCAACTACTCCCTCCTCCGTCCGCCTTATCGCGGATCCCGATGCCCAGTCTGAGCATCGACTGGGACTTTCTCAACGACAGTTTACGGCATAAAATCAAAAACCATGAAATACCTCTTTTTATTTTTTCAACATTTTAGCGATAGATTGATGTCCATCATGACAGCCCTGCCCCATTCTTCATTTACACTTTCTCCACACCTGATTTCTTTTTCTCAGCGTAACGCGATGAGAGAAACGCCGAACAGCCACTGTCTTAGGTCTTATCTTGTCTCCTTGCTTCTGCGACGCTGTATACCCATTTGCGATGTCGCTGCTGCTATTGCTGATTTTCGTTTCACGGCTCGTGGTTACACAGAGTCTGAGACATCTGGTGCCACTACCCCTTCTTCGATATGGTCCTTCTCATTATACTACTCCCATCTGTACAGATTCCTCCTGCTTAGCTCGGGATGGATGGAGTTGCGCTTTTCCTTCATGACTTGAGCATTGGGGATTCTCTTTTCTTATCCATGACCCCTGCTCGTTCTTGGCTATCAGCCGTATTTTCCTTGCATCTTTTTTCCTGATTGGAAATGTATCTATATTTCTGTTTACTGCATCTTATATCTAGATGTAATGATAACGATCAGCGGGAATGACTGCTTGAGTTTGTTTTTGATTTAGTGGTTGCCTGATTTTCTCTGGAACTGTAGTTTGGGGGTGATAACTTAATAGGATGACGAAACAGAATAAGCTGAATAGCTGTTGGGCAGGTCAGATACCTATCTAGCACTGTTGATGCTAATATTTCCCTTCCTCGCACCTATTGAACCTCGGAAGGGGACAGTATATGCCCATATATTGTCTTTGAGCATGTCCATCGCGATTGCGAGAACTTTTGCTGCAAGAGAATTGATTGTATTCACGATCGCCTCTATTGCAAATACACTGGCTATTCCCTCTAATCAATCAGCCGAGCTTTATTTTCCGTACTCACAAAAGCAGATTGCAACTATGGCCTGCATATATGTCAACCTCCTCCTAGTCGTTTCTCCAAATCCATCAGCCCTATTCCCACCTCCCTCAATGCCACAATAACATCCACGAAGAAGACACCTTGCAATTGCTCATTGGAAAGATCATTCTCACCCAACCCAAAATCACAGCCCAGACATTTACGCACAATGGTGGCAAACCGCGGTCCCATTCGATTACGCAGCCCAGGGCCTTGAGCAAGTCTCTCGGCGGCATGGTAATCAGTCTGCTTCTCATGTGGCAGGTTTTCCAAGGCCAATTGCTGAAGCTGGCTCCCAAGGTTTACTGTATCCGAGTTCGAGAAGCGTGATGCCGAGGCAGAATAACACCATGTTCCGAGCAAAGGCCCTCGATTCAGTAGCCGGATTTTCGTCTGTGTGGGTGCTCTGGAGGCGAGCTTTCCTTTAGACCCCTCTCAGGAACAGAACTACAAGCCTGTCCATCGTCTCTACAACTCCGCATTGAAGCAGCTCATCGATCTTGCGAGGTCTATTGAATTCCTGACGAGACCTCTTGCAGAAACGTACGAAAGGAAATTGCGAGGTGAGCCCGAAAGGCTGTATCTGTGGGCCGAGAGCTTCTCTGTCTCAGCCTCGAACGAAAAATTAGACACAGCTCTGAAAAAGATGCCCGAGCTTCATGCGACCATAATCGGTACCCTGGTTGACCTAGAGAATGTTATCTTATGCGCATCGTTTCGCTATGACGTGGCTACAACAGGTGACGAGGAGTCTATGGCGACAATCATCGAGGGCATCTCGGTGTATATTGATTGTTTGATGGATCTGTCCCCTGCTATTGAATGTCTTCTACTTGAAAATCCCGGTTGAATTTGTCCACAACAAGAGGCAGAGAAGAATGAAAGTATGATTCAAAATTTTTGGCTAGGAGAACATATGCAGAAATTAAAAGCCGACAAATCGCTAGGCAGCGCATCATTTATTCTTTGTCGATGATTTTGATGTTCTCATTCCCCATTTTACCTAATTGGAGAGTGATATTCGACGGTTTCGGACTTATGAACTCGGTGTTGGTAGACTCGATACTGGGCAGTGAGTGAAAACGTGGAAATCTACACGTTACTAGAGATCCTAATACACCTAAGCAGATGAATAGCCCCAAGCCAAGTGTAAACAAGTATACAAGAAAAAGAATTGACCTATCTGAAGCAAAATACAGTCATAAATCATCATCATAAGGCAGGTACATAACATCATGATCTCGATATCAGCAAAAGAAAAAAAGAAACTTGTAAGCAAAAGAAAATCCAAGAAAATCAAGTCATGATCACAGCATCCAGCATAAATTTGAATCCATAGAAACAGAAAACAAGGCCAAAAAAGCAAAGTACCACCCAGAAATTAAAAAGGTCAAAAACATAAGCATAAGCAGGCCAGAGTCCAGTATCCATCCACCAATGGAAATTGAGAGGGTAAGGTATTGAATACCACCATTCCATTTTATTCCAGTCCAAGAGAGCCAACTCCTCCAAGGCCAATGAAGTCAAGTCCAGACTATTAGTATCAGGGTGAGAGCACGGGCTAGGCGAAAGCACGTCTAAGATTCCTGATGTAGTTTCCCAGATTTTCAACGGACGAGTTTCCGCCCCTATCGGGGAGTCGTTCGCCCTTTGAATCGAAGCGGTCTGGGAGCTCGATTGTGGATTCTGAACTATTGGGGGGAGTCGGCTGGGGAAGTCCTCTGGGAATGAGAATGGCGGGAATGGCGATGTGATGGATGCTGGTGGCGGGACGTGGAAGAACTAGAAGGAGAATCTGAACCAGCATGAGGACGGTGATGGCGAGAAGGTGCAGACGACGAGCGTTCCCGGGATTGGGTGTGGGATTTGGAGCGGCTGCGTTGAGTGTACTCGTCGATGGTTGAATCGCTGTCGTCGGTCTCATACCCCGGCTCTGGGGGCCGCTTTAAATGCGTCTTCAAGCCAAAGGCGACGGATTTAGCCGGCGATGGTGATGGGTTGTCATTGGGGAATATGGACTTTGAAGATTGTGAAGGCGGGGTTGTGTTTAGACCTGGGGTGGGAGCTGTTAGCCGCGGATCCTTTGGAATGGCACCGGACGGCGTTGCAGTGAACGCACCATCGTGGGCGTGGGTTTGCTCAGTGGGTCTCGACGGAGCACTCACATTCTCATCGGCCCTACGCGGCCGCGGGGCATAGGTCTCTGGTCCAGTGTTGGCGGCTCCGTAGTTGTAAGGCTGCGGAGGCGGTGCGGCGCCAGGGGGAGGTGGGTAGTCAGCGGGGTTGTAGGGCTGAGGGGTGGCATTTAGGTTCGTGGTTGAGCCTGGGGGTGGGGGGAAGGAGTTGCTGTTGGGGTAGTAGTTCCCTGCGGGCTGCTGGTGGGCAGCCTGTGGGGAGATCGGGTAGGGCTCTGGATCGTAGGACTCCTCATAGGGATCACGGTGTGCGTCGTCCTCATATCCTGCATCCAGCACGTTAGTGCGTTTGGTCTTGGGTCATGGGTGAGGATCCTTGATGGACTCACGAGTCCTCGAACGCGAGCGCGAACGCTCGGCCTTCTTACGATCCCGGTGCTGCGAGTACTTGTGTGCTGCATAGCTTAGGCCGGTAGCGCCGAGAGCTGCCGAGGCTAGATCACGAGAACGGCTGCGGTGCTTCTTACTCTTGCGTCGGCTATCGCGGTCCGAATCGGAGCTGCCGCTGTATCGACCACCGCGACTGCGGGACCGGCTGTGTCGACGAGCACCGTCGGAGTAGTAGGCATCATGGCCCGCTGGCTGACCGTAATAGTGCTCTGCCGGGATGCTTCCTGTAACGGGGTCTGCACCATACTCGATGAGACCAGCAGAGTCGCGTGTTGGATCCGGATAGGCTTCGGACGGAGCGCGGCTGCGGCTGCGAGATCGCGAGCGACGTCCCTCATGGGGCATCAACTCTTTTGCTCTTTTTGTCCTTTCTCGGCCTTCTTCTTCTCATAGAATCCAGCAGCAGCAGCACTGGCCAAGCCAGCACCTACGATGGGAAGGGCCTTTCGCAAGCGACTGTGCGAGCGCTCGCCCTTGCGAGAACGCGAACGGCTACGAGCATGTTCAACCAAACCAGCAACCGCGGCACCAGCTAGACCTGCGCCGGCCATGTGCTGTCGGCGCTTGGTCTCATCACTGGTGGCGTCCTTCTCCGAGCGAGTACTGCTCCCTGCACGAGCACGGGAGCGAGAACGAGTGCGAGATCGGCTGCGACGGTCATTCTTGGACTTGCTTTGCAGCGCAGCCGCACCAGCAGCCAAAGCGGCGGCACCTATGCCAAGCTCCAAGAGCGTCTTGGCACGAGAGTGGGAATGAGAGCGACTGCGACTGCGACGGCTATGGCGGGATCGGTGATCATCGAAGGAGTGAGAACGATGGCGGCTGCGGCTGCGGTAGTAATCGCGAACATGACCCGCTGCGTTGACAGCAACGGCACCGAGGGCGCCAGCGCCAGCCGTCTTCACAGCGTGGCTCATTCCATGGCTGACCTCCTTACCCTCGCGCTTGCTATGACTGCGAATCAACTCGGCAGCGCCAACGCCGACTAGCGCACCCTCGGCAAGATGGCGCTTGTGGTGGTGATGGTGGTCACCGTCGTAGTCGCGAGTCTCTTTGCGGATATAGACCATGCTATCATCGCTGCTGTAGTCGTCACGGTCGCGATCGCGATGATGACGGCGGCTAGTCTGGGAGATGGAATCACCTGGACTCAATTCACGGCGCGAGCGGCGGTCGTCGTACTCGCGAACTCGGCGGTGGTGGTGATAGTAGTACGGGTCCTCCTCAGCATCCGAGCGACGCACAACGTCATACTCGGACTCACGAGGACTGGTGTGGGAGTTTCGGGCTGTTTTTGTAATTATTACTGACTGTTTGCGAATGACGAGGGTTTCTGACTGGGGTGCCGGATGCACCTGTCCCTGGGGTGATGGTGGGGGGGGGGGGTTTTCTGGGCACTCACGTTCATAATAATCTCGCTCATACTCACGCTCAAAGCGGCGGACGGGAGGGTCGTACTCCACGTCGCGCTCGAACCTTGAGATAGACAGGGGCTCTTCTCGGTCGGTCTTTCGCCGGATGACCAGCTCGCGGTCTCCAAAGGAATCGTCGCGACCCATCATGAAGTCTCGTCGTTCTTCTCGTTCGTCGGCACCAATGACGTAACGCTTGATAGTGACCGGTCGGTCCTCTTCGTAGCGATCACGCTCTCGGTAGCTGTATGACATAGTACACAGGCGAGAGGGTGTTGGTTTGGGGAGGCGGGATAAGCGAAAGGGGATGAAACAGTGATGGAAAATGTGTCGATGGAGGGGTTGAACGGATGGAAAGAAAATGAGTTTACAGGAGGGGCTCAAGAGCTGAACAGGCCAGGACTCGGAGGGGCAAAAACGGGTTGGATGCGCGATGCAGGGAATTGGGGGGCGCAGGGCAAGTGGGGTAACTGGTCAAGTCGAATCTCTCGTCGAGAGTGGTCCAAGAGTGTAGTCAGAGGCCGTGATCGAACTAACTAGTGTCTGGAAGTTCTCTCGGCACTGACGGGGATGAGAGGATGGGAGATCCGATTGGTAAAAGCTTCCAGAAGCGAATGGAAGGCTCTTGAGTGGGCGGGCACTCTTCTCGGATTCGATTCCTCACGATGACTGAGAAAAAGATGATCTCAGAGCTCCAGTCGTAGGGCAGCCCCAAGCCGAAGCGGAGCCCCTCAGAGTAAGCCCGCACGGGTCGCAGCCTGCAGATCAACAGGCAGCACAAATACACCCAAAGTCTGAACCAAAGGCGAGGAGAGTGCGAGATCAGAGTTAGAGAAGATCCAATGAGATACTTGACTGTCGAGGAAATTGGCCGTGAGTGATCCAAGTGGAAGAATGAGTTGGAATGGAGGAAGGTGTAGATGAAAAGAAGTTGGTGGTGAAAGCGGCAGATAAAAGCGGTTGCGCAGTTGAAAGACCCGCCACGTGAGGCTCTCTCTCGATGGCCTGCGAATTTCACCGACTCCCACTGGCCTGCAATTCGGGGCAAAAGTCAGTCCAACTCCATCTGCGTGAGACTCGGCACCCTGTCTGAAGAGTTGCCCCCGGGTTGCACCGTGGCAAATCGACGGTGTGCTGTGGCTGAGTGCTGCTTCTACTGTCGTCCCAGTCCTCCACTAGTGTGTCTGCAGCAGACTATGTGGATATGTGGATGCAGATGTGCAGAGGACTCTTTGTTTACTTCCTCCTCCTCACCGTTGATGCTTGATAGACTTGGTCCACGGGTCGACGCTGGACTTCCCGGGCGGCTTTCCATGGAAACCGGGCTGATTCACACGGTTTGTCTGGGTCTGGTGGGCCAGCGCCCAATACGAGGCCCGACTTGTCAACCTTGCCCATTGATCCTCAAATATGATGCATCCCTCAAGGCGCACTACGGTTGCCCGATTGTCGTCAAAGACCACGTTCCTTTGTTCATGGCTATAAGTCTGCGGCCTGCGCCCCTTCATCAAAGAATGTGTCGTCGACAACGGTCAACATGAAACGCTGCGCCTGATCTCTCGGGCGCCTAACCCGTCTTTGGGTTGGGCCTTGGGAATTTGGGTGATAAAACTATGATGATCTTTCTGATTAAGGTTACCATGATGAGCTCTGGTTGGAGATAGTACTCCTGGTAACAGGGAATCCAAGCTACTAACCTACGCTACGATGGAATTCAGAACCCTCCACACGGCTGTCACTGTGGGGTTGTGGTGATGACGTCAATGGCTCCCTCAACGCGCTTGCTTTGTTTGGCCGGCCGCTTCAGCTGGGAAAATTGTGAACTCAACCGATCAAAACATCCTATCATACTGAACCAAAAGGAAAATAAGGCTTTTGGATTCTCAATAAAGAGCTCGACGGGCCGCCGATCGTACGAATATGGCGAAGCCACTCCGAGGAAATCGCTTCGGCCGGGTGATTGGTGCTTGACGGGCGCATACTAGGCTTGAGTCTTTGGTGATACGTGTAACAGCTCGAGATGAGGCGTCTTTGTTCGAGTGTGTGACTCGAGCGATTTGAATTTGACGTTGGTTGTAACTCGCTGCGCATATGTTGTGTAACCCAATGCTAGACAAGGCAGTGCCAGACAGGACATTGCCCTCGTTATACAAGGGGGCAATCAGAATATTAAACATCTGGAGGCGCAATCGAACCTCCTCGATCAGCCGAGACTAAATGAACAGATTTGGCACATAAAGTGTTCCATTATGATCTGAAATACTCATGTTTCCGTTGGTTTGAAGCGCACGACTAATGTATCTCACCCGTCTTGTGTACCTGTTCCAGACTACTCCATCGATAAGGCTATCGAGGGCGGCAATATATCTTCCACTGGTGGTCTATCTTTGGAAGAGAGTCTCTTTAATCATTCACGCTACATTTGACGGGAGTGAGAAGTAATTGGGAATGATAGGGTAAAGTCCTCTAGACGCTAAGTGACTTAATGAACTGGCAACGGCTTCAGTAGTGGGAGACCAAACATCAGGATGAGGCTCTGCTGTACATTTAGGGGGCTGTGTGACGCTGTGGCTTTATACAACGGATGAGCACACAGTCTTCAACGAGCAATGGTGCTAGCCACATTTCGCCCCGAGTGCTAGGATGTATAGAAAAAGAAAAAAAAAATTATCATACGTCGCAGCTGGAGATCCTTTTGCTATCATCAAAGGTCATCACTTCTATCTATAGATATAAGTAACAATTCAAGAAAAGATAGACATTATATCAACCAATCTAACTCCACCGAGAAAACCAATTGTCCAAGAAATTCACCAAAAACTCCGCTCCAGCATAGTACCGGCCTCCATGTTCAGTTGAATAACATATGGTCTGAAGGTTGAAAGTTCCCCAAATCATTTTCAAATCCTTCCGCTCCCTTGGACTCTGCCTCTCACTTCATCTTGATCACATCTTGATCACTGACTGCGCTTCCGATTCAGTTGTACCCAAATAATCACCGCACAATAAAACAACCAAACAACCCCAGCCACAACGCTATACCCAATGATGACGCCTCGAGGGGCGATGGCCAGTTGAAGCCCCAGCCCACCATTGAGGATTCCCAAAAGAATCATAATTCGTCCAAACCACCGATGAACATAGGCAAAGATGCCCTTCCCTCCAGTCTTGCGATAGTAGTGATGTTGCAGTAGGCCCATGGCCGGCTGGAACACAGTAAGACCTAAAACGACCACGAACCCTATAATCGGGTGGTGGTTGTTCAACAACTCGACTTCCTTGGCCATAGACACCCCGAGCCCGAGCCCGACCAAGGCCACAATCAGCGAGAGCATTTGAAGCAATCCGTGAACGGTTGCCGTCCTTGACGATGGGAAGAAGTGAAGCGTCAGCGCGAAGAATGGGAGCATGATTACGAACACAATGCTCATCATTATGGCATGGGCCGTCCTCTTCTTGTTGAAAAAGGAGTTTCCATCTACAGCAGTAACTGTGGCGATTGTCGCAGAGGAGCCGGACGATTGGAGGAAAGGATTATCGGAACTCCCTCCCGTGGCTTTCACCAAATCAACAGAGACCGCGCCCGAGTCGTCATGTTGGGTGATTTCCGCAGAGACACTGCCCGAATTGAGCGGCGAGCCGTATTTCACAGACCAGATCCAGCCGCTCGAGGCGCTTGTCACGTCTGCGCTTCCTCCAGGCCAGGTAATACAGCTGTCGCATCGTATATTGGCGGTTATCGCACCATCGGCGGAGACTCCGCTCCCATCCAAAAGTGAGACCCGGGCAGCGCTATTGTACAGTGGCTCAACTTCGCCCACCCCCAGACGCGGCGAGACCGTCACGTTGTTGCCGTTGGGGTACACAACGAACATATTCCCGCCCACCATGCGCGTGCCTTGGCCGAGGGCGAACCATCGCACTTGGTTTGTAGCGCTTGATTTTAACTGGAAATATATCGATCCCGAACCAGACTGTGCGGTGCTTTGAGGAATATTGATGCTGTGGGTAAGATCATCGTGGCCAGGGGGATGAAAACTCTGAAGTTGAGCAAGGCTGGTTGCAGCCCAAGCTAGCCAGCAGAGGGATAACATGGCCATGCTGTGGAAGCGACCGAATGGCGATGTGCGCAATGTGGGATTTCCCACGGCGTAAATAGAGGGAGCTTGTGTGGAGAAACGATTTCAACGATAATAATCGATCATCTCGTCAGGAAGAACGTGCGTAGATCATCCGAGTAATCATCAGTCATTGAGTTTTCGTTTTCGTGTCAGCAGCGGGCCAGGCACCATATCTGGCATTATGGTGAGAGAAGGGGGAGGGGCCGCTGTGAAGAGCCACTGCCCCAGGAAATGTACTGCTCCGTTTTCGTATTCGTTGTTATCATCTACAGATCTGATCCCTGGCTCTGGGTATCTTTGTTCCTGCGATCTGCGACCAAGATGAAAGCACAGCCTCGTGGGTACGGGGTCAGTCTTAAAGCAGCCATCTACGAATTGCCGCATTGAGCAAGGCCCTAGCCATTCATCCCTGATTTTGGTGCTTCCGCGGGCGATCCTCGAGGGCCTTCGCAACCTTCAACTCTCTGCATAAACCTTATTCCGTACTTGACAAGCTGGAGCTGCGCCTCCTCCGTGAATCGGGGACATTTCAGAATCTCTTTATTGGCACGTCCGCGGCTATCCGTCGGCCAATTATGCTGATTACAAATGAATCGTCAAGTGAGAATGTCAGGATTAAATCTGATTCCCCGGGGTGTAAGCTTTGAGTGGTCCGGTTTAAACTCTCAGGGTCCACAGGGTCCTTGGGTAAGCTTTCGCCCATTAACCCAATTTGGAGATTTGGAATTGTGAGTATCTTGAGCTGCGTTCGCAGAAAATAATCAAACTGCAGATAGGAACGGTGGCTATGCTCCTAGCGATGAATTCAACTGCTGTATTCGGTTTAGCAGGACATTATTGATTAAGAGTTGGCACGTCAATCAATTCAATACCCACGGTAAAACGGAAGTCCCTTTCTATGGAGTGGAGGGCCACGCCATGTTTTCCTGTGAGACGGTGGCTTGATTCGTATAATTTTGGACTCTTAGAGTTATCGTCATTGGAAGTAAACCTCTGGGCCAACGCATAAATTGATTTCCCGTGGTGAGAGGGAAGTCTAAAGCTGCTGAGTATAAATATGCGCCCATAGCTTGAATCTGGAGGAAGCTATCTCTTTGATTTTCCACTCTCATCAATCACCAAGGATAAACTTTGACAATTGCAAACATGATGAACTTGCTCAGCACCCTTGTCCTGGTTTCTTCCCTTCCACTGATCCAGGCTCAGTACAATTACAACAGCGCTGCATCCTCCACTACAACTGCCGCAGCGTCAACCACTAAAGCCGCCGCGGCTGTCAGTGGCGTACACGTCGTCAATGCCGGCCCCGACTTCTCCTACAGCCCTTCCTCTCTGAACGTCGCTGTGGGTGAGAAGGTCGAGTTCCACTTCTTCCCTCCGGAGCACTCAGTCGTCGAAGCTTCATTCGGAAACCCTTGCCATCCAACCAACGGTACTGGTTTCTTCAGTGGATTTGTCACGACAAGCCAGGAATCAGTAAGATATCCCAAGCCTTGACACAAAAGGAGTAAAAGATTGACCCTAGAAGGCCATGGTCTTCACAGTGACCGTCAACGATACCAACCCCATCTGGTTCTACTGTGGTGTGCCCACGCACTGCCAGGCTGGCATGGTTGGAGTCATCAACCCTCCGTAAGTGTGCTTCAAGCAAATAACAACCATACTGCTGGACCTGGATTGCATCGACTAACTCTTGAGTTCACCTGCAGCTCCAGCGGACCGAATACTCTTGACGCATTCAAGTCCGCCGCAGCAAAGGCCTCGGACTCGACCGTGCCGGCCAACGTCGCCGGTGGTGTTTTCGGCACTGCGAGCAAGGGAACCTCGAGCTCCAGCTCGGGATCGGCAACCACGAGTGCCTCTCCCTCAGCTACGCCCAACGCAGCTAGCACCATGCGCGTCGCTGGGGAAATTAGCGCCTTGATGTTGTTGGGCCTGTTCATGATCTAGGCATGTCAGTGTCAAGAATTTGTCTGTGATAATGTTTTGAGATCGCGATAATGGCGGCTTCAGTGTTGAACGAAAGTTACTTAAACTGGTACCTCTGGTGAACTCACGGAGCTCAGGTTGACGATGTGATCCCTTGATATCAATGACAAAACACTCCCGATGAACGCGAAACGGTGTCTGCTCTGCACACATTTGATTAATTCAAGATATAGTCCATTTCCTAAAACTATGTGCAGAGTGTAGAAATCAGGAACGTACATTACAGTGGCTTCTTGATAATTTAGCTGACGGTTGGATCACAGACCCGAGAAGAGGTCAGCCCCGGAGACACGCATTCTTAATTACAGTAAAATTACGACCCCTTGTATCATCGCTAGCCGTACACTAACTGATAAAAAGCCATCAGACTAAGCTGGCAATAGGTCGATATATTTAAACTTGGCCCGCACAACTGACGAGGTCAAGGGCACCAAGAATTCAAGTCGCCAACACTATCTTTGATACGGGACATTGAGATTACGAGTCACGCTATTGCGCAAGCTCCTCAATTACTGGGAATCCAGCGTCCAGATGCTCGAGTTGGCGGTCCACTTTCTGAAATAATTCTTTCCGGCGAAGTAGAACAGGAAGCCGAAGGAACACCACAGGACCGTAAGACACATGTTGGTCATGATTGCAGGGAGATACCCTGCTGACTCAGTCCAGGGAGTGATAAACTCGCTAAAACCATAGCCCCAGAGGTTCTTGTTGACTGTGATTGCGACAAAAATAGAGCCGAGAGCGGGCTTGTAGCTGTCAACCGCGTAGGTGCTCGCAATAGCGGGGAGCGCAGCCACCTGAATACCAGCGCAGGTGTAACCAACAATGACAATAACCTAACAATAATATTTGTTAGTATACTTTGACTAATAAAAGCTCAGGTGCCGGGATCCAGGGTGAGTGATGTATAGTTGGTGACTCCAACGGCTTGGCTAGACCAATTGTAAGGCGGGGCAGCTAGAGCCTGGGATTGGGTGAGATTGACAGTCAAGGCTCTTGCAACAATAGCATTTAGTTAAAGTTTGACTAAATGGATTGATAAGATTGTCCTAAGACATGGAATCAACCAGCATGGCGTATGCCCGTTCTGAAACTCCGATATCGGGCGATGGGTCTGGATATAACTCGAGACAGACTTGTGGCTTGGCACAGAGTGAATATCTCTTGAGTTGTGAGCGGAATACCAAATTATAAACAAAGAGGCACACGTAAGTGGTAGATATGAGCAACCAATACGTGGGTGATAAAGTTGATTACTCCATAATTGTTGTCACTGAATCGTCCGTGAGGGTTTTCTCATGTCCCAGAGCATACTCGCGCGCATGGTGCCTGTTTAGAGGTTTGGAACGGAAAGCTTTCCACCAGAGGTCCTAATAATGCGGAACATTTCTTTACCTCGTCAAATAAAAACCTCTCGAGAGATCCACAGTCGGGTCACCACAAACAAAGCGCCCGAAAGTGCAAGGGAGATAGCAGTAAACAATTGCATTGGTAGGTAATCGATACCTCCGGTATTCTCAAGCAGCCGCCCAGCTATTGGGCCGGTTGCAAGGACTGAGAAGGAAGATATTGTGATGCATATGCCTTCAGAGAATAATCAGCAATATGAACCAATAAGGGAAGATACATTCTCACCATTCCAAGAGCCAATGACTTCTGGTGTAGGCGCCAACATGGATATGCAGGGCAAAAAAATTGCCTGGAGTGCGCCCGAGACAACTCCATACGCCACTGCCCACACTATGATACTCGCGCTGCTATTTGCACCTATCCAGCCAAATGCAACTGCAGCACACGCAAGTGTGGCTGTTACAACCGAGTTGAAAATACCCAGACCATAGTCGGCTACCAGGCCCAGTACATAGCAGCCAATGAAAGCGCCACCATTGAGAATTGCTGCATCATAGAATCCCAAACTTGACGAGGCACCACTGTTTATGGCATAAGGAGTAATATAAAACTGGAAGACTTTGTCAGTGACTTCATGAAATCTTCTGGCTCGTGTTACTAACCCATGGTACGTAAAGACCTAGATTCATGATGAGAATTGCCAAGGTGAGTAACATGGTTCGACCATCAGTAAGATATTGCCTTAGAGGCACAGGAGTGCGTTCCATGTGGGTCCTGAATCGGCGCCGAACAAGTAGAGTCGCAGCACACATAATGGCAAGCTGCATAAACGCGATAATGCGTAGGGTCCAGCTATACGACACCCCTTCAAAGTTGAGGAGTCGGTTTACTAGAACGGGCCATATGATACCTAGAGTCGAATCTTGCGGTCAGTCACTGAATTTTCTCAATTAATCGATAGAATTAAGAACTTACCTCCCACCATCTGACCAGACATGACCAGACCAACAACAAATCCACGTCGTTTCAAGAACCATTGGGACTGGACTGCCAGCGCTGGTGTGAATATAAGGCCCATACCAAATGCTACACAAAATCCCTGAGAGAGCAAGAACTGATAGTACTTTGTTGAGAGGGAGGACATCATATTGCCAAAGACCATGAAGAATGTCCCCAGTGCAAGCGGCAGAGCAGGGCCATGCTTATCGGACAAAGCGCCAGACCAGATACCAAAGAAGAAGCATCCCCAAATTTGCACGCTTCCGATCCATGCAATATCGGATGGGCTGGAATCTGGAAGAACAACTGTCATGAAGTAGCTCTGGAAGACAGATCCACCGCTAAGATAGCCGATGCTGGCAATGAATGACAAGAAGCCTCCGAGAGCCGTACGCCAGGCTTGAACACCGCCGTCAGGGAAGGATTCCTCATTCTCAGCTGCATTCTCTTCTAAGGTATCTCCAGTCTCCTCATTCTTGCGGGAAAATTCCAAGGGATCATGGTTCAAGCGAATTTCTTGCATCTTCTTGTCCGTCTCGCTTTCTGTGTGCATCATGGATATCCTGGATGGCCGAAATATAGCACAGTGAGGGGCTTTTGGATATCGCTGATAGAAAACGAAGTTACCTGGCATGCTTGACACTTGTACAGCAAATGGACATTGGCTTCTTTTATAGATGAGATAGCTGTGCAATAGAGTGGAAGGAATATTACCGTTATCAGAAACGAATCTAGAGAAGGACCCAATGACCTGTAAGGTTTAGGAAGCTACGTCCCACGATTTGTTGTGCGTGTCCTTCTATCCTGTTCAAACTCAATCCTTCTCTTTCCCGCAGCTGTATAGCCTTATCAAAACTCCTTTGAGAATAGATTCATAAGATACTCATCGCTAAGACCACGGTTATTGTGATTTTCACCGCGTAACTTTTGCCTAGATTGGTTAGAGTCCGAGGTGATTCAAGGCTTTGGGTTTTGATATCTTCGGCTGGAAGCTTATACGCCTCGGATCCGGGGGTGAGTTTTGTTTCCCCCCGCAAAATTCAGTGTCATTTGCAAGATTCTCTCGCCAATTAGACTGAATTTAACCCCAGATTAAGACCAGACATGGAGATTAAGCTTTCAACCATGTGAAGTGGCATATCTAGTTAGCGATTCGTATGTTGTGCTCCACCTCCGTTTACACCGATATGCCCTTTGTTTCCAAGCAGATACTGCATACCACTGGTAGATGCTGTTGGGCGATCAGGCCTCGCCCATAATTTGACGTTTCCTCCCGAGTCAGGGTGTAAATTGGCCATGGGTATCCTACTCCCAGCACAGTCCAGGTAGCGCGGCTACAGATAAGAGAGCGCCACTGATAACCTTAGCCATGGATTAAGTTCGAGTTACATACAGTGCTCCTGGCTTGCGGATCATGTGACGTACTATGCATGTTAGTGTTTAGACACAGTTTGAGTGGGAAGGATACTTTAGGTGGAAATTATACCTTCCAGTCTCAATAACGGCGTTTTTAGAGGAGCAGCAAACTTCCGAAGAAGATCTGAACTTACGCCGTGAAATAATCCAGAGCGCAGGCTGGTCAAATGGGGAATTCACGATAAGCGATAAGCGCGGGAATCGATAACGAAAATGAGCGGTCCCCTATGTGCCTCAGGCCGCACACCAGATCGACCCAAGGCTTCGATTATGCCGACCTCTTCCATCTCTTCTTTGGACCTTTGTTCTAGACCAGCTTGTATCAGCGACCTCCCCGCCTACATTCCCATGTCCACGTGATGCTGGCTCCATTTTCAACTGCCGTGGAGCCCACGAGAACCCAGACGAGCCTAGCCCCAACGAAGCTTCACAGATTCCGCTCCTGGACAGGGTGCCTCACGTGTCGTCAGCGCAAGAAGAAGTGTGACGAGAGGAAACCAACATGCGTTGCATGCAGACGCAATAGCTTGCAATGCACCTGGCCATCTGCTGACTCACGCCGAAAGACCCGGAATTCGGTCCACCACGTCGCGCTACAGGATCGCAAAAATAGTCCATATGAGCTGGATCCATTGGCTCAGTGGTCGAGTCTCACTGGCTCATTTGTGTCTCCAACGAGGGCATCCGCACTCACAGAAACATCGAGTCTTCTTTTTTCACATTACATAGCGCGAACGGCCAACGTTTTGTCTACGTTTTCTCCGAATGCCAACAATCCGTTTGTGACATTGCTTGTGCCTCTGTGCTGCAATGATGATCTGCTCATGCATTCGCTGCTGGCGCTCAGTGGGGCCCACATGAAGTCCCTGAGCCCTGGGATTGAAGTATCTCTGGCCACATACAGACATTTCTTGATCGTGATAAGGACAATTCGGGACTGTATTAGCGACCGCGCAGCACTGGATGTACCCCAATCACTGCGACTATTATTGACGCTGGTAACAATCTCATTTTTCGAGGTAATGACATGGATTTCGGGTTTCTCTCCTATGATAGGCCACTAATGGAATGTCTAGACACTAAATGGGGATGACCAAGGAGCAATGTTCAGCCATCTCCGCGCAAGCCGCCAAGTCGTTCTTCGACTAGCAAATAGCCCCCTGCCTTCCAGCACCAATGACAATGGACGCCTATTCTCATTTGCCCTGGAAATATACCGCTATTTCATCCTTAGTAACAACATCATCCCCCACGGTTCTATCACTTACCGAACTCTGCCTCATGACCCATTCCTCGATGGTGTATTCGGTACAATGAGCCATTTTGATACGCAGGGAGTCATCTTTGGCGACAGCCATGGGTTGTTCCAAACTCTCCCCTGTATAGCGGTTCTTGCCGCCCGACGTCTAACAGAGCAAACCCCCTCCCAGGCGAGCTTAGAGATGCACGAAGCACTCCACAGCCGAATAACAGAATGGAAACCTCCCGAATCTCCGGTTCCGGACCCAAAATGGCAGTCACAACGAAAGGCAGCCTTGAATCTCTGCCGTGAGGCTGTTCTACTCTACCTCGAGACGGCACTGGTCCCAGATGCATTGAGTAACACTTCAACTATGACGAGAATCCAAGGGTATATCGATAAGATCGTGCTATACGCAGATGAGGCCACCGGGTCCCCTTACGAGACCATTTTTATGGGTCCTCTGATCATCGCTGGCTCCTGCATGGTGCAGCCGGATCAACGAGAGCTACTCCAGGCTAGCTTGCGGTCCAACAGATTCCACATGCAGCACTGCTTACGGGCTGCTTCCCTTCTTGAAAAAGTCTGGAATGACCCCAGTGGGCGTGTATTTGGGCCAAGTGGGCTAGCCATTATCATGCGGCGTCGTGGAATTAATCTGGGAATTTCATGAATGGCCTTGTAGCTCTGCTGGTGAACATCACATTCTTATTTGACCAGTTGGCGAGTATGCCATCAGCGATGAAGCTCTAGAAACGCGGTGTTCTTAGATCTCAGAGCAGATCCGGATAGGCTAGTCACTTTCGTGAAATATCAATGGACATGTGATGCTTGCTATGATCAAGTACTCGGAAACAGGAGGTCCGTAGCCGTGCCTTCATGGTGGAGTTAAAATGGTGGGGACTGGCTATATCAGGAGTGGAGCCAGGATGCTGGCGACATCTCTTATCTCTTCTCTCTTATCGATTGCCGCGAGTATCAGGTCTTTGGCTCCACTTTGCTAATTTAGGCATCTACAACGAAGGGGCCCAGCTCGATGGCGGGCATGTGGGAAGTTATGGCTTCTTGTCTCTTCGGCACCAGAATAATGAGTGCGTAGTGAACAATTTTGCAAGCCGTTGGGCATGAAACTTACCACTAGGAACCTATTAGTTTGCGGTCTGTTCGCTTTGACTCACTTTGATCAGAGCAGCATTGACAATATGTGATTGACTACTCAAACTTCAATTTACTATGGAAAACATAGACTGACACTAAAATTGTCCTTCCAGAGAACGTATCCCCCGGCCAATTTGCCTCAATGCTGAGCCTGGAGTGCAGCAATCACCTCCGCGGCACCCCTGTTCCCAGAGCGAATAGCACCTTCCATATAGCCCCTCCACTCCAACGCTGTTTCTGTGCCCACAAAGTGAACATTCTCAAAGGGCGTTCGGAATGCGGCAGCATCAACGGAGGACAGAAGGCCCGGTGGCGAAGCGGGACAAGGCCCACCAAGGAAAAACTCTTGCTTGGTCCATTCGAACTCCAAGACGTTAATCGGCTCCGGGACCTGGATTTCCCCGGTCTTTTGGTCAACCTTCTCGAACGCGGAGCGGAACTGGCTCCAGGCAGAGGAATATCTCTCCTTTTGTGACAGCTTAGACCATTTGAGGCCCCGGCCACCAACAATGAAGCAGCTGATTGACCATTGATCGTCATCGGGAATACTAGTGTCCACAGAGAAGAGAATAAGCCCTTGATCTTGCGCTTTAATTTCGCCTGAGAATCCAGCAGCGCGCCACCATGGCTTCTCAAAAACGAAAATCATCTTACTGTAGTAACCAAGGATGTTTTCCTGGGCGAGACGCTGCTTTTCTGCGGGCAGAGGGGGCGTGAAGTCAATCTTGCTATAGAGAGGTGTGGCAACAGACAAGATGACCTTCTTTGCGAGAAAGACAGCTTTGTTCCCAGACCGGATTATGCAAACACCGGTCTCTGGACACTGCTCGATATGCGTCACGGGGGTAGAAAGCCAGAGGGAACCCTCTCTAAGCTCCTCTGCCATGTTCGTCGAGATGGTCTGTGTGCCTTTCAAAAAGTCAGTCCCACATAAAATAAAAAATAAAAAAAACATAGCCGGTGGCTCCCTACCTTCCCGGACCCGAAGGTACTGAGCTCCATGCTTGGTATCCGAGATCACTGCCTGGAACCCAGTTCCAGACTTGCAGGAATAGAGGAAACTCAGCGCACTAATGTCCTTGCTTTCAACACCGATCAAGGACTGGCTGACGGTATTCAAAAGGGTCGCGATTTGCTCAGATTGGAATTCCTGGAGACAGTATTGTTGCAGTGAAACGCTGTCCAGCTCTTTTGCACCTGGTCCTGCCGCGGGGTCCTCCAAGTTCACATCGGCAGCGAGTTCCGTAAATCTTCCAATAACTTGACCCAATGCAGCCTGCTCTTCTTCAGTCAACTGAATATCACCAGCAATCTCATGTCAGCTTTGGCGATCAAATTTTAAGAAATAAATGAAAAGGGTAGAAAGCCTCACCGGTAAGACACCGTGCGGAGATAACACGACCCCATCATCGTGCTCCCAGACATCATTTCCTCTGTCCATTTGAATCTCTGTCTGGAGACCATAGTGCTGGACGAGTTTGTACATCTCACTTTGCGTGGTATCATTGATCCATGCGGCACCAAGATCGTTGACACCAGGACCACTCTTCTTTGATGGCAGAGTAAGCGTCTTCCCCCCTACTCGATCAATAGCCTCGACCACCGCGCAGGAGAGCCCCGCTGCTTGAATCTTCAATGCCGCACGGAGGCCACTCAAGCCAGCCCCAATGACCACCACGTCGACTGACTCTCGGGAAACGGAATTGAGACTCATACTGGATTTATTCAATGAAGAGATGACTTCTGACCAAATGTGGAGTATATATAGTAATGCTGAATAAAAAAGTCACTGACTACTGGTAACCTATGGAGTGAGGGTTTATAGCTTCTGGCGGCACAATGTAACAGGCTGGAATTGGAAACCAGTCAGTGTCTGCAAGGGATTACACTCGAAATATGACCAGTGATATCATTAACAAGATCGACAGGCGTCTCCACTGATCAGACGAAACGTCCTGGTTTCAAGTAACCGGCGCAAGGTTTGCCTCAAATGGTTACCGTATGAAAGAAGCAGAGTTTCACTGAGTCGCAAGTGGAAATACTGGGGATACACTCGGGGTCCGCGGGAATCGAACTCGCGGTTCGCAGCCTGGCTCCACACCGCAACTAGATTGTCCCAATTTTCGGTCACCCACGGGAAGGAACGCAGACTATCATACGTGGTTGTTAGATTGGCGTTACCCTACTCCCGTTATCACCGTGGATGAGCTCCGCGCTCGTGACTACAACTTGGACCAGGATCGACGGTTGCTGTGTACTGAGCCGGAAAAGGTCGGCTTTGGTAAGTGGCAATGTGACGGCGACGGCTTATCCCTCCCCGCATGTTATTATACTTTTGAGTTTATTCTGGCGTTTGGTCTCTTATCTTTAGCCGCGCTACTATACAGATAACCCTTTTGAATCTAACCTCGGTAGCTCCCTCCGCTGCCGACTTCCAGTTCTCGGTCTATCCAGTTACAGTTATAGAGAGCATTTGACTGTACGGCTCGATATTTTTATCTATAGAAATGTTTTCTGAGGAACTAGCCGTTGGTAAGGCTGATTGAGAAGTACCCTCTTCGACGATAGAGATACCACTCCTACCTTGCCTCTGTTCGGTCCACCCTAACGAGCCGACATCATGCCCTTCAACACAGCGTTAACACGGAAATTAGGCATTCCCGGTAGGTTTATTGTCAAATGTATACGGCAGTATCAATTCTAACATGACCAGTTCCAATCATTCAAGGAGGTATGCAATGGGTCGCATACGCAGAGCTCGCTGCCGCCGTCAGCAATGCCGGTGGGCTGGGCATAGTATGTGAAATGAAAATTGACCAAAGTTGAAGAAAGCTGACCCTTGATCAATACAGCTTTCAGCCCTAACACAGCCCACCCCGGAAGACCTACGAAAGGAGATTCGTCGTTGTCGTTCGATGACCCAGAATCCCTTCGGAGTGAATTTGACTTTGCTGCCTGCTCTCGTACCCCCAGACTACGCTGCTTACGCGCAGGTGATCATCGACGAGGGTGTTAAGATTGTTGAAACTGCAGGAAACAACCCCGGTCCTGTGATTAATCAACTGAAAAGCTCCAATCTGACCATCCTACACAAGTGTACGACTATCCGCCATGCCAAGTCTGCCATCAAGCTAGGGGTAGACTTTCTGTCTATCGACGGTTTCGAATGTGCCGGTCATATCGGCGAGCACGACATCACTAACTTTATTCTCCTGAGTCGCGCCCGCCAGGAACTCAAGGTACCATTTATCGCATCCGGCGGGTTCGCTGATGGTCACGGATTGGCAGCAGCGCTGGCACTTGGAGCTGAGGGAATTAATATGGGTACACGGTTTATGTGTACGGTTGAATCGCCTATTCACCATAGGATCAAGGAACGTATTGTCACTGCGGATGAGAACCAGACTGCGTTGGTTCTGCGCCGGTGAAGAAATACCTCACGGCTTTTCAAGAACAAAGTGGCGGAGGATGCGCTCAAGATGGAGAAGGAGAGCACGACTGGGAATTTCAGTGAGGTCGCTCCTTTTGTGAGTGGCAAGCGTGGACGCGAGGTGTTTTTGAATGGGGATGCTGAACATGGGGTATGTTTATTATTTCCTCTCTGAGATCGTGGGCTCGAGAATAACAGATGACAGGTTTGGACCGCCGGTCAGGCCATTGGTCTGATCCATGACATTCCTACCTGTGCACAACTATTGCCTCGCATAGAGCGGGAAGCATTGGATGCGATGGAACGTACTCGGTTGATGTATACGCTGGAGAGTAAGCTCTAGATTTTTCGGTTTTGGGCCCTCCGTTACCTTTTCATTGTCATGTTATACAGTCCTCGGTGGCTGAAAAAAAATTGCTCGATGATTATATAGTGAATAACCTTACTCGAGTCTTACTTAATGGGATAGAGAAAACTGTCAAATTGCCAAAGCATCTAAGAGACCTCTGCACCAGTAAGACCTACGCAGCCTAAGCTGCTTTAATGGCAGATAAGATAATGCTATCTAGGACGTGGCCTGTCTCAAGATATCAGAAAGCAAACAAAGTATTATTTAGTTCTAGGAACTTGCACTAAAATTTTTAATGTGATAATATGAAAGTGTAAAAAAACCCCCGCCCCAAGTCATGATCTCGTAAAATACCCATCCAGCAGAACAAAATGATTCAACCCGAGATGAAAAAGCCAGCCAACACCCCATCCAGTTCACTTCACTCCATTGCAAAAAGTCCCACCCGAGTCCTAAAACTTTTAGGTATCCCCAGAACGAAATGCAAAAGCAGATTTCCTCCATTCAAGCCAACCCATGCTAACCAATCATTGAGCAAAAACATGGTCCCAAGGAGAAGAGAAAAGAAAAGAAAAGAATTCACCCCTCCACTCAGCCTTACATAACATCCGACTCAAACTTGAACTGCCCCATCGACGCACCAAGCGTATCCCACGGCACAGAAGTCGGCCCCAGCCAATTTTGCGGATGCAAATGCAATCCGAAAGTAGAGTGCATGGTTGGCTCACTGGATGATGACGCGATGGTAGGCACGGGCGAGTTCGCTTGTGAATGCGGATGCGAGTGCGAGAGCATAAATGTCTCCGGCATGGTTATGGATGAGAGAGTGGGCGCTAGCGAGGACAGCATGGGTTGTTGCTGTGGGAGCGTTTGGGCGTTAATGTGGGCTTGGAGTTGGAGTTGGGGTTGGAGGGGTGTCTTGTGTTGTTGAGTTTGTTGGTATTGGGTTGATGTTACGTCACTGCTGAGTAGGTTAGTTCAATTCACATAGGTTGTATCGGATGCGAGGGCTTGACTGGGGAATGGTACGTACATAATCTGCCTCACGACTGGCATAGCTTTACTGCAGAAGATACTTCGTACTGACAATGAAGCAAACATGTCCAGCGCTTTGCTGAGTATCTCCTTCGTCTCGTCGAATTCAACCTGATTCTCCGGGTTCATCAGGCCAGTGGCCAATACCACTGCCGCGTGGAAAGCATGGAAGCTGCCCAGACCGCTGGTATACCACTTATATGGCGCGAATTGGGGATTCTCGAGTAGAGACTGGAAGATGGATAGTGCAGCCTTGGCGGACGCCATGCACTTCCCGCGGGCCTCGCATGTCTCTGATGTGATCTCGCCTTGCAAGAATTGGCATAGACTGGGTCGTAATAGTAGGAGAAGTAATTGGTGGATGTGTGCGTAGAGGATGTTTAGGTTTGCCTGGTGATGAACTGGCAGGGGATCGTGGGAGCTATCGAGGTTATACCTAGCATCGCAGAGCTCACGGATGGCGAGGATTTCCGATTCAAGTTGGGATGTCGAGATGCGGGATTGTGGGTATGTGAAGATGGATTCGCAGATGCGGTTTGAGATCTTGTAGAGACGGGATGTGAGGAGGAGGAAGGTCATTTGCGTGGGGCGAGTTATGACTGGTGAGGAGGGGTTCGATGAAAGAGAGACGGCTGGAGCAGTCAGGAGATCGACGTCATCGACGTCAGCGGGCGGTTTCACATCCTGTGGAAGCTGCGTCTGGTCTAGACTACCAAAAGAGGTATTTTGGATAGTGTATAGCATCATGAGACCCGCCCAGACACGGCGACGCTCCTCGCGCTCGATGGGACCGAGGCTGAACCGATCGGGATCAATGTGGCAGCCCATTGAGATAGCAACATGATGCGTAAAACCGAGGAGGGTCCAAAAGGGGAGACCTCGTTGTAGGCGAGCATAGCTGATGAGAACGAGAGCTTGGAGCGAGTTTATTGAATGTCGGGTCATGACGCCGTCCGCAGCCAGGCAGCGCAATGCTGCAGATCGATAACGTGCTGAGAGCACTTTGATATTGCGGCTGACTGTCCGCTCACGGCCAAGATCAGCGAGAAGAGGATCGTCATCGTTCAACGCGCTAACTGCTATGGCAAGGATAGCAAAGAGAAGGGCCAGCCAGGCCTTTGATACACTGCCGGGATCATGACAGAATTGTTGATATTCGGCCTCGAATGTCAAGTCATGTAGAATGTGGAAGACCTTAATTTCATGTCAGTCATCATCCTAGCCAAGCAAATACTTCCTAGTTCTGGCTGAGCGAGGGAGGGAGACATACTGGAGAGAACACGCGAAAGTAAACTTCTTTGAGGGTATCACAATACCGTCCCGGTGGGAGAATCGCCAACAACTCAGCCCTAGAGATACTCCCATTCCGTGCAAGCGGGATTTGCAGATCATCATCATCCGCGATGTCCGCTTCAGAGCTCCGCAAACACTCCGCAGCGGGGCTCTTCGCAACGACCGACTCCCACTGCGAAGCAAGCGGGACGTACCGCACATGGCCGGAGGGCGACGTGTGAAGAGTACCAACATTGCCCAATAGCGGACTTCCCCACGCTTCCAGAGAAGCACCTAGTTCAGACTCGGAGAAGCTGCCTGCAGCACTGGGCGCACCTAATGGTGAGGTCGCACCAGCGGGAGTCCCCGCTTGGGAGTGGACCTGTTTTTGTAGCAGGCCTTCAAGATTGCGGATGCGCGCAAGCAATTCTTTCTGAACATTTGGGTCTGCTGGGGCAGCCTGTTCAGACGAGAGTCGAGGCTGGCCAAGGTAGATGCAGTCCTCTGCGCCCAGGCCACGCCGTACGCAGGTCTGGCATGGACGGCCATCTCTTGAGCAGCGGATTTTTCTTGTGCGACATGCCTGGCAACTGATAGGGAGCCGCTTTCCCGTTGAGCGGGATGAAGAAGCCATAGCCGGGGTTCTGGGTAGGATTGACGGCTAGAATAAGTGCGAAATTTGAATTTTCAGAAGCAGAATTCACTCGATGAGCCTTTTCAAAGTCGAGAGACATTCACAGATGAAAGTGGTTATCAATCAACAATGATCGTTATGGTTCAGTAAGCGATGGGCGATTTGCCGGGTGGACCGGTGGCTGTTCGTATTGCTCCAGTTCTGACGTGCCCACTTTTCCATCCACTGGGTCCAGAATGTGTAATCTTGGGTCTGGATCTGGATCTGGGTCGGGATCTGAAGATATAGGAAATATTCTGTCTCAAGTCCACCTAGGAACTGACAGGTGGGGGTTTGAGGAAGTAGGCGGGAATGATAGACGCTTTAAAGTTTTGCGTTGTGAGGGGAGAGTCGATTGGGGAAGTTTAGCCATGCGTCATGATTTAATGTCAAGGTGTATGAAAATCTAACAGCACAGGCCTCACGAATCACGATAAATAATAATATGTTCTTTTTTTTTAAAAAAAATCAACCATTTTCCAGGGCTGGCCCAATTAGGTTGGAAAGGCAGGGGCGCCTTCAGAAGGTATGGTGTGGCCAGGCAGGAGGCAACGTGCGAACTTTGGGATTAGCGCGAGGAAGCTGAGTATCGACACGCCTCACCGTTCCCCCCTTTTGCAGTTGAATGCGTAATGAGAGACAGTCTCTTGGTAATGACAATATGCCGAACATCATCAATTGGTAAGAAATGAATAATAAAACAGACTATGCAGTCTAGAAATTCCAGCCCGGTAAAATCTCGAAAGACTTTTGTTGACAATAGCGCGGAGCGCCCGACGCCAAGTGGGTCGTGGAATTCTTCTAGAAGGATGTTCGAAGGACCCGCACATCCGAAACTCGAATCAAGGTTTTTTCCGTGAGTTATTTCGTTGACTGGACGTGAGCCTCGTCGGATAAATTAAAGTATCTGCCAGCCCTCTGGTTTGAGAACTGACCTGTAGGGAGCCATAGAGTCATAGGCGCAACTTCCGAAGAATTTCCACAACCTCGCGCTATGCAGAAAAGGGTACTAACTATCCTGACAGGCAGAGAAGAAGAAATCAATCATGGATCCGACCACTATGGATGGAACATGCAGATATGCAACATGGCACTTTGCCAACCGTGCTCAAGACCCGCTCTATTCGTCTTCTAGAAGCTGATCCCGGCCTCGGGGGAAAGGAAGCACGGTAGCTCGGTACCTGGGTGACCCTTGATTTGCTCGATGCGATAATCTAGGGACTCCGATCTTCGTTCCGGGGGGAGTGGATGGACTGCGACATGTGATGCGAGGAGTCAAGTGCTTGGGCCCTGGGGGAAAGGATCAGAGGAATTGAGGCTGCAGCATGGATGATGGACTTTCGGGGGTTCGGCTGTGAATCACGGGAGAGAGATGCATCCAGGGGATCCCGAAACGTTGAGATCGGGCTTCAGAATTGCCAAGACGGGCGGAATGGCGTGACAACTTTGCTGTTTACAGTTATGCGAGTTCGGCAGTCAGCGCAGGGTTTTTTTTTTCGAAGGGTATGCGTCAGTGTTTCGCCACTGACGAGGTCCAAGCAACAAGAGGAAAGACGACGAGTGGTCCATACAATCTGTGATGCGTCGCGGCTAGTATAAATCAGGCTAGAGCAAACTGAGCCACTTATAGGGCGCCACAGCGTCAACGTTCTTTTCTTTTGTTCAGTAACTAGCGCGAACTAACGAACTAGTCCAACAACCACGAGGCATTAGCCCGGATGAATTTTTTCCTTCGTGCAGATTCTCAGTTCCCCAGGAACTTCACGGCCTGTCGGTGTACCGAGTTCCTGGGACCAGGCACTGCAGATACATCCAGTAGGAACATGACACGGCGGGATGGCAAAACACATGGCAGCTGGAGTTAGACAGTGGTGGCCACAGAGGGATTACGGGGGAACCTATGTATCAATGACGTGGTCGAGACTAAGATAATAATAACTCCAGGATCTAGGTGAGGGACTTGGATCGAATGATATCAAATCTCATTACGTGACACGCTTTGTCCTGAAGTTGTGGTCGCCGATATTAAAAACAACTATTAGTGAGCAGCCCAGATCGAATCATGTCAAATCTTGGAACATCTTCGTATAGGTAGAAGAATTGGGTCAATAGATTTCCCCATCAGGCGGCGCCAGCCACGGTTGAACATTCACGTTTCCACAAATACTTCAGTGCAATACGAAGTATGGCGATGAGGATAGTGACGATGCCCACGAACAATTGAACAATGAAACAAGCACCTCAAATGCATTGTACCAACTATCCATGCTCATCGACGATCATTCTGATTCTCCCAATTATCCAACTCGGCAAATCTGGATCAGTTTTGACAAATTAACACCAAGCCTCTCTAGCAATAATAGAGATCCTCCCGGAAGTCTAATCGTCGATCACAGCCTGAAACAAACCCACCATCAATATTTGCTAAGGGGCTAAGCAAGGGCCAGGGGAGGACACCGGCAAAAGCTAAGCGAACAATCTTTGCCCAAAGCGCAACCCTAAATTTCCACATGGCACGCCCTGCTCCTGAAGTTAGAACTCCTGAACTGTGCTCGGGGACTGAACGCACGGAATGTGCGGAATGCGACCCGTCGGCTCCTAACGAAAAAATCAAAAGCCGGTGCTCGGGCTTCATGTTCCTGAGTCAACGAGGTTGACAGCAACCTAGGGATACATGTGTACTGTAGAACAACCCCCACGGCCGACCCTGTACGCATCCCCGGACGTAGGGGATCTACAGTACCATGGGGTAAGGGGGGGTTTGATGGGCCTTGGTTACGGCTAAGGGGCCCGGGAAATAGTATCCAGGTTGTCGGGAGAGAAAAATTTAGTTGTTTCAATTTGACTAGTGAGTTATGGAGTGGCAGGAGGATACTGTAAGTCGACGATCTCCGCTAGCCGACCATGTTTGCCGAGCTGCCAAATCATTTAACAGTACGAAGGGGAGGAGAATCCGAGAATGAGATACATAGTCTGCGCCTGCACGATGCACGGTGGCAAATAGTGTCCTCCCCGAGCGATCGGGGGACTGCACGGTGCACGCATCCCACAGTATTGGGTCAAACTCAGCTGGAAGAATGGAAGTATTGAGATGATCAGCGACAGAAGTATACAGTAGAACTATAGATCTGCGAGGCTGGACCATCTGTACTGTAGTATGGAAATCCACGCCAGGGCAGAATTCAACCTCGACAGACTTCCTAACTAGGAAGCACCCCACCCCCATTCTTCTTCTCCCATTTCCCCGGGATACGAGGGACACATGTGGGTCCAATGGACCACGATCAGGGATATTCGCGTGGCGATTAACCTCTGAAATTGCTTCTTGCTACTTCCTTCGGAAGTGTGCATTCTGCATCGGATACGGGGGTGGCAGGGGACACAGGGCTTGAATAGTCGGCAATTACTAACAAGCCTGACCCCGGCAGTCACGACTCGGCATATGTACACAGATATTGTTGATGCATGGAAAATAGGATAATAGCCTAAAATCAAACTTTGCATCTCACCGAGTCTCTCAAAATATGAAGTCGATCAACATGCTTTTTTTTCCCCCTTTCTAATACTCGACTGGCCCGCTAAAATGGAATGGGGAAGGTAGCGCTGATCCAGCATGACGGGTCCGATCCGAGTTGTCGACCCGTTGTTGTGGGTGGATCGGCCGTGGACGCGGTTGAAAATTTCATGGTTGAGAAAATCCAGGGACCTCTAAGTTTACTACTAACTAACTACCACAGTATCCATGGTTTCGTTTGTTTACAAATTTACAGAAGAATGCTCACGATGTATCTGTTCAGAAAAATAAGACATTTTACTATAGCAGTAGGAAATGGGTGTTCATCATTCTACGTCAGCTGATGATGATGATGATGATGATGATGATGATGATGATGATGATGATGATGATGATGATGATGATGATGATGACGATGCGGCTGTTCGGGGGAAGGCTGTTCGGGGGAAGGCGGGAAGGGGCCGAAAAAAATATCCACTTCAGGAAGGTGTCACCTGGACAGGCACATATACTAGACAAGGGGGCTTTACTTCCCCAATCACTGTTCTCTACTAGGCTCGTCTCCAGCAGTACTCTTGGCAGGTGTACAAAGTATAGTTCAAAAGTACATAGATATGTATCCATTAACTTGGCAAGGGTTAATTCTCAGAACCTAAAGGCTGCTTACTAAGATGAATAGGTGCAGATGTACTAGGACATATATTGGTGGCGTCATTGCTCTTTGCATATCGACGCATACGGCCGTATCTACGCATACGTACGTACTATGATTATCCAGCCGGATTCAATAAATATCGAAAGTTAGACCAATCTCGCCACGATTGCGGATACAATTTCCCACCCACTCAAGTAGGAAAGCCTCGACATCCAACAACATAGCCCTGGTAGTAAAGTGGCTTACAATTCAGGCCGACCCGGACGCATCCGCAGTCTCGATGTGGTCGACCTTGCCTGCCACAGTGACTCGCTTAGGAGCTTCATCAGCCAGAACAACCCGGTCGCCGAACGAGGCTGCGACTTCTTCCAGGGTCTTTTGCTTGGTTTCTCTGCACAAAAGTGTCAGGTGATGCTGTACTTCAAGAAGGGGGTGAAGGGATCACGTACGGGAAGAAAAAGTATGCAATAACGAGGAAAAAGGCGGAGCACGCGACAAAGACATAGTAGTAATTCTCATGAATATTGGCAAACGCGCTGGGTCCGGCTTCGGTGACTATGTTCGGAACTTGCGTTAGTGATCTTTCTCATATCAATGTGAGATCAGATTGAGGCGGAAGGGGACTTCTTACTCGCTACATTGACGATAAAGTGCGATGCAGCTGCGAGACCCATCACTTTACTTCGTAGCGCGATGGGTAGAACCTCTGCACCGTAGAGCCAGGTCGTGCTGTTAAGCATACCATCTAGACGAGAAGTCCACAACGTTAGCAATCCATATACGCTAGTCTAGTATGTAGACCCATTCCCCACCAAATGGCCAACTCCACAACGGCATACAAACATCGAATCACTTACAATAACACACGACGAAGAGATAAATTCCTAGAATAGCAAAGCCCTTGCCAACACGGTTATTCGTGTTCTGGAACTGGCGCTGCATGACAGCAGCGTAGATCTCGATGAGCACGATTCCCGCCAATCCGGTGATAAGCATCCTATCTAATTGTCAGTCGCGAGTACCAAGCAAATATTGCTTCCGCCTGCTTAAGCTTCATGCTCCACATCCGCGTGGGTGGGGGTCACGTACTTGCGGCGGCCCCACTGGTCCGTCATGAACTTGGTTGTGATGGCATTTGAGAGGAAAGCCATGGTACCGTAGAGGCCGGCAAGGGCGAGAATTGAGTGCGAGCCAATGCCGAGGGATTTGTATAGGATGGCTGTAGAGAGCATGAGTCAGTTGGGTCTTGGATCGGAGGGTCAGATATCGCGGATCTGCACGAGTGAGAGGCTCACTTTGATAGTACTGCGGGAATATAGGTTAGCACCAACGGAGTGAGAGTGGATTGGTTGATGCCATGTCAGTGCATAGCACAACGTACCTGGATCACATTGACACCAGTCAGACTAGTCATCGTCTGCACAGCAATCGACCTGTCCTGGGGATCAGCAACTGATTCATTCATCTTTCCACTCCACGTTCACTGCCGGATACATCAACACCAAGATCGGGAAGAAACATACACCAACACCCGACGACGGAAAAGTTTGAAAATCTCCCGATAACTCGTAATCTCTCTCTCCATCTCATACTCAATCTGCGCCTGCATCAGCACAAACTCCTCCTCGACTTCATGCAAATTCACGCCCCGACGAATACGCGAGAACTCAGTCCGCGCCTCCTCAACCTTGCCATTGCGAATTAACTGACGCGGCGAGTTGGGCATGAACGTTGCCAGTCCAGCGAACATGATGATACCCCATGGGATCTGGATACCCAGGGGGAGGCGCCACTGCACGGGGCCGTAGGAGGCATAGCTACAGGCGAAGCCGACCCAGTTGGACACCATAGTACCGAAGGAGATGCCGCAGCCGGAGATACCGCCGATCAGGCCGCGGAAGCGGGGGTCCGAGATCTCGCTGAGATAGATGGGCACCGTGGCGACCATTCCGCTGCAGAGTTCATGGTTAGCGGGGTGCGGTTATGCCGTTGAGTCGAAGCATCGACCGCTGAGTGGAGGCGGCTTACCCGACAGCGTAGCCGGCTAGTACACGGCCAGCGAGGAACATGCCGATGTTTATGGAGGCAGTCTGAATGACGGTGCCAATAGTGACGATCACGCACATCAACTGCATGAACCGAATGCGCCCGAGCTTATCGCCGATGAAGGTCTGTGTTAGAGCTCCACCGGCTTCGCCAGCGATATACACGGCCACCACCTAAAGGGGAAATTGGTCAGGGACGACTCGATAGGGAAGAGGTTGATTGGCTGGACCATACAGCTCCCGTCAAGCCATTGGAGGGCTTATGCATATAGTCAATCCAACTCTGGTGCGCGATAGCTGGAGCAAATATTAATCCTCTGCAATCATCTGCGAGTAGCTCCTAGAAAGAGGGATACTGACTGGTCGTCGCGATACCGGTATCAAACCCCTGCGTCCAGGTTAGTCCTCCTCTCCAAGGTCAAGTCTACAAATTCACAGAGTCCATACAAACAAAAACGTGCCGATGGCAGCGAAGAACGCAATGCCGAGCGAATACCATATCGCCATGATGAAAACAGGTCCAGTCACCCCAACGCAAGTACCAATTCAGGATCAAGACAGCCTCAAAAGATGACTACTCGCACAGTAGTAGTCTCGTACGTTTGTCGGAGCAAGGATGAGTCTGACCAGGAGAGTCCAGCTCTATTATTTACGCCCTGCCAGCGGCGTTGATCCGAGCAACCGAGGAAAGGTCATACGGTGTACAACGTAGCAAGACGGCTGGGTTGGCTCGGAGATCGGCCGAGTTGGCAAATGATATTCTGGGGAATGCGGGGGTGGACGGGTCGAGATGCACCGATGATACAAGGGCGAAAGTGGTAAGTAGGCGAATGTCATTCGCGAGATTGAGAGATGATTGGCTTGAGCTGGGTCTTTTTGCGATAACGTGTACGGAGTAGTCCTTCCCTGAAAGAGCCTGGAGAAAGATGCTTTTGCATTGGGGGTTTTGGGTTTTGCTTGGCGTGGGGGGGCGAGTGAAAAGTGCGGGGGGCTGTCCGACCCGATGACTCGCAAATTGACTATGGAGTCATGATTGGTCTGTCGGTGGTTATGAGTTGGGTGGAAAAGCGTGGGTGACCAATGGATATCTCTTTCGGCTCGGGATTAGAAATAGGGGTCTGTCCTTGATGTGGCAGGGTGCTGGATCCCCGAGGCGATGAGTGCGGTGGCTTGGCTATTGGGATTGGTGCGAGTGGTGCTTAGATAGGAATAATAATAGGAAAAGGTTAGAGTTAGTACTGGGCAGTCTAACTCCGCCTCGTTTCTTGGGTGCTTTTTGATGCGCCTACCAGCCATTGCAAGGAATAAAGGGAGTATGTAATAGGTAAAGCACACCCGAGTAGGCCATGTGCTGGCAGATCAAATCCACATTTGACGACCAAGCTTTCCATCAGTCACGGTCAACAGCATATCCTACCGTGTCCTAGCAATAAGAATAGACGTGGACTGGTGCAAAGTGACAGTTCTGTCACTCAAGGATCCACTTCGTCTCTAGATCCAAGCGTACCGATGAGAATACCTACGTACCGGATTTCCTATGCCACGTCTTGGCTTTCCCTTTCCGTTTTCGTGCTCAGACCCTCGCCGCTTTTGCTCACTGAGTAGAACTGAGCACGTCTCTAAGCGCCCTGATCCGATCACTGAGCATTATGTAAGCTCAGTGAGCACCCCTGATCTGGTCAGTGAGCATGATGTAAGCTCACTGATCTGCTCACTGATCAAGTCTGACCCTCCCACCGAGGGCTCTGATTTGCTCACTGAGGATAGCCCTGAGTAAGGCACCCCAATAAAACGTAACATGCTAGCCCTATCCAAGTGAAACCCCTGTAAAAACTATGGGCATCAATAAACTGGCGTTGTATTTGGTAGATTTACTGGTATCTATTGCGCTCCGATAGAGCTTAGTCGTTAATTACCTAATTAGTCAATTAATAAGTCTGTATGCTCCTAAGAACCTTTATCTACTGGTTCCACGGTCTCCTGGATAGGTATAGAGGAAGTGCTAATCTTAGAGTAATTACGTGAATCTACCGGGAGATCGAAAATCTTACCCTAGGCAAAACTCTACTAGGAAAAGTATATTCTAGATGTAATAGCGAAGCACAACTTCTCTCTATATTGAGCCCGCGCACCGGAACGCGTCTTTGACTAACCGCTATATACCCTTGGCCGAGAAACCCCTAAAAGAGACTGCTCCTAGGAACCTACTAGATAATTAATTAGACTACCCTAGCCGACGAACGTACTAGATAGTCCTAGGAGCTTATCAAGCTCTATACCATTCTATAACGCCTGTAAGTTATCTTCATAAATTCGCTTAGAATCATTATTATTTAGATTCACTTAGATTCCTAGGAACTCAAAAATATAGCTAGTACTCCTGATAACGTGCTAGAGGCATCCTGTTAATATGTGATATGAAATGCCTAGTATGATAAAACGCCTACTAGGCACCTACATATTCCCTTATAGGTCCTAGGAAGTTATGGTTATTCAAATTATTCAGAGTGTCCCGGGAGCGTGAATTCCTATATCGCCGTGGTTATTAGTAAGCTATATTCTAGGGTAAGGGGAATTATTTAAGATATAAAATATCCTACCTTATAATATTCAGGTCTATGTTTATCACCCTCTTCAAAACTTGATTAAATCAACAGGTATTCTTTATCTACTTTCATCTCCGTATTACTCGGTATTAACCACGCTAAACTATTAGTAGTTCTCTGAAACTTCAGAACTCGTTGTTATAGCTAATTGCGAGCTATTAGGTTTATACAACCTTGAATCAATTATCAGCGATAATAAACTTTATAATCTTAGCATATCGGATAAACAAAGTTCGAATAGAGATACTATCCGGATAAGTTTACCTGAATTCTAGGGTAGAGTAAATACAGAGAATCTGTGAGCAAGCGATGCTGCGCAGGTTGGTAAAGAGGAAGATAAATTAAAGATGATTAAATAAGATCGATTGATCTTTCTTCCTCTTGATTGAATAGGAAGGATAAGTTCAATTCGGCTTAGAATCATAAAGATGAGAGAAAAGTAAAGTAGGACTGAAGCTTGGTTGATTGTATTGAATCTTGCTTGTATGTGTTGAACATGATTTTCTTGGTAGAGAAAGCAGGGCATATTTATAATCAATTTGTCTCTTGCATGTGATCGTTCTAGATGATGCATGATGATCTCATACAGACAGATCTAGATGCATAGTGATCTCATGCAGTAGCTGTTTGATCGGTGGTTGCTTGATTGTACGATGTCATTGACCGTAGTGATGATGTAGATCGTATACTTTTGTATACGTCTTACTTGATGTCATTGACCATAGTGATGATCTTGTACGATGTCATTGACCGTAGTGATGATGGTATAGCATAAAGCTTATAGAGATTCAGCCATCTTGTATAGGCCTTATGAATCTGGCTTGATATGCTGTATAACGGTTTAGGCATCTTGCCCTATATCTCACACCCCCCCTGTAATCTTTATACTATAGTGCAGATATGCAGTAGAGTATAGAGATTAGTATAGAGTAGATAGGATCGATATATATATATACTGCTCTAAGATAGCTAGATATATATCTTCCTAAATCTCACGGAGGTTAGCTAGATTCTTTAGGTCTTCAAATATTTCTCTTCTGACGTTTTTTGTCAGGAAATCTGCTAATTGCAGTTTAGTGGGGACGTATTGAACATCGACCCTTTCTTGTTTGACCTGATCTCTGATATAGTGATATTGTATATCAATATACTTCGTCCTTTTGTGAAATTCAGGGTTTTCGGCTAGCTTAATAGCTGCCTTATTATCCACTAATATAGTAGGCTTGCTAGGCGTATAGCCTAGGCCTAATCTATCGTTTAGATAGTTGAAGAGATTAGCTAGATAGATAGCTTCTCGTATAGCTTCTTTTATAGCTATATATTCGGCCTCGCAGGTAGATAGGGCTACTGATTTTTGTAGTATCGAATTCCAGCTCACTATATTATTAGTAGCTAGATCTCTAGACAGGCTAAATATATAGCTAGTAGTGGATTTTCTACTATTAATATCGCCTGACTAATCAGTATCAGAGTAGCCTTTTATATATAGGTTATTCCCTGTGTAATCGTAGTGTAGGCCTAGATTTAGCCGATATTGTAGATATTACTATATCTTCTTTAATTCAGAGATATATAATTAGTCAGGATTGCTTATATATCTTGAGCAATAGGCAACTAGATAGGCTATATCAGGCCTAGTCTTTAGGCTAGTATATAGTAATAAGCTAATCTCTTTTTGATAGAGATTAATAGTTTACTCTAAAGCTTTTAATTGATTTTTTCTTAGGTAGATCCCTGCTTTATCCGGCGTTTTCTTTAGCTGTTTGCTAGTAGTAGCAAATTTTAACAAGATCTTTGATATATAATCATTTTGATCGATAGATATCGATTGATCTTGATAATTTAGGCTGATATTATTACCTAGGAAGGTGGCTAATTCGCCTATCTCTTCTAATTAGATATACTGCCTAGCCGTAGTAGCTAGCTTATTTATATAAGCTAGATCTTTGTGTATAATAATTATATCATTAATATGTATGATGATAATAGCCTGGGTTTTGCTATTTATATATATACCCTCGTCGATAGGAACTCTATCGAATCTAAGGTTCGCGATAGCCTTTGTAAAGAATTCAGACTAAAGCCTTAGTGCTTACTTTAGGCTATATAGGGCCTTCTTTAGATAGCAGCACTTATTTTAATAGGTAGGGTCTTTTAGCCTATATAGGCTAGTTAGCAAGATAGTATATATATTACTATCGATATCGGCGTGTACGAATACGTTTTTAACGTCGTATTGCCTGATATACTATTTTTTGTTTATCGCGATAATTAATAGTATATACTAGGTTTCTATTCTAGTAGTAGTAGAGAAGGTTTCTAGGAAATTAACACCTAAATATTAATTAAATCCTTGTATAACCTATCTAGCCTTATAGCAAATCGTTTTTTTCGTATTTATAATATAATTAGCCTAGATACCTATAGTATTTTTTATAGGCTTCTTTTTAAATATCTATCTACCCCTAATAGGTATTATACTAGGGGATATATTAACGATTTTATAGGTTACCTAATCTATTAGGCTTTGATTTTCGTCCTGATAGGCCCTATACTACTTATTCCTTTTAGCTAATTATATAGCTTAGTTAAAGGTAGAGGGTTCTTTATTAGTTACTGCTAATAATATATAATTAGTAGGCTGATCGTTAATAATAGTCTTTATAAAATCTCCTAGTAGCGTATCCGATATAGTATATATATCTTTGCTATCTTTAGTAGACTTTCGCGATAGGATTTAGATCTTAATCTTATAAGACGGATCTACTACTATAGTAGCTTCCTTACTAGTAGTTTACTTAGTAGATTTACTAGCTAATTTACTAGTTTCTTTACTAGCTAATTTGCTAGTAGATAGGCTAGTAGATTTACTAGTATTTCTAGTAATCTTCTTTTTAATTA